CTAGATGATCCATAAAGTAATTATACATTGACCCTTTCATTCATGCAAACGTAGCTGTGTTACACAACACGACCCTCTGCATCTTTTGCTCTGCCAGGGTCCACCTACTTGGCAATGAACAAAGACCACTCTTCATATAGCATCACGCTTACAAACATAAAGGTGCCTGTATCTCCGAACTTTACAATGAAACGTGGGGTTTTGAATAGAGCAACGGGCTCGGCTTGGCCAACAGCACCTTGTGTGAAAGTTTCGCGTTCAATGTCGCAAACAGCCCAAAAAATATTTTTTGGTCGTCGTCGTTGAAGAGGTCGTCCCCCGGATCCAGTCTGGCTGGTAGCAACATTGCGAAATCTGGGATTGACAAGCTTGATCGTGAAACTGGCACCCAAGGTGCAGTTGGCCAAGCCGAGCACATTGCTCTAATAAAAACCCTACGTTTGATTGTAAAGTTTGGAGATACAGGCGTCTTTATGTTTTTACTATGTTGTAAGCGTAATGGTATATGTAGAGTGGTCTTCGTTCATTGCCAGTAGCCTCACTCATATTAGTGCCAAAGATGCACGACTTGATGGCGGTGCCACAAAGCCCAGGGGCAGGAGTTGAAGGGTCGATCCTATTGGCGGAGGGTGCATTAATGGATCCTCCCATATCAATAGCGAGGTCCGCCTATGATTACCCGTATGGACCTTTTTCAAGTTTACCATGGTACGGTTAATAAGCCAAAGGTGATAACTGCATCCGGAAGTATCTTGTTTGAAATCACATGAAGCGTGAGTCGTAAAGTCGGATTTCTTGTGTCGCAAGAAAGTTACTCCCAGGATGATGTTGTTTTGGTCGACAGCAGCAGAGACTGGTCATCGACGTCAGGCTTGGTAGATTTTGGCATTGCAAAATGCTTTTGGATGCGCTGATCCATTCTGGAATACAACCATCCCATGTTTTATTGTGCAATCTTGAGGTATTGGTACGAGTGAGTTGTTTCTTATTGGTGGGGTCGTGATTGGTACAGTGCAAAGTGAAGGACTCCTTTTTGTTACGGCAACGTCGAGCAGAAAAAACGATCCTTCGGACTGCCTTAAGTAAAGAAGCCTGATCCTTGAGGACCTGGTATGTAGTAAGGTAATGACTGTTGTTAGATCAAATGGTTCAAAATGACATCCTTTTGGTATACGCGAGGATGATGCTTCGATTTACTTACATGTACATAGTATTATCTATGATGTTGACTACTATGTTGTGGTGAGATGGTGTTTAAATCTTGTGCTTGGGCGGGTGGTTGTATATAGAAGTGTGAGTGCTATACTTACTATGTACCTTTGAAATCATATGGCTCCCAAATGCCAATTTCTGACAAGGGAATATCAAAGCGTGGGCTGGCCTTAGGATAAAAAAAGTGAGTTTCAGGATGTGGCAAAAAGTGAAAAGGCACGTATGTATGCAACAATTGGTTTCTGTAGCTCAATCAAAAAGACATCTATTACTGTTTCCTCTTTGATGTGGAGAGAGCTCAAATTCACACGCGCACACTGTTCACATACATACAAAAGAATGTTGTCATGCATCATCTTACGTGCGCCCGCAACACATCTCATCTCTATCCTATCTCCTTGATTGCTTACCCCAGCAAAATCAGGCTTACTTATGACGGAGGTGGGTTCTTTCTGCATCCCGAGGTTACAGCTGCCACATGTTACAACCAATGATGGTTGATGTAGTCATTTTTCATGTTTCATTGTTACCCATCCTGCTCCCATTGTGTATTGTCGTGGTCATCATTCAGATGTATTTGACTCCTGTAATGAGGTGTAAGATCTCATCAAATTACTTATGGATCGTACACTAATATACATGTCATATTTATTGAAGTAGCTGCAAAGTTGGATTTGGTGGCATGACCTGTCATCCAAGGTTAAAATGCACATGGTGCACACGCTGGTTGTTGCACACCGATTTTTAGGCGAACGATGGATATGCACTGGTACGCGATGTGAGCGATTAGATGGTCGCCTTGGTGATACCTTGTGTGTCCATGTTTGATTACATGCTTCCCATGGAGACTAATCTCAGGCCTACCAGCAAGATGCATTTCACCATCCTCTGACTTGGAGGTCTATTTTTCAACAGCTCGATTTCTTCTTGCCCCAACCGATCCATACAAGATAAATGTGCCTGATTCTTATACATTCATCCCGAAAAATCAACATCCTTCATTGTATTATGTAGTACCCCAGCTAGGTCTTTATCATTTTTATACGTTCCTTCTTTGTTTCCTTCCTTCCCATTCCCCTTTCTCCTTCTCATTTTCTTTGTCTTTCCTTCCATTTTCGATATGGTTAGCAATCTACTCGAAGTTGAGTTCATGATGATGTTTCCTTGCAGATACTAATGATAGACATTGAGGACCACTTTTACGCTCGAGACCAATTATCGCTTCCTATCATTTGTTTTGTATTATGAACCCCTCTTGCTATTGTCTACAATTCTATATTTATAAACTATCCTAAATTCTAAACGTAACACGTTGTTTGATGTGGTGGCGTGTGTCAAGATGCATGGATACACAAAGCGCAATTCAGCTGCACCAGCAAATATTTTCCCTGTTCGTCGTCGCATAGCAAAACTCAGCTTTTCATTGTCTTCTTTACAACATGTTCAACGAGGTGGCTGTTTCGGCATCGGCGACCGATTCGACTATATACGTATGGGACATACGATCAGGATCGACCTTATTTTCTTTCAAGCAGTCAATGAGTGGCAAGGGGTGTCTCAGCCTTGTACCAAGACCCAACGCATGTTCACAGATCGGCGCGATCCTCAGTGCTCAAAACGATCGTGCTGTTCTCAACGTTTACCAATGGCATCGCGACCAAATTATGCACAAAATGCCTACTCCAGAACGACTCGTGAGCGTGGCGACGTCTCATCGTGGTACGCTGGTGGCAGGAGGCACTGCAAGTGGACGTGTCTATCTCTGGCAGGTTGCTACGGGCATGCTCCTCAAAGTATTTGAAGCCCATTTTCGACGTATCACACGATTGGCATTCAGTGGCGACGACCTAACATTGTTGACAACGAGTGAAGATGCTGGTGTACATGTATGGCTTATTGGACAACTTTTGGAACATGATGTGGATCAAGGACGACCAGCACCCTTATTCTCATGGTCAGATCATACATTGCCTGTCACTGATATCGCTGTTGGTATGGGTACGATGTCTACAGCACGCGTGTACACTTCCAGCAATGATAGCACGGTCAAGGTAAAATTGAATGGATATCGAAAAAGAGGTCTATTGTATATTAATGGATGAGCATTAGATGTGGGATCTTGGAACTGGTGAATTGTTGACCACCTTTTTGTTTCCCAAACCGGTCTCAACAGTCATTGTCGATCCATCCGAGACAAAACTTTTTGTTGCATGCGAGAATGTGATTTATCCTGTGGAGCTTTATCGACGTCGATATGATCAAGCCTATGGTGGTGATGTGATTGAAAGTACAGGTGGCATGGCAAAGGTGGAAACGATTGGTATCCGACAAGTCGACTCTACTTCAAAAGAGGATCAAGATGATATATCAACGGCACCCATGTTTAGTGGACACTCGTAAGTTGTGGCGATGATTTGGGTTAATGGAAAAAAAAGAGTCTCAATCCTTTCTTCCTACTAGTGGCACGGTGAATTCAATGACGCTCTCATTTGATGCGACTTTGTTGATATCAGCTTCAGAAGATGGCGACTGTATCGTGTGGGATGTCAACAGCAGACAACCATTGCGAAAGTTTGAGTCACACAAGGGCCCTGTTACCCAAGTATCATGCATTTTACGCCCCAACGAACTTGTGACAGGAAGCAACAGTATCAAAGATATGGTACCCATGCCATGGAAAACTTTCAAGCGTACTATTTCTACCGAAGCAGAGGAGCAACGAGCGGAAACGTTACAAATGGTGCCAGATACCACAATGGTAAATATTGAGCAAGGTGGGGTATTATAGTGTAAGGTGCTAATTTGACCTTTATTTATTACAGGATATGAAGAGACATCAACAACTCGAATCCGATGGACCTCTCTATTCTTCGATTGCGTCAAGCTTACAGGACGTAAAAAATGCTAAGAATGCTATACAAGCGATGCAGGTAGGAAGATGATTGATTTGGAAGGAATGGGGAGCATAGGAGTAACGAGTTTGTATAGACACAAGATGGTGCTGGCGCATTACAAGCACGAGTTTCTACATTAGAAGAAGAGCTTACACGTTTATACAAGCATCACAATAAGGTTAAATCCTTGCATGATAATTTATATGGAACCATGGTGGATCAATTTATGGCTAAGCGTCGGAAAGTGACATCCCCCAATCAATAAACCCCTTTTTGCTCATTGCATAAGATGATTGTGTTGTTAAAGTGTGATCCACCCTTTATTATTAAGAATTACCACCATTGGAAAGATGTCTAGGCTTACATTCGTTGTCACCAATGTGTTTGATAAAGATGGCATCGGGTGAATGGTCTCTCTCGCCTTCGTCAAAGGTATAACTACTTGCTACTGCCAACATTTTGCCATCAGGGCTGAAAGACAGGCTCGAAATCTCATCCGGGTAACGTTGAAACTGTTTGATGCGTTTTCTATTGACGCCGTCCCAGATGCTTACCACACAATCGGACCCACCTGAAGCAAATGTTCCATAGCTATTCAAATTGAATGTGTGAATGTTCCTGTTATCCATAAAAAGAATCGTCGTCACTTACATTGGGTGGAAAGCCAAAGCATTGACAGGATAAACGACCTCGGTATCATTGATAACTTGTCGATGTGATTTGAAAGCGTATTTCTTTGATTGGGCTTCAGCATCAAAATACTCCAATGCAACACGTCCCTCAATGGATGAACAAGCGTATCCTGATGAAGATATCATTAATCATCGTCATACATGGAAGGGTAGTTATGATTTACCTTGACCATCTGGCATACACCGGACACACTTTAACATGTATCGAAGCGAGCTTTCACGTTCCTGCTCAGGCTTATCCATATTTCTGATATCGTACACGTGGATTTGTCGATTGGCCATAGCCACTACCAAGCGGTTGTTGTTGAGATCCATGCTGAACACCTTTTCAGGAAGATGATGCTTGAGTTGCTGTGCCTCATTGCTGCGACTATCCCAGACACGTAATGTTTTATCCCATGAGCCTGAATATACACTGTCTGGAAAAAAAGTGTGAGTATAAAGAGAGAGAGAGAAAAATATCAATCAAGACCACCTACTCGTTTCTGAACTCCAGCAAAGACAACGTACAGCTTCATCATGACTACCAATGACCTGCTCAGTCTTGTTTTCAAGGTTGAGCCTGGATGATGAATGTGAGTCAAATGATGTTTGATTTGGATAAGGGGACGCCTTACATTTTGATTTGCCTGTCAAGACCACCGCTGTATGCGACGTCGGCACCAGCAAAGCATGCATCGAGTACTGCACCCTTATTATCAAACTGTGCGCGTTTTTCATTTAATTCGACGTCGTAAAGTCTCACAGTCTATGAGTGAAAAGACAACAATCAGTCCTATTGCGACATTCGTTGACTCATGAGGAGGAGGGGTGTTGTTATAGCGTACTGTATCCCATGAAGTGGCGAGTAAGAATCGTGAGTCGGAAGGATTAAAGGTGATACTGGAAATGCCATCGCTGGGAGGATCGGCGATCTCGAATTGTGTTGCTGGATCTTGCATTGGTTATGTTTTGGCGGGATACAAAGAAGAAAGGAATAGAAAAGAGAGGGAGGGAGGGAGAGAGAGAGAAAAGAGGCCCACATTGACAATTCGGAGTTGCCCTTTTATTCACTTTGAGGATGGTGTGCAAGGTACAATGGATGGTTGTTACCAATAACAAAGGGAAGGGTTGCACGTTGATAATACTCGGGATACATTTCAATGTTGTCAATGACATTATCTAAGAGATGGGCTTGTCCAGCCACGACACCAGGTGCATCTGCAAATGCAATGGCTGTGATATGTACATGGAAATGATAATAGCTTGGCTGATAATGGATAAACAATCGTAACTGATCAGCATCCAGGTTGGTGTTCTCCTTGACCTTCTCATAGGCAGCTTTTTGAATGCTTTTGAGTAATGGTATATGGGCTGGTGTTAGGTCACGCAAGCACGTGATGTCATTTCGGAAAGCAATGGCCACCCAATATAATGATTCGCATGTCCCATCCCATTTCATATCTGGCAAAATAACAAAGCCATTCTGTGGATCATTGTCACGATAAATGATGCGATCAGCTTCGGATGTGCCATTGAGAATGTTTGTGACCCATTGAATACGCTCAGAAGGCAGACTTTGAATGTAAGGACGAGTGATATCACGATACATGGTTGGCGTTTCCACAATCATGCGTCTATCTTGCTGCTCGTATTTTTTTACATGGAGCTCAGTGGCAGGATAAATGATTTTGATGCGAGTGTCGGGTTGTTGGATATCAATGTTGCCAAGTGCCCAACCATAAATGTTATTCTCTATGACATCTTGCAGTTGACAGGTGTGTTTCGCCAACTCTGGAATAAGAGCGTCGTCATATTGAGCACGTTCGAATGAGAGAATGGCGAGCTGATCGTCGACGTTGCCAAGTACATAAACGAGCTTATTACGTGTATCGTGAGAAAGGATGCGAGTAAATTTGAATTTTCTCAAGGTGACTTCTAAGGCTGTCATTAAGGGTAAGGAGGGAGGTAAAAGGTAGAGAAAAGAAAGAAAAGGGGGGTGGGGTAGGTTGTGTATTGAAAGTGGAATACCACCGAAAAAGAAAGGGCTTGTCACACAAGACGCGTGGGCTAAAGGGTGGATGATGATCATCCATGACCCAAATGGGAAACACTCCCTCAAGGTATTCGCTATATTACTATCATCTTCTCTCTCTCTCTCCCATCCTGCTCCTTTTTCTCCCCTTCATCATTTTTCTTAAAGACATGCCACACAAGAATTCATTTGAACCAAAAGATGCCAGAGTCACCAATGTCTATGAAGATGATGAAGACGAGGATGAATTAGACTTTTTAAGCTTGACATCTTCATCCGATGTCACTCCTCGTCCAAGACGTAAAAAGACTGGCACTCAAGATCTTGCAGAGTTCCTTATCACAACAAGTCCAGAAGAGTTCCAAAAACATCCTCCAAAACGTAGCTCAAATCCTTTCTTTCGACGTCGCAACAAGAGCAAACCATCCATCGTATCACGTCCACCACCTTCCTCTTCATCATCCACTCCCGCTCGTAGCCCAAACACAGTACACAGGTCAAACCATATTGAAATCGTCCCCAATGAAGCTTCCACTTCAACTTCTCTTGCACGCATCGCCAGCAGAACACCCTCATTAGCCTCATCCAGACCCTCCATTGTGCGTCGCAGTGTCATCAGCAATAGCGAACAGCCTGTGTTGCCCTCCAACCGTAGCAGCAAACAGCGGGAATCCAGTTTATATAGCGACTCGATTCGATTTTCCATGTCCACCAGGAGCCATGCAAGCAATAACAACTTTGCATCATTACGCGGCAACCCACTTAAACGACATGATACGGATGGCACCATGGGCAGCAGAGCCACCACCTCCTTACCACAACGTATGAGCCAGCGTACGATTGGCACTGATGAAGATACAGAAGAACGTGAAAAGAAGGCTACAGAGGCATTGGCAAATCAAATTCAACAACATCCACATCACGATGCCATTGAAAAAGCATTGTTACAACGATTGGAACGCTTTCAACTCGCCAAAATGGATAAGCCCAGTGATGCCATGACAACCCACCTTGCAGTGGAACATATTCGTGCGCTCGAAGCATCCAATCAAGATCGTCATCCAGCATTTGATGTTGATGTTGATGATTGCAATGTACAACATGAAGCTATTACACCCAGTGGGAACAAGCCAAAGAAGAAAATCAGACATATGCAAGTTCAAACGATACCAATGGAAGAAGATAAGGACGAACAACAACAACAACAAAAGGATGTCGTCATTGGATTAGAGAAGGATCCTACTTCACCCAACTCGGACCATGCTCAATTGATTGAACAACTACAACAACAGCTTGCAGAGGAACAATTACAGAGGAAACGACTCGAGGCAACATTGAATGAAACACGAGATCACTTTGAGACATTGAGTGGACTTGCATACAAAAAGCTTCGTGAATTATGGGAAGACAAAATGCATTGGGAAAACGCGTGTGTGGATCTTCGGGAACAATTGATCAATGGTGGTGATCGACAAAACGACATGATACCCGATTTTCCAGATAGTATATATGAAGAAGAATAAATGTGGATGTATGTATGGAGATTTATTAGTATGATGGGTTGAATGGAGGGCATAACATTCCCTCACCATCGAAGGGGTCGAGGATGTATAATAGGGTATAAAAGTGTGGGACGAGTACAACCCAGAATATTATGCATGGGATTCAATTATGCAAAAAGACAGCCAATACGATGCAACAAGCGTAATACGTCGCTGGACAAAGAAATGCGATATTATAACAAATACCCCTTTTTTATAATGTGGACTTTTTACATCATGTTAACGACCAGCGTGGTACCAAAAAGTTAAGGAGGTAGGGGAAGTTGTTCTATATAATGATACACACCTCGGTAAAAGGATGGGGGGGATCGGGGGTTGCAACAATTTTCGCAGCAGCAATACCCTTGAACTCACGTTCTCTACGCGACTTGTCGTGTTTCCTTTTCTCGAACTTGTTTCCGGCAAACACTCATCCACACCCCATTCCACACACAACAACCATGTCTGACAGCAGGATATATTCAGCAGTGTACTCTGGTGTCGCTGTCTACGAAACAGTCGCGAACGATGTAGCTGTGATGCGACGGCGGAACGACTCCTATATGAACGCTACCCAGATCCTCAAAGTCGCTGGCATTGAGAAAGGAAAACGCACAAAGATTCTTGAACGTGAAGTCCTCATTGGAGAACATGAAAAGGTGCAAGGTGGCTACGGCAAATTTCAAGGAACTTGGTAATGAACTAGTGTGGGAGAGACACACACTCTTCTTGTAAGCTTTTGTACTAATGTCTTGGCTTCAAAGGATACCACTTGACAAGAGTCGACAGCTTGCAGAACGATATGGTGTATTGGAGATGCTGAAATACATTATCGACTTTATTCCTCCTGCTGCTGGAGATGATAACGAGGAGAATCAGTTGCCTACCAAAGAGCAAGCAATGATTGCACAACGAAGGCTTGCTCAGCAACAGCAACAACAACAGCAGCAGCAGCAACAACATCAACTTCGTAAGCATCATCATCATCATCATCAACCACAACCACAACCACAACCACAACCTACGCAACAAACACAGCAACATCAACCACAACAACGACATCATTATCAAACTCCCGATCCACCTCATAGTCAATATCGACCAGGAGAAGAACCGAATCGTAAAAGGATAAAGATTGAACAGCAACAGCAACCATTACCACCACCTGCAGGCGCCTCTACGGATGAACATCGAAGTCTTCTTACGGCAATTTTCTTATCGGATGACTCTGAGCACATTCGTGACCTATTAAAGAACACGACCCCGACGAATTTCAATATTGATCTTGTGATTGATGAACAAGGCAACACGGCGTTACATTGGGCTGCTGCGCTGGCACGCACCACCATTGTCCAATTGCTCGTGTCCAAAGGCGCAAACCCAGCATGCGTAAATTATGCAGGCGAAACACCGCTGATGCGTAGTGTCATGGTGACCAATTCTTTCGACAACAACAGCTTCCCTACACTCCTTGCATCCCTCGGTGGTACCGTGAATGCTATCGATCATATTCGACAGACTGTCCTACATCACGCGGCTAAAACGGCTGGTATCCATGGTCGCACTTCTGCAGCTGTTTATTACGTCAACCATTTATTACATCTCCAACGTCTTTCCATTCTTGATTGGCAGGATCATCGTGGTGACACCGCTCTCAATATTGCCGCTCAATTGGAATGTCCAGAGCTCGTCGATATGCTAGCACGTGCTGGTGCCAAAAAGGATGTTGAGAATAATGCGGGTTTGACGGCAGAGGATTACAATGAGGATAAGGCAAGTATCAATGATACAATATGTGTTTGGCAAAAGACTTATACAACATGTGTGTAGAATTCTCAAGTAGAAGATTCAGAAGATCATCAGCACCACCAACAGCAACAACAATCCAAACCCAATGTCGTTGTACCTAGTGAACGTGGTCGTGAGATTGTTTCTAGTAAGTAGTAATGTGGCTCCCGTGATACCTTTCATGTGACTCATCAATTTCCTTTTACAAGCTGTACAAAAGATTGTGGATGCATTGGATGAAGAATATGGTGGACAACTCAACCAACGAGATGGTGAATTACAGCAAATAGAAAGCGAGCTTGAACATGCCACCAAAGAGCTTGAGACAACAAGGAAAGATCTAGAGGCACGGCAGACCCAATCCCAACGCCTTGTAGAGGCCCAGCAAAGATTCAGGAATTTACAAGCTGCGCTTCAGACCGAATGGGATCGAATGACAACAACCCCTGTGGACACCATTACTGCCCTTGATGAATTGGATGATACCCAAGATGTGGATGCATCTTTTGCACCGTCGCAAGATGATTCAGATGAAAAGACACAATCATCACCGAATGAACCTTTGACACATCGCGTAAAGATTCTTCGAGCACGCATTGCTGCATACAAGCAAAATGATCAAGATTTACGAGCTGAAGTCGAGGAACAAAGAGCACAGTCGGCCGAAAAGGAATTACAATGCAAAAAGCTGATAGCGGCGTGTTGCAATTTACCGATAGAAAAGATTGATGACCTTGTTGAACCACTTATCCTTGCTATTGAAAGCGACCCACCTGATCTGGATTTAGCGCGTGTCATTGGCTTCATGGAGAAAATACGACGTCAAGGAGCATTCTCAGATTCGCTTACTTCATCACAATCATCATCACCACCCCCCTCAGCATCCACAGCAGCCATGCCAACAGCAGCACCTACTCCACCAAGTACTTCAGGACACCACACTACCACCTCCACAACATTACCCCCAGTATCACCCAGAGAACCAGTTGGTATTCCCAATGATCATCCTTCCACTCCCAATAGCAATGTAACGGAGCAATACTAATAAAAAACCACCTTTTCACCCTCAAGTATTATTGTAAGCCAAAAAAAATCCTCCATTGTTAATCCTCATTACTATTACTATCCGAATCAATACAATATGGACTACTTTGTGATCCCCTCCGAGTTTCTGGCATCTTTCCTTTGCTCTCCTTTGTACATTCTCTATCCCCTTGGTTTTCATCTTTGATGTTTGACGATGACGATGATGATGATGGTGTTGATGATGATCGTAAATCACATGCATTACTTGTAGAAGGTTGTTCTGGTTGTGCTGTTGTTGTTGATGAAGAAGCAGGTGCTGTGTCCGTTGACGTACTCGTGTTAACAGCTGTGTTGTCAGGAACCACACTTAGAGCTTGTGTAAGCACTTGCATGCTGTGAAAGATTTGGTTTTGAACCGTTTCTAGTAAGCGTAGGCGTTGTACCATGGCATCTCGTGTGGTGTTTGATAATGCTTGAATTTGCTCATCAGACAATGAAACGGGGTCTGCTGTTGTCGAATTCACTTGAGCCGATGGTCCTGAAAGTGGTATGAGAGGAATCATGCCTGGATACGCATTATTGGAAGCAGCCGTTGATGATGACCATGCTGGATCAGGTGCAAGGATGCCTAATCCTGGTGCTTGTGTTGTGTGTTGTTGTTGCTGCGATGGTGGCACATTGTCATGACCATAGAAGGAGCCAAATTGATGTGGTTGAGGGAATTGAGGTTGTCCTGTAGTTGGTGGTGGTGGTTGCTGTGGAGATGATGCATTGGGTTGCTGTTGGTTGCCATGGGGAACACCGCCGCCACCACCATTTTGCTGTTGTTGAGGTGCACGCTCTTCTTCCCGAGAAGAACCATTGTTTCCTGTATGCAATAAACATTAGTTCATGCTTTAACGATCCCTTTCCCTTCATTACTTACCTTCAGGCAAAACGGATCTCCGACTAAGCAACGGTGGAAAAAGAAACGCATAATCAGACAACTTGTCACAATTCAATACGATATAAATAACTTACCATGTTGGACAGCTCTGCTGCCGTTCCAGCCAACTCCTGAGACAATGAAAATGGAAAATGTGACCACAAGGCAACTTTTTTGGTTGATCCATGTTTTGTTGTTGTCGTTCTCGGGGTGATGGTGCGTCTCGATCCTCATTGTTGTTATCATCCATAACGTGCATCTCTTCTCGGCAAATGATACAGGTGCTGTCGTTGCGTGTAAAATCTTCAGCTGCTGCATTGGGGTATAGCTCGTTCATGTTCCTCGTCGCACGGCGATAACGATACAAATCACGGCATTTTTGGATAAATGAGCGGAGAGTCACGTATACGTCGCGGATGATGTGCAATGGTAGTTGATAGTAGTAGCAAATGAAGATAAAAAAGACAATGTACGTGATCAACTTGAAAAAGTCTAATACCAGGAAGAATTAATACCATCTACCTTAAGCCCTTTTTGTAAATTTACCTGTGAAAAGGTCCAAATAAAAGACACACATAGACTTGCCCTCCCATGGTTCTTCGCTCCGCATATCAACGACATTGATGATGTACTTGCCCATAGTGGATAACATGGTCCAGATGAGGATGGTATACTAGTAGTAGTAGTAGTAGTAGCAACATTAGTTTGCCGTCCAAATCATACATTCTTGATCACCCTCCCTACCTCGAATCCAAACATAATCATCATATTGGGGCCTTTACGCATCGTAACATTGATGGCATGTTGAGCAAGTACACAATCGATAATCAGCAATAGCGCCATAAGGTTGATCATTCGCACATGGAAAGAAACTCGATGAGAAGGCGATTGTTCCATCTACATTTCTTTGTTTAGTCAAATGATGGCAATGTGGTACTTGCAACATACAAACTCGACCCGATCTTGGCATAACCAATGGAATATCTTCAAAAAGAGCAATGTCGTAAAGACAATAACAAATTGCAAGTTGAATTCTTCTCGAAATATCGTCATGGCCAGGCATGTTTCACTAACGGCATACCACGACCTCTCATACAAGTGCTATTGTGTTCAACATGTTAGCATATCATGTCAATCAAAGGTTTACAAAGGTTGTCTTACCTCGACTTCAATAGCACGTAGCGTACCAAAGAATAAAGCTTGAAGCGCTTTGCCAAAACAAATAGCCAATATTAATCCCATATTAAGCAGTATCTATTAGTGTATGTGAAGAGTGAGTGATACGACCAAGAGCTTGTCAATGTGTTATAGCGTTGCACGCGTACCATGATGCATGCACTCGATTTTGCCAAGTATAAACAAGCTGCATAGAAATTGGAGCGTTGATGCATTGCATTGAGGACGACGCCGATAGCCAAAAGCGAGGAGACGCCGCTGTAGATAGCGAGCCTCATGGTGGTTGTCGAATGAAGAAGCGAATGGAAGTTGAAAGAGGTGTGTGTGTGTGGAGTGGATAATGCCAGGTCAGAAAAGCCCAAGATTGTTGGAGCCATTTGATTGGATTTGTGTTCACAGTCAATGCCGCCAAGTGAAATGATGCATTGTATCCATCATCCCCTATCGACATCTGTGCTTGCCTAGCAACAAGTGAGCTTATTGATTCAACAATGCCATTTGCACACAAAGATGTTCTTCTATGATTGAGAATGAATCCCTGTTCAGCACACGGCAACAATTTACACCGAGTCTGCTGATGACAGCTTAAAACAGATATATGTTTGCTCCCTCAGCTTCTCCAGAGAATGTACGAAGATCGAAGGAAAAGAATGTGAAAATTTCTAGATAGAAGTTTATAATCCAAGATGATAGTATCAAGGGGGGAAACATGCTAAAGCTTGTTTTGTTATTAAAGAACCTCGGCACACATCATCCGTTTTCCCTCCTTTAGCCTTCGAAAAAGGAGCAAGGACACGTTTCATCTTGAACGGGCGCATAAAGTAAGTTCTTTATCGTGAGATTACCCATCATCCAAGTGCGGTCCACCAAATAACAAACACAAACAAACTTACATTTGGCGCCGCTTACAAGTTTGGCGTAGTAGTATGCGTGTGGTGCCTTGAATAACTTGAGTCGATGCTTTGATGTTAATAAAGGTACTCACTCACCTCTTTTTCGATTACTGATCCTGTTGATATGATATACCACTACCTAATTAGCATTAGAGATTCATTTTTAATGCATACAAGCACCTGCAGAAAAAGCACGTGGCAAAGGCATGCATCTAACAAGATGATGTGCAACAATACAATGAGGATGGGCGAATACCCGGGTGACTGTCGGAAATTGCTTTGCATCAATTCCTATTTGAATGTAAGGGCAGCTCTTGCTGGAATCAAAAGTGGTCGATGCTACTCTCTTTCCCCTCGATATGCCTGATCCCGAGAGTGTGCCGAATTCACCCAATGGGGATTTGCACATGGGCTCACCAAGTTCTCCCCCAGTTCCTCAGATCACTCTAACAAGAGCAAACGATACCCATTCACGTCCATCGACAAGTACTCAACTACCAACCCCTTCACCGCATTCACCTCATTCCTTGTCTCCAACTCTCGGTCGACCTTCCACTACAGCATCCAATTCACCTCCTCCATTGCCTCTCACTCGGGATTTGCTTCAACGAAAGAACAAATTAGACGCCCTGCTTCGCGATGGGAATCGACAAACACAACCACGGCACTATCCAAACCAACAAACACCTATAATGACATTTGGAACTGACAGCAATATCGTGGTGGATGAGCGTGTTACTGCAGGGCTAGGAATATCAACACCAACACCTACATCTGCAGGGTTAGGGATATCAACACCAACACCTACGTCCACATTACAACAACAACAACAGGAGATCCCTTCACGGCATACAACAACATCCAATGTACGACATCGTCGACATTCTACTCGACCTTCCATATCAACCAACATGGCAACCATTATGGATCATGAGAAGCGATCAGGCAATCGTAAAACACCTCCAGCATCACCACACATCACCAATGAATTCTATTCATGGATACACGACATTGATCTCAAAGCACCGCCGGGTCATTCAACCTCCATCAAGGATCATATCATGATGTTTTCTGGTTATTCATCTCGAGCAACTTCACGTTCAGCATCATCCATCCATAACAGTATCTTTGATGAGAAAAAGGATATGTATTATGCCGATACAACAACGCCTTCGATATCACCACCACCCTACAGCCAATACCATTCATCACCCATTCATCACGTTCCTGATTTGATTCGCCCGCATTATGGTCATCAATTACTATCCTATTTCTTTGAGGCTGCTAAACGAGTAGTCAACCTACGTGGACCAGAGGAAATCGATGATTTACTTCAAAAGAACACCATTTCACCACCATCTTCTTCTTATCATCCACGAACACCTCGCCATCATCGAGATGATCACGATACGGCACATTATCATCATCATACAGAACCATCACTTCAAAAACGCATATCCAATGGAACATCATTCGACAAACGTTCTGTATTCAGTAGCCCTGCACTTTCACTTGCGGATGCCCCATCATCACTAGCTAGACCTGGTGTTGTTGGTGGTGGCCAGCAGCTTGACAAACGATCCCTGTATTCCGATTATCCGTCAACGGCAAAGCAAGAGTCCCGGCACACGGCAATGTCATTGAAAGAAATGCCACCGATTATACCACCACCATCATCAACATCGTCATCGTCATCACCACCATCAGGTCCGCTGGGCGGCAATAGTCTTTGTATGTTTACGCCTAATAACCGCATTCGGCGTTATTTGTGGCACAATGTCATTCAATCATGGTAAAAGTCGTGTGGTGATGGTGGTGTGTGCGTATGTATTTGGAAGAGTCACTGATACCATCATGTGTGTATTTAGTTATGTGGAGGCTTTTCTCTTTATCATCATCATGCTACATTATTTTCTCCTGATCTGCGATCCAATCTACGAGAATCAACAAAAGACTATATTTGGTGCACAATGGACACATTACGCTATTCTTGGCATTCAGGTGATCTACACGTATGTTTAAAACAAATCAGGAGTCTCCTTTTGACATTACTTACTTACTCAACCCCCTTTCTCTAGCTTGGAAGCTATCTGCAAGATCATCGTTTATGGCATTTGGCTCCCGCCTACCATATCCACAAGCAAATGCTTTTGGTTTCGGCGTTGGCTAATCTCGTTGTTATCCAAGAATGGCAATGAAACATCCAATCTCTCTGAAGAAGAAGCGCAACAAACCACCACCAAGGAACGTCCATTGACCCATCGGCCTTACATTAGCGGCTTTGCTAATACGCTGGATGTCATATCAATTATATCATACTGGGTCGATTTCGGTTTGATGATCCATGGGTATCCTTATTGCTCTCTTTTCAAGGCCATTGGAGCTTCAAGACCTTTACGACTTGCAATGATATTCAAAGGGACAGCGGTATGAGGATCATGGTTATTGTTTATGCACGCTCATCGAGTGCTCATTATTATATATTAGACTATCCTACGTTCTTTGCTTGTTAGCTGGGATATGCTGAAAGATGTCCTCGGATTCATTTTCTTTTTCCTTGTCCTCTTTGCACTTATTGGGTTGATCACTTTCAAGGGCGTCTTTTCTCGACGTTGCTATGCCCTGGAGCCTGATGGCCAATGTAAGTGTCTCATACACATAGCATCTTGAATAATGCTCTCATACACAACGTTGTTATCAGATACCCTTGTGGAACCACCGTTACATTGTTCGGGTTATTATTCAGGGACGACGGTTATGGGCGCGTACAATCCTGATACCGATTCACACAGCTATGCAGGGTTGGGTGGATACATTTGTCGTAACGACCAGATTTGTATGGAGAACCAGGACAACAATCCCAACTTTGGATTTGTCAACTTTGACACTATCTATTTTGCGCTCCTTGCTGTATTCAGCTCCATGTCGCTTGAATTGTGGACCGAGCTCATGTCTCAAAATATGGATGCCGATTCGAATGCTGCTGCCTTATTCTATTGCTTGGTTGCTTATGTCCTAAGCTTCATTTTGATATTCATGATTTTCGGTAAGATCCCCAAAATACACCCCACCTCCTATCGATGAAAGCTTGCTAATCTTAACCAATAGCTGTCATTACATCTGGATTTTCTCGTGTGCGTGCTGCTCATCGTGTCAGTGCTTTTACGGGAAAGAGAAAGTCCTATCGTGTGCTTCATTCAGTACAAGGCGAGGAGGAAGAATTCATGTGGCGGTTTGAGGATCCAACGGCTTTTGATCAAGGACGCACACGCCGTATCAAACAGCTTTTGATCAGCCTCGTCAAAAGCCGAACGTTTTTCTACTTTGGTGTTCTACTGGTGTCACTGGATATTGGATTCATGTGTGCTCGATCGGCCCATGCTAGCGAGTATGTTCTTGAAATGATTGGTAAGAGATGGTATTATAAATGAAAGGAGTGCATAGTGATCTCATTGCTTGCCTTGATAGACAATGCCGAAACCGCATTCACCTTTCTTTTCGCTTTGGAAATCTTCATTCGCATTGTTGGTGCCCCAAGCTGGACCCAATTTTGGTATTCTGGAAGGAACAAATTTGACCTCTTTTTGGTGATTGTCACGTGCGTCATTCAGTTGCCAATGATACAAGATTCGGAGTCATACAAATATCTTACCATCTTTCAATGCCTACGAGCGTATCGTCTTTTTATTGGTATTCCTCGTGTCAGACGTTTACTGGTAAGTAGGATTGCTATTGCCTTTTTTCCGTTTATGCTTATTTTCCCAATGTTATACAGTCGGCTGCGTTAGGAAATGGTGAAGGTGTCATTTATGTCGTGATCTTCCTACTTTTACTTACGGCGCTATTCTCGCCCATCTTTATGCAATTATTTGGCGGCGACTTTGGCTTTATTGATGGGGATGAGACTGAATTGCGATGTGACACATTTTGGCAGTCGTACTTGACCCTGATCATGGTAAGCTTCCATATCCGATTTTCCTATCGTGTATAACCTTGCTAATGTTGCTATCCCCCCTATCATAGATCTATACCAGTGAAACTTGGACAGTGAGTATCTTTAGGATTCATTCAGACGTGTAGCGCTAATGGATGATCATTAGGAATTTCTTTACAATGCCATGGAAAGTCAACCCAATTTCTCAGCTGTCTACGCTGCAATCATCACCAGCGGATATTTTGCGTTTGCCCGATGTATGTATGATACTTTATGGATATTCATATTGACAATGATTGACATTCAAAATGCTATTACAAAGATGTCATGGCCGGTCTTTATATTGCAGTGATCTTGGAAAACTTTGAATTGGAGGACGAGTTTATCAAACAATATCAAATACGGCAATTCATTCAGAGGCGCACTCATACAGGAGTTCATCGCTTCCAAAGCATCATTAACAAGTAAGTGTACCCATGTTCCTAGTACACGCACGCAGATTCTAACATGCTATACAGGGTGTTTGGATCCATGTATTTGAAATCAAAAAAGAAGCAAGTGAATGTTCGGCGGCTACCAGCTGGATTGACAGCATCCATGGACAAGAACGCTTTAACGGATTTGCTTGTTGGTCAACCTACTGCTGAGTCAACCAATGGAAAGTCAAAGGTCGTTGCAGCAAACCAGGATCGACCCAAAGACTTGTTTGATAAGATCTTTCGCCGACGACAAAAGCAAGAAGATTCACCACAAACAAAGAGGTATGTAGGTTGCATGTGGATGGCATTGTGATCTTTTTAACATTTGGATGTATCTCTTAGGAGTGACATGCCAAGTCCACTCGATCCCTTTGCAAATGACGTTCCTGACGATGACTATGAATTGATTGTTGAAGAAGAAAATCGACAAGCTTCGGCAGCTGAGATCCCAACATCAAAATCGCTTTTCATTTTCTCATCCAACAACAAAGTACGCCGCTTTTGCAAGATGCTTGCAGGATCATCCGCTAATGGGCGTGTCGAGAGAAAGAACCTGTTCAACTGGTTTATCATGGCATGTGTATTGGCAAGCATCCTTCTTGTCATCCTTGATGAACCATCCACACGTTTAATGCGACAAGATACGATTCGACAATCGGCCTACCGAGTCGCTGATATGGCACTCAGCATCATTTTCGTGATCGAAATCATTGTGCGTATCATTGCTGATGGCTTTATCCTACCACCAGACGCCTATTTGCGCAACGCATGGAATCGACTTGATTTCATTGTGGTCATTCTCAACTTGGCTGCTCTCTTTGCTGGCGATGGTGACCTTTCTCGAGCACTTGGAACGGTGCGTAGTCTTCGTGTTCTTCGATTGATCCGTTACTTTAGTGGTATGCGTGATGTCTTTGTCGATTTATTCCATGCATTCCCGCTCATGCTGGATGCGCTCCTGCTGGTGTTTTTGGTCATGATTTTCTTTTCCGTATACGGTGTCAACATGCTTGGTGGCCGTATGACAGCATGCAATGATGACGAGGTGGAAGGACGATCCACGTGCATTGGCGAGTTTATCAATAACGTTGGTGACGATGATGATGCAACCATCAATATTTTACAACCACGTGTATGGGCCATTCCTGAAGGTGGCATGTACAGCTATGACGACTTCCCAATTGCATTGGCCCACTTGTTTAGTCTCTCATCAACTGAGGGTTGGGTAAGTTGACAAGTGTATACAATAGGCAAAACGTGGAATTAACTTTATATTGTATCAAGGTCGACTCTCTCTTTTATGCCATGAGTGCTCCACCTGAGCCTGATATTCAGCCTTCGTTTGATTGGAATGGTCCTTCCGTTTATCACTCAATCTTTTATGTTGTTTTCATGGTGGTCTCACATGGCACGCTGCAGCTTTTCGTTGGCGTCATTATTGAAAAATTCAAACAAAGAGCCGGCATCACGACAATGACTACCGGACAAAGACAATATGCTGATTTGCTACGCCAGCTGGCAGAAATCAAGCCAACCCCCAAGGCCCAGGCGCCTAATAACAGGATTGGTCATTGGTGCCATAATCTCGTCGTCAGCAAGCGCGGCTTGTTCAATAAGTTTATGATGTCGGTGGTCATCCTGAATATATGTAAGTGCATAGCATCAAGCATCATTGTTATCTTTTATACTCATTGTGATGATGATGATGATGATGATGATGATGATGATACAGGTGTCATTTGTACGGAGTTCCAGAATCAACCTGAATGGCTCACAACTACCCAAGGTCGGTACCATGTCATTCTACGGCTGTAGTTTTCTAACCCACTATTGTAGATTACTGTTATTTGGTGTTCATTATCCTTTACATATTCGAATCTATTGCCAAATTCATCGGCTTGGGCTGGAAAAAGGTATTAACTCACCCACTTACATCGTGTATCTTCAACAACAATTAACACACTATGCATAGTGGAGTAAAGGGAAATGGAATTGGTATTGTGCCTTTATCGCCATCAGTGCGTTTGTTTTGACTATTCTACGATTTGCTTTACCCGACGTAAGTATAAAAGGTAAAGGGATGCATCATCATATTCACTCCCTATTTATAGCTTTGGACACTGCGATTGGAACGATATTGCCTTGTACTTGCTGCTTTCCGGTTGGGCGAAGGCATTGATGCGTTGCAAACTTTGTACCATACGATACGGTAAGACCACGGTAGCATTTTAACGTCATCGCATGACTCACATAGCATGATTAGAATGTCGCTTCCAAAGATCATTCGCGTCACTGCAGTCTTTTTACTTGTCTTGTGCCTTTTCGCAATGATATTCATGGAACTGTTTGGCCTTACAAAATATGGACTTGAAACCAACGAGCACAACAATTTCCGGGATTATGGGAATGCACTCCTTTTGCTCATCCGTGTCGCCACCGGTGAAGCTTGGGTAATGATTTTTTCACGCAATTTCATTGTTGTATCGTATTCTCATTGTTCTTTTTTCCTTTTTAGAATATTGTTATGATGGATTCGACAGTGCAAGCCCCTAACTGTGTTGCTTCGGACGACTATTTGTTAACGGATTGTGGGTCACCAGCATGGGCTTTCTTCTTGTACAATACGTTTTACCTCGTGTGCACACACATCTTTCTCAACTTGTTCACAGCCGTAAGTACATGCATTGTTTCTTGGTGAAATTGATGTCTAATTACTTTGCAATAGGCTGTGTTGAGCAACTTTGAATACGCTTATGAGACGAGATCACGATTCACTTTGCTGAGCAAGGATGATTTACGAAGGTATGTAGTGGCAGCGGGTACCAAAGGAGGATGCCAATATTAATGCGTATAAAAATTACAGCTTCAAGTCCGCTTGGTCTGAGGTAGATCCTTCTGGCTCTGGGTACATTCAAAGAGAAGACGTGGTCAAGTTTCTTAGTGTAAGTCTTATTGGGTGGTATTAAAGGCGATATGAATCACTAACGTTTATGTCAGCTCTTACGAGGTCGTTTTCGTATGTGCATTTACGACGATCGACATAGCATCGGCAATTTGCAAAAGCTCAGTCAACAAGGAATACCTGACTCTTTCATTATCAACGAAAAGCCAAGTGGATTTTCATCGACGACAAATGTGGGATTGCCTATACCATACAACGTTGATATTGTCAACAAAAGCTTAAGCAAGATCGATTCGGCTGCTCTCCGAAGACGTCGCCGTGATTTCAACTTGTGCTACTTGGTAAGGGAAACATTGGTACATTGGATATGGGAATAAGACTAAATTTATTCATTGGTAACAGGAAATTATTGGGGCTGAATCTGCCCGTGGGATTTCATTTGAGGATGTGCGTACAATCATGTCGTATCGTTTTGTTGATATCGAAGAAGCATTACCGTAAGTCTGATTATGGGTCCAGTTGTACGTGTTATTTACATCTCTTTTGTGTAGCATCGATGCATTGATTGTGCGACTGGAAAAACAAGATCAAGTGAGCAAGGCTTATGCAGCTGAGCGTGCACGCGGTGTGTTCTTGACTTTGTTGCAAAGAAAGCGATATCTACATGCGTTGTGGCAAAAGAAGAATGAGGAAGAAATGCTAAAGTTGGGCATCAGCACCAAAAGCCCTCTTCAATTGGATACTTCAGCTGCCGGATTGTCACCCAAAAGTCCACGCATGGCTAATCAGTGGAAGAATAGATCACCTGGTAAGTACTTGGATTATGCAAAGAGAATACTTTTGTCGCTGATGGCTGTGTAATAGTGCCCACGATCGTCATCGAAGATGCCCCACCTTCACCACGACTCGTATCCGATTATGCATCGCCCGCATCGCTTACCATTCCTTTGTCGCCCATGTCAAATTACTCCTTTGAGACACAATATGGCTCACCTATTGGGCAAGGTGGTGGCGCTGATTCATTGAATGTGGCTATCGGCACAACCAGTCCACAATACTCACCATTCCCTTCAACCGATCAAGAAGAAAACATCTCGTTGCCTGGAGCACTTTCACCCAATTCACCGTATAGTCCAACTACTTTACGCCAAAACTGGAGAGTCATTGACGGCAATGCTAGCATGTCCTCAGAACTAGCGGAATCGTTGATGGATTCTCTGGAAAGAAATGCATGGGCTGGTAAGTTGTTGCAAAAATGGAAAGATGCAATCGGTTGCTAACCAACAACTTTATTATAGACATGCTCCATGACAACCATTGAAACATTTTGTAAACATCCTCCCCTCACCTATTTACCTTGTACAATTTATAATGCTATACCCCCACCACCACCCTCAATCTCCCTGAGATTCACCATTTCGATGTAAATCAACTACTGTATCATATTCTTGTCACCATGCTAGAAGCGTGTAGCTTGGTACCTTTCATTATATAGACTATCCAAGTTGAAAATGTGATCATATAAATCACGATTTGTTATAAACGATTCTCATGTCTACATTACGTGTGGTATCATATAGAATAGTAACCTCGAGCAAATGTCAACACATATGGAAGTGTGTCCGTCGCATAGCAACCACGTGATGTAAATGAGTGCGGGGTGTATAAACTTAAGGATCAGCTCCCACTCATGCGTTAGTGCTCTCCTTTACTCTCACGTCCACTGCATGCTACAAAGCAACCATTGGTGACCATGGATTCGGAAGAAAGGACTGCTGTCTTATGGTTTATGCAAGGCAGTTGTATGGTTTCATTTTACAGCTACACTGAAGGGGAAGGCAATCGCAAACGTAATCTCGGCACTGAAAATCTCGTATTGGCCGATCTTTCATACCGTCAGATTTGTTCATTGGTAATAGAAGAGCCTATTCAGGTGCACGTTTCTATTTTATTTGTATAATGTTGGCTAACAGGATGGTGTTTGATGGTGTGAACGCACGTGATATAGAAAATAGCGCAACCAGCGATCCAACATTTGACTCATCTCACCAAGCTGGAGTTACAAAGCAATCGATTAACGACGTTGCCAGCCGAACTATGGAGACTTTCAGGATTGGAGGAGCTCAATGTGGGCAAGAATCGAATTACATTTATCCCACCTGATATTGCACGCTTATCACAGCTGCGTGAATTATACCTGTACGACAATCTAATCGAGACTTTACCTTCACAAGTGGGTGACTTGAAACAGCTACAGATCCTTGATGTCACTGCCAACAAGTTGAGCTATTTACCTGCCGAGTTGTTACGTTTGGCTCTCACCAATACGTGGATCGATCGAAATGATTTTGCTGTGGATCTCAAATGGAAGCAAAAGGAGGGTCCTTTTCGGATACGAGGGGCCAGTTTCTCAAAGACAATGCGTGTAGATGTCTTATCTTTGCGGTCCCTTTGTCTTCAAATCGCCGGATCCAATCTCATTGAACTCTCACAGAAGGAAGGAAACCAAGAATTACAACATCAATTGGAGATATTACAACATCAATCGTGCCTTTCTCAACTATTACTGGATGAATTGCTTCAACCCTTATCTCCTGCTGCTGTGCCTGCTCATTGTTACAAGTGTGGAACAACACTCTTCCATCCCGGTCTTTCCTTCATTCGTTACTTTGATACTTATAATAGAGCCAAAGTCCCCTTTATGTATAAATCTTGCAGCCAAACATGTCTTAATCAATTGCTGTCTAGTAATATTGCTAATAATAAAACACCTGTAACATCCGTTCCTCCGCCTTATTTACATAGTGCAATGACATCGCCTTGGCGACGCCAGTCGTCATGGAAATGTGAATTGAAAAATCTCGCACATTCATGGTATCCTTGTTGCTCCTTCAAGATATGGGCGACATTGTTGTTTTCAAGGAGTTGTTCAAACATTAATAGATGCGATGGCCATTCTTTGTCAAAGTCGTCGGAAAGAAATCTCACTGGATCTGCATAAAAGCGATCGGCCTCGTCTACATAATCCTTCTCGCCATCAAGGGGTGGCTCGCAGGTAAGAAACCACATGTTGGTATCCGGTTTATGAACCATGGATTGCCATGGTGTTGAGTGACATGGCATGAGTACGCCCACGGATGATACTTCAGGTTGATCCCGTAGCCAAAGCATGGCATCGACAACACCACGTTGATGCCACAAGTTGAGATAGAATGCCATGGGTAGCTGAGTGAACACGAGTAATAGAGCAATAGCTGTACGTCTCTTTGTTGAGTTGATTTGAGCAAGCCCTGAAGCAGCCAAGATGAGCATGATTGGGAGGATTGGATAAATGAATCGAAATTCCTTGTGAGATAGTAAGCTGTATACGGCGAGGACCCATACGACTAGCTGCACAAGTACACGTTGAGCTTTTGTATTGTCCGATCCTGCTGTTGTAGCCATTGCCTTGTAGCCACCATAAAGTGTAAAGGGAAGGAGCGTAGTGAGTACCACAGGTACGCCTTGAGAAAGATACCAATGCCAAGGATGAACACCATAAATCAATGAAATCGAATCCAGCACATTGACTTTGACAAAGTTGAGTGGTGTCAATACGAGTTCGCCATACATCCATGAATTGAGAAGAATATCACCAGCAACTACCAAGGATCTAGATTTCATAAAGATAATAGTCAACACCCTATGCTTGCTTCATCCCCATCTAATACTTACACAATGGCAGCTGCATTGAAAATCACCGCTATACGACGACCTGATGATCCAATTATCAATTGCGCACCAAGGAATAGCCATACGAGCCCGTTGGTAGGTCGCATCACGCATGCCATTCCAGCTAATAAGAGTGCCACCCGGTAATCCCTTGATACAAAAGTAAGTATCCTATCCTCGCATTCTATTCCATTTGTATATACCTGATACTTGTGGTCTTGTTGAGATTAGCCAAGGGCCAGTAATTGAGTGCCGATACGGTGAACATGGCTTCCATAGCATTTGAAAGTGTACGTGCAGCGATGAAATAATTGTACCAAGAGCATAGAGTGATCAGCAGCTAAATAAAGGACCTGCTTTAGCCCAATTGAAATGACAAATCTTTATCCACTCCACACGTACTATATAAGGTGCGATGGTTTGGTTGATCACTCGCTTGCCCAGGTTGTATGTTGCATAATCGGTGATAGCTGCAAAGCAGGCTTGTAATAATTTTGGAGCCCAAATCTGGCAAATAAAAAAGAGCGTGTGTATGTGAACAAAAGATTCATGCAACCATCTTTTTGAGTACCTACCAACGCCATCGTCTGATCCAGATGTAACCAAGCAACCAATTTGTACAACGTAGCGAACAGCATAGGATGTGCAAAGTTCCGTATGCAAGATTGCCATTCCCAAGTGATATACCCATATGTGTCAGCTAATGGTTAAGGATTGTATAATCTCGATTGATGATGTCTTTGATATAAATAGTGAAGAAGAAAAAAAGGATATCCAAAGACCATATGATGTGCCACTTCTTGTGCTTGCCAGTATTCATCTGGATTATCGTAGGTGCGGGTAAAGAAAGCATTGACCAGTCGATGTATCAGGCACAGGCCTAATACAAAGAGCTTGGAAGTGTGTGTCGACTGCTGTCTGCCCAATATCACGTGGGGATCTTTCTTGTCGTCTATCGCCTCCTCCTTGGGCTGCAATGTTGATGACGATGCGCGATGGCGTAAATCCGGATGATCGGTGGTCATGGTTGAAGGGAAAAGGGAAAGCAACGTGGAAGGTCAGCTGCTATCGCCTTGGGAGAAAAATGTCAGCCGTGAGCACTGATTTTCGCTTTGTTTCTCTCTCTCTCTCTTTCTCTTTCCACTTGCACATATTTATATACACATACATACGCCATGGTGAAGTCTAGCATTATTGTACCCGCTCAATCAACAGGCTCAGCATCACGTAAACGATCTATGGATCAGGACGATGAGCATAGCGACAACAACAACGCCGAAAAAGCAACCGACGATAATGAGACCGAAGTAAATAGATCGACCACTTTGGCAATAGCTGTGCATTGAGCTGACGACCTTGACTACTATTAGACAAAGAAACCTAGGCTTGAAATGTCAACAGCCAGCAGACGACGAGGTCAACGTTTATTCGGTGTACTGTTGGGCACCCTTAACAAGTTTAAGGATGATAGCGAGAAGCGATCCGAAGGGGTAAGTATCATTCTCGCACGCGTAAACCATTTATTTACTAATATGATTCATACTTGCAGGAGAAAAAGCGACAAGAGATTGATATCAAATTGCATGAGAAGTTAGCGAATGAGAAGAAGGAACTAGCAGAGAAGATGCAGGCTGACAAGGAACGTCGAGAACAAGAGCTCAACATGCTAAGAGTGCGAGACCAACGAATTTTGGATGAGAAAAGGGTATTGTATTGTAGTTCTCTTACGTGGATCTTTTTCAGTCACTCACACACAATGCGTTATGCAGGATGCAACCAATGTACGACACAAAGAATACACTGCCAACTATTTAAAGACTACGACCACGCCCGTTTTACTCTATCGACCGGCCAAACTCACCGATGATATGGAAAAGAAACTTTCGCAGCAAAAAGAGGATGCGCAAGAGGCTCGTAAAGCATATGAAGAACGCCGAGAACAACGAATGAAGGAGGATGAAGCTGAGGACAAGTCGGCATTAGAAGCAGCGGAAAAACGACATTATCACCAGCGTGAACAACGAGACGATGATGATAATGAGCGAGGTGGTGATGAACGTGACAATGGATCCATGGTGGGTAGCCCTCGTTTAGAATCACCTGCACCTGAAGACGCTGTAGCTGATCGTGATGAATAATAAAACGATCTTGGATTGAAATTCCCATAATCAATGATACGATCGCTTAAAGAGATGTTGAGAGACACTATGCAACATGACACTTCCAATGGGATTATTGAGGTTTTTAATTTTGGGAAAAAGGATAGCATTCAAATTGTACAAGTGCTCTTTGTCTAGTAGTATTACAATGTGCGGATACCCATCACCGCTCGTTTATTTGGCATAGTTGTAGAAACCACGACCGCTCTTTTTGCCGTACCAGCCAGCATCAACATACTTTTGCAACAACCAGCAAGGGCGGTATTTGGAGTCGCCAGTGTTGTCATAGAGAACCTTTTGGATGGCCAAGCAGGTATCCAAGCCGATAAAGTCGGCCAAAGTCAAGGGACCCATAGGCATGTTGGTGCCCAATTTCATGGTAGTGTCGATATCTTCAGCGCTTGCAGCACCCTATTCAACGACCCTTGTTAGTATCCTCTCTACCCATCTCTCATCCTCCTATACTTACACTCTCCAAGAGCATGACGGCCTCGTTGATGTAGGGCATCAACAAGCGGTTGGCAACGAAACCAGGGATATCCTCGGCAACGGTTGTAGTCTTGCCCATGTTCTTGGCCAATGCAAGGGTGTCCTGAAGCACATCGTCTTTGGTGGCAAGACCGGGGATGACTTCAACGAGCTTCATCACAGGCACGGGATTCATAAAGTGCATACCAATAACCTATTACCCCAAGTTACATATTAAAACCTTGTTCGTGGATGATGGTGATTGATATGACTTTACCTGCTCGGCCTTTTTGGTAGCAGCGGCAATCTTGGTGATACTGATACTGCTGGTATTGGTGGCAAGGATAGCATCCGATTTGCAAATGGCGTCCAAGTCACGGAAGATGGCATTCTTGATGTTCAAGTTTTCGGAAGCAGCCTCAATGACGATATCAACATCCGACAAGGATTGCATGGAGTTGGTGGTGGAGACTAATTCACGTGTGCCCTTGGCATGTTCAGCGGTGATTTTGGATTTGGAAACATCCTTGTCGAGCAACTTGTCTAATAACAACGTGTTGGTTCTCATATGGGAACATGGAAAATCACCTTGGATCAAGATGCTTACTCATAAACTGGATACCACGATCAGTTTGCTCCTTGTTGATATCCATCAACACCACTGGAAGACGTGCGACATTGGCAGCAACATAGGCAATACCCAAACCCATTTGGCCAGAGCCCACCACACCAACACGCTTGATATGGTCAATGTTGCGCTAAATAGAAAACAATATCAATAAACATGTACACATCAGTTAGTCGCGTTGCATACTTACAAGGTTGGCAGGGGTGCTTGAAAGGAAGCGACGAGTGGTCTGTCATTCGAGTATTTGACATGTGTAAGCGTGATGCTGCAAGTCCAATAGTAGCATGTAACACTCACCTGAACAGTGGCAGGAAGACGCTTGCAGCTGTTGAGGGTGATGCCAATCATTGTGCAGTAATGAGAAGAGGATACAGGAACAGTATTGCGGGGGAGGTGGAGTAGAAACTATATGGGTGCGGGGGGTGAAGAGATAACGGAATTCAATTTGTAAGCTCTTGCTCGGCATTGCATTTTCCCACGATGGTATTCTTTTCGTCGGGATCATACTTGATCTCTCTCTCTCTCTTTCTGTCCCGTGACATTTCGTGCCCTTTGCCATTAAACCCCCCCTCCTCCTTGTCAGGGACAAAGAAACCAATTAATTAAACAAAGTAGTATGAACAAAGCTGGAAAGTCAATTCAATACAAATATGTTTGATCATACATGCATTCCTAAGCATCCATATTCATTGTCCCTCGCTTCATCATCTTATATAAACCTCGTAAGTTTCAAGCGTGTTTCTCTACATTTCTACCTTTACAACTTTATACACGCATACATCAATCCCAAATGGCACGTCATACATCCATCATTTTCCTTGCAACATTACTACTTTTAGTCTACTCGTTGTCAAATGCTGTCACGGCATTACCTGCTGACTCTGCCCCCAAGCGCTATGAAAAACATACCAACGTATGCTCTTGCCCAATTCCGGCTGCCGACTTTGGAAAATGTTGCTCCTCAGCATCAGGCAGCGTAGACGGCGAACAATGTAACTTTGATAACGACAACACCATGTCTACTTTCCAGATCTGCTGCGCTCGTAACGGTGGATCAAGCTCGTGTGACACAAGCGATATCACAATGGTTCAAGATTAAAGAGAGTGTTGCTGCCATCTTGGTTCTTCATCCCTACAAGATGCTTTAACCTTCTTTTGCTACAATTTAAAATGTTCTATCTAGTGCAAGATGCAAATAAAACGGCATGCAAAATCCCTTCTTCAGAATCAACGTAGATAGTTGTTATAGCAACCACTGGCTTGGTTACCATGATGGGGGATGTTGTTGTTGGGCAACTTGTATGCATACATACATACATACTTGCTTTGTGATGCACATCCGTTTAGTTAGTATTACATGTATTGTGTCTCTTTTTCAACCACTCATCCTACATGAAGGGGAAAGGATAGTAATTGCAATGGGTACCAACAGGGATCGTTGCTATTGATAGCATAGCGATCAGAAAAGGCAATCAGTTAGCGTATGTGTGAACATCCACCGTCACATGCTGTGTGCAGCAGCAGTTATGATGGCTGCAACCCCCATCAATGATAGTGATGACTGATGCATATGCTGGTGATGGTGGTGTACATTATCGTCAGCTTTACTCAAGCGCATACGCATACAATTTCTCGAGATGGTAATGCTGATGCCTCAACATGTAAACATAAATGCATGGCACACCTTGAATGGATTTCGTCATTCTCGTGCCCACATTACACCTATACACAAAGAAAACAAATGGCTACATGTGCACCATGATGCGACCCACTTTAACGGGTATCATAGCAACGGTAACCATAGGCCCCGTAACTAGTATCCTTTTTGATAAAAGTTGGCCATTCAACGTATGCATGAAAGAAAAGGCATCCCCATATCTATATGCGTATTCGACAAGTGGAAAGGATCCGTAAAGATCCGCCATTCACCCCCCCCACCTCCACGCACTCTTACCCCATTGAGAAGAATTCTGTCCAAAAATCACACATGTGTTGTAAAGCAAGACAGGTTCACGGGGTTTATGTTGTGGATGAGAAAAGAGCATGGCATGAGACTAGCACCAGATGTACAGTACCCAGCTTATAGTTGCCTTGGTAGTGGTTCCTTGTGCACCGGTACACTATTCTCTTTTATCCTGTGATGGTTGTACTCATCACTTTTTGCCATTGGCACGTGGCTGACATGACAAACGAATTCACAACAGCAAAAAAGAAGGTTTGTGTACCGTGGATATTTAGATTCATGTAGGCGATCACCATCGTCATAAAAGAAGGGAGATGCTCAACGATGTATTCAATCATCACGCAGCTATGCACAAAAGCCTTTTCATGTGATGATAAATGGATCACGGGGAAAGAAATATAAACAAAGATGCGTGTCCTCTTCTTGTTGTGCCAAAAGTGGCAGTGAATGCAAGCGTACTCAACGATAGCGAGTGTGTGTGTGTGTGTGTGTGTGTGTGTGTGTGTGTGTGTGTGAGCGAAAGGAGATCGCCCATTAGCCCCGACTTCGAATTGGGCGATCGATAGACATACATAGAAGAGAGAGATGTGTAATGCTATCTTGTGCACTGGAAGGGTAAAAGTCATGGGACCAATTAACACGAGAAGAGATCTGGTTGTTGTGTGTGTGTGTATGTGTACCGCTGGCTAGTATGTTGTGCATTATACCAGAAGAGTCCGTGTGTACCATTTGTGCGATATCACAATGCATTGTTCAAAAAAGAAACAACACCAACAACACGGAGTCGCTGCCGAGAGTAGTGCACACAATAAATTTGGTGATGAGCACAGACATCGGTATCCTTTCCATCAACAGCGACCCCGGTACAAGTAATCTTTCTCTTTATCGCTAAGAAAGCCATAAAGATGTATGTATGTATGAAGCTATCGTCACTAAAAATCGATCGTTTGGGCCGTGCACGACGCCTTGGTTGATTGCAAATAAACACATGAACGCTCAGACCACACGCACAGCTTTGTGTATAATATCCATGACATCTGCTCATGCTCACATGGGATGAGGCAGGTTTTCCTTTTTATTCCCTTGTCGTTTTCAACACTTGTTAAATCCCAATACACTGGATACGTAGTCGCCAACATCATCATTTCATGTTTTATTGCTCCATTGTGGAAAGGGGAAAACGTAACGTGATCATGGGGGCCGTCTTTTCATGGTAACAAACAACCATTGTAGACATATGGGAAAGGCCCATTGATGAAGCTGTGGGTGCGGAAGCACACCTTTGATTTATGAGCGCACCCAACAGTACATTGTGTATCCCTGTTGCTCCCATGACCTAGGGAACCTTAATGTAAAAGTGCTCGTGATACTTGAGCTCGGGATCGTTGGGCCGTAATGGGAGCACATTCACCACCACCACCATCACCGGTAACGCATATAGAGTTATACAGCTGATAGCATGGTGGTGAAGAATATGTGATTCTCATCAAGCTCAAAATCCACATACACGGTGCCACATACACACAAAATTCGTATCCGCTGGTCCGGATCTTGGTGTGTGTATATATATAAAATCCCTTCAACATTGATTTCATCCTCGCCCTCTCTCTTTCAATTCTACATACACAAACACAACCTTTACTACACACAACACATTTGCAAGACCATGGTTATTATGACCCCAATCGATCATAAGCATACGAACAATGCAGCTACAAGGATCTCTGATACGAGCAAAGTATGCAGTGTCCGAGGCAGAAGCTATTGCTTGATCCATCGCCGTTATTTTGAAACAAGCTGGTGCCCTGATTGTGGCCGTGCAGCAATTAGTAAGTTCTGGAATGGTCGTGATAATTGCTGTTGGACATTGTGCTGATGGATTGTATCGGTAGTTCGTCGCTGAGAAGCATCCAATCATTCTACCTCGATTCACATTTTGATCATCACCTACCATCACATATACTACACAAGCACAAAAATCCTCCTCATATCGCAAAACACCACATCCACAAAAAAAAAAGCCAAAAAGCACATGACATCTATCTGCTACCTACTCACTCACTTTCAATTAACCTGCTGTATCTTCTACCTAAAAAGATTAGTCTCAAAACACCATCCTGAAAAAGAGTAAAAACCTCATCATGCATCGTATGCTGCATACGAAGATAAAAGAAGTCGTTACACCGATCATGACTCTTTACTATATATGACGCTATCTTGCATGGATTTGCGACGCATGAACAAGTGCATTGCTGGTTATTCTCGTGTATGTATGCAGTAAAAGTAGCACAGTTTGTCTTTTCGTTCTAGGCTTTTGTGTATATGACCCTGTGATAGAAACGCATGTACACAAAAAGGCATATCTCGGTACCACTTTTGTTATCGATTATCATTTTGTTATGTCATTATGTGTACGCTCACATGGCCAGTAACAAAAATGAAAAAGTGTGAAGGAGGAGGTAGTGGCATACATTCGCTTTCAACATGTCCACATTCATTTGTTGGAGCATCTTCCATGTGAATGAAAAGGAAGGGTACATTTTGTCCCACCCAATAAGCTTTTTCCATATTCTACCTTTTCAAGCTACCCATGCCGTCATTCTTAAATGATCGCCAACGATTGCTGTGCCCGACCTTCCTCCATCATGCATGAATCACTTTTTACCGATTCTTGTGTGCAAGGTGAGAACCATCAGTGATTGGCCAAATCTATACCCTTCATGTCATGATACACAGCCAAATAAAGCAAGCTATGTACTGCTGATGCTGCTTTGATCATGCTAACAAAAGAGTAATCCGGCTGCGGCTGGTGCGATGTATGCATATTGTTGTGTACCACCCAATCCCAATTTCCGCCATGTAACGATCATCACACATCTTCTACTACCAAGAATGCATCAACAAAGAACCCCAGGAATCGTCAACTGCTTTGCCAAAATGAGCAAGTGGATGGTCAACAATGACATCAATCTTGATGTGTTGTACTCTTACACATTGCTATTGTCGATGGTATTAGAGTGTGTGCATGCGCTCATCCTCCATTGTAAGGGCGCATTGATTATATGCGACATCTGGGTTGCTCTCGTTTACAAACTCTTTATTGCTTTCCTTTCAAATCCTCATGTGTTTAATACTACAATGACTCCATCTACTGTATCCGATTGGGACGTTGCTCTTGACCGCGATTCACCAACATGCAACGTTGAGTGCTGACAACAGCTCATTTGGGGAAGTGGTATTCGACAATGCTACTCTGGATACTCGACCGATTGCGAACTGCCGTCGTCAGCGATTGACAAATGCAATGAGACTCTATGAATGCATCTCCTTGATGCGTACGATTGGAACTGAGACACAGCTACGAGTTCGCCTATTGTTAGCATCAACCATGTTCATGCAGCCTGGTGCCTGATATCACTTGTCGACATGCAACAACGTTTCGATTATCAATACCCACATCATCTTTCAGCCCGTGGCATAGCTAAAGTGTCAACCCACGGATATATGCATGACAACATTCGAATACCATCAGCATTGGAGAATAGCAATGATCCCGTTAGCAGCAAAGATATCGCCTTTTGAATGAGTCAACGTCAATGTATTGTGGAACAAAGAGGAGATTTGGCCAAGAATGAATGAATGGATGAGAGGTGGTCTGTGTCAGTAAGTATGCAATGTCTGAGCCAAGATGACAGTGCCACAAGGGAGCGAATGAAATTAATCACCAGTTGTTCGGTAGAAAGTTTGAGGTCATTCATCGAACCTGTCAAGGAGATGGAGAAGGCGCTTACCCAATAGGATTTGAAAACTCAACCTGAGTCACAAGGTGAGCATTAAAGCGATCGTCTCTCCGCCACTACTTGATTCGTGTCATTGCTCTTTCCACATTCATCTCTCTTTCCCCCTTTTTCTCACAACCCCCCACCCCCTACTCTTACTTGCAATATCATTAACATGGGACGTACTCTCTATGACAAAGTTTGGGATGATCACGTCGTCGATCGTCAAGAAGATGGCACTTGTTTGATTTATATCGACCGACATCTTGTCCACGAAGTAACCAGTCCACAAGCATTCGAAGGTCTTCGCAACGCTGGTCGTAAGGTTCGCCGTCCGGATTGTACACTCGCCACGGTGGATCACAATATCCCAACAACATCTCGCAAGACATTCAAGAATGTGACCTCCTTTATCGAAGAAGCTGATTCTCGCACTCAGTGTGAAACGCTTGAGCAAAATGTCAAGGAATTTGGTTTGACGTACTTTGGCTTGGATGACAATCGTCAGGGTATCGTGCACGTGATTGGTCCTGAGCAAGGTTTTACGCTTCCTGGTTGTACTGTCAACTGTGGTGATTCTCACACATCGACGCATGGTGCTTTTGGTTCTCTTGCTTTTGGTATTGGTACATCTGAAGTGGAGCACGTCTTGGCTACCCAAACCTTGCTTCAAAAAAAGTCCAAAAACATGCGTGTCAAGGTTGATGGCAAGGTGACCCCTGGTGTCACTAGCAAGGATATCGTGTTGCATGTTATTGGTGTTATTGGCACTGCTGGTGGCACTGGTTGTGTCATTGAATTCTGTGGATCGGCTTTTGAAGAGATGTCTATGGAGGCACGTATGTCTGTGTGCAACATGTCAATCGAAGCTGGTGCACGTGCAGGCATGATCGCACCCGATGAGACGACATTCGAGTATGTAAAGGGACGTCCTCTTGCACCACAAGGCGAGGAATGGAATCGTGCTGTGGAATATTGGAAGACTTTGCGATCTGATGAGGATGCTGTATACGACGTGGATATCTTTATTGACGCAGCCGATATTGCACCTACTTTGACTTGGGGTACTAGTCCTCAAGATGTGGTTCCTATCACTGGCAGTGTCCCTGATCCCTCCAAGGTGGATGATCCTGCTCGTCGTTTGGCTATGGAACGTGCTCTCACCTACATTGGTCTCGAACCTAATACCCCCATGGAAGAAGTCAAGGTCGACAAGGTTTTCATTGGCAGTTGTACCAACTCGCGTATTGAGGATTTGCGTGCTGCTGCTCAAATTGCCAAGGGTCGACGTGTAGCCGATTGGGTTTATGCTATGGTTGTGCCTGGATCGGGTCTCGTCAAGAAGCAAGCTGAACGTGAAGGATTGGATGTCATTTTCAAGGAAGCTGGATTTGATTGGCGTGAGGCTGGTTGTTCAATGTGTCTTGGTATGAACCCTGATCAACTCAAGCCTGGTGAGCGTTGTGCAAGCACTAGCAACCGTAACTTTGAGGGTCGTCAAGGTGCTGGTGGTCGTACTCATTTGATGAGCCCTGCTATGGCTGCTGCTGCTGGTATCAAGGGTTACTTTGCTGACATCCGCAAGATGCTCCCTGCTGAGGAACAAACAAAGTCTACTGCTACCTCTGCACCTGCTCATCCTATCGAACCTGAAAATGAGCCTGTTGAAGATCATGCTAAGGCTGCCGATCAAGCTGATCCTGTCACTGATGCACCTGCTGGATCGGAATCACCTGCAAGTGGCGCACCTACCGATGCTGCTGGTATGCCAAAGTTCACTACTCTCAAGGGTATCGCCGCACCCATGGATATTGCCAATGTGGATACCGATATGATCATCCCCAAGCAATTCCTCAAGACTATCAAGCGCACGGGTCTTGGCACTGCTCTCTTTTACGCTTTGCGTTATGATCCTGCTACCAATGAAGAGCGTCCCGAATTTGTCTTGAACCAAGAACCTTATCGTCATGCTCGCATTCTCGTATCCACTGGTGCCAACTTTGGTTGTGGTAGCTCACGTGAACATGCTCCTTGGGCATTCAACGACTTTGGTATTCGTTCCATCATCGCACCCAGCTTTGCCGATATCTTTTACAACAATTGCTTCAAGAACGGTATGTTGCCCATTTCCCTTTCTCAAGAAAAGTGTGATTTGCTTGCCGAACACGCCAAGAAGCATGAAGAGCTTGAAGTGGATCTTGTCAACCAAGTCATTCGCTACCCTGGTGGTGAGGTGCCTTTTGATGTTGAGCCATTCCGCAAGCACTGTCTCGTCAATGGTTTGGATGATATCGGTCTTACTATGCAAAAGGATGCCCAAATTGAAGCTTTTGAGGCAAAGCGTACTCGTGATTGGCCATGGCTCAATGGTAAGGGTTATTCTGGCAAGGCTACCAAGGTCACTGCAGTCCCTGTTGGCGATTCCAAGAAGCAAAAGCTTGACTGGTAGACATATCCTATGTACACATCTTAGTACTACACGCACACACATGTATATCTCCCTTTTTCCCTCTCTTCAATGTAGTAAATATATCAAATCAAATTTTTTGTTATGTGATGATATCAAACTTGATAAATGGTGGAACATGGAATGATAATTAAGAAACTCTATTGTATACGTAGCATTGTCTTTGACTATTCTATTTCTATCAAATCAACTATGATCGATAATTCTCTAAGATGGCATCATCCCAAGCGACAAAGGATCCCGTCAAAGAACGAGGAGGATCAAGAGCAAGTCTTGCGATAATAGAACCTGGTGTCTCAGGTTGAAGGAGTTTGCCTTCCTTGTAAGCCTTAGTCATTTCTTTGTGCATTGAATCATCCATAACCCCCTTGCCTAAAGCACGCCAAGTTATCAATTGAGCTGACAAGTCATGTGATACCTAAAGAAAATCCAGTTACCTGCATCTCGAGCACTCTTTTGCATATCCGTTGCCACTACTCCAGGTCGAAATGCTATCGTTGTGATATCAGGCTCCTCTACTGCCAAGGTTGTTGCAAGGTGATTCAAAGCAGCCTTGGAACTAAGTGTTGAATGCATGATGAGCCATGTAAAAGATATGCAAGAAGCATCCATAAGCCTTGTTATCCTATACTCACGATCCATATGCATCCCATCCTTTGACATAGATCTTAGCAGCCCCTGATGATACCATCACAATGGCGCCTTTGGTTTCACGAAGATGCGGTAAAGCTTTTTGGACAAGTTGGATGATGGAGAAAAAGTTGATATCAAAGAGTCTACCTTGAACAAAGTAAGCACCTCAAGACCATCTTGACAACATCCATCAGCATTTACCGTTTCCACTGGTTGAGATCCACGTCACGCACATTGGCAATAGGCTCCAATACGCTGGCATGAAATTGAAACAATGAATGAGCTGCTGTCCTTGTCTTTATCCCTTCCACCACTCACCCCGCGTTGGCAACAACACCATCGATCCTTCCCCATCGAGAAATTGCACCATCGACAGCTTGTTGTATGACCATTGGATCGGTTACATCGCCAGAGACAACAAGGAGCGAATTCTCTTTGCCATGTTGAGCGACCTCGGTTTGCAATTGCTTGAGAAGCTCGGGGTTTCTTGCAATGGCCACGACGTTGGCGTTGGCTTGTTTGATTGCATATAAAGCAGCTGCTTTGCCGATACCCTTTGAGGCCCCAGTGACTATCAAGACGCGTTGTGGCATGAGTGGGAGTGGATGTATGTATCCGTGAGAGTGTGTATATGCTCGGACAAAAGAGGAATGGCTAGACTGGAATGGTTCTCAAGGTGACGCATTCCCCCTTTCTTTCACAGGTGCTGGTGCAACCAAACGACTGCATTTCCTTCTCTTTTCCTTTTCTTGTACTTGCAACAACAACAATACACCCATCGTTCTGGGTCTTTTACTATTTCTTTATTACTTGATCATCCTCATCATCATCATCATCATCACCTTCCCAACATGGTGATCACCTCCTCTTCTTTTCCACTCTTGGCACCAGTGATGAATAAGGCGAAAAAGCGCATGTCATGCCCTGACCCGACAACGGTGATACATAAGAGTATCCATTTGGAGGAGAGTACCATCTCCAAGCAACAGCAGCAACAACAGCAACAAGTACCCGATCCACGCGATTGGGAAGATGGACCCGTGTTTCGTGCAACGATCACTCAACTTGAAGCGAGGACACGTAGCTTGAAAGCAGCCATCAAACACATTCTCAAGACGGCTACAGCATCATTACGAGCAAATCAAGCCTTGTTACAAGCCGACGCTGAATTTATTGCTGCACTACGGGAGACATCCAGCACTGAACCTCTCTTTCGACATTATCTCGATGATGCTTGGCACAATATGCGACAACAGCGTGAACAGCTTCAACATTCAATGCAAACGCTTCTCATTGACCCATTGCAGAAACTGTACGACATGGATGTAAAGCAAGCGGAGGTGAAACGGCGTCAATTTGAAGAGGAGAGCAAGAGATACTATGCTTGTTTATCGAGATACCTCGGCAAGAAATCCACCAACAAGAGCGAGAATAAGCACTTGGCCAATACGCGGCGTTTCGACATGATACGTTTCGATTACTATACCTTCTTGATGGACTTGCATTGTGGCAAAAAGGATACGGAGCTCCTGTATCATCTACTCAACTTGCAACAAAAGCAACACAGCTATCATGCGGCCATGTCCGATATTCTCGATAGCAGTTCTTCAGGATTACAAGCATTTGCTTCTCTTATTGCCGATGCATCTCGTGAACATACCGCCATGTACAAAGAGCGTTCAGAAACACGCAAAGCTCTCGAAGCTGGATACAAGGAGGCAGCGGCAGCAACAACAATGACAACTTGTCTTGCTCAACAACCGACAAATCCCTCGACTGTTTTATCCAATGATGAATCACGGGCCTCCCTTGGCGTTACTAGTGGCGTTGTTGATGATCGAAAGGCTGAAAGTTTATTTCACGGCATCCGGGATCTGCAGTGCTACGATCGTGACCTCAAAGGTGCTGTTGGACGACGTAAAGAAGGGGTGCTTTTTGCTACATCTCGACCACTCAAAGTCAATGATTCGGATAAACCTCCCACTGGTGTTCCTTGGCACAAGTAAGTTTTTGCTTTATATGAAAGAATCGAAATCATCTGACATCATCATCATCATTTTATAGGTATTGGTGCGTCTTGAGTGCCGGTCAATTGTATGAATATAGCAATTGGAAGCGAAGTTTGGAGTCACACATGGAACCTGTGAATTTACGATTTGCAACCGTACGCGTGGCTCGTAAGGCGGATCGACGATTTTGCTTTGAAGTTATCACACCCAAATTCCGACGACTGTATCAAGCAACATCACAAGACGATATGCAGGCATGGATTACAACTATCAACAATGCGATCGAGAGCGTGTTGAATGGTCAAGGAAGCGTATTGGATCTTGTACACCCACAGCAAGAACAAAATCTTGAACACAAAAGGCGGCCAAAGTCATGGGTTGCAGTAGCAGCAGCATCAGGCAGCCACAAACTCTCCTTGGAAGGTGCACTTGTTAATCTGACGACCGATGCCAGCAAGGAGAAGAAGAGGAAATTGCATCGTCATTCTATCGGGCACACACAAAATCCCGCCAACAAGCGTCGTGCATCGATTGGGTTTTCTTCCTATGAGCTTATTCAAAAAGTCTATCAAGCCGATGAAGCAAATATTCGCTGTGCGGATTGTGGAGAGGAGCGGCCTGAATGGTGTTCAATCAACCTTGGTGTATTTTTATGCATCGGTAAGTATTACCAAAGGGGGAGGAGAATATAGGAGTATATATCATGTGCAGTAGGCTTACACTTTCTTGGCAACAATAACAGAGTGCTCGGGAATACATCGTGGATTGGGTTCACACATTTCCAAAATACGGTCATTGACGCTTGACAGCAATACGTTTACACCCGAAGTGATTGAAATGCTCTTATCCATCGGCAATACACGTGCTAATGCAGTGTGGGATGCATGTAATGCTTGGTCAACGATACCCATGGAGTCACGAGATGCAAAGGTTGATTACATTGTGGGCAAATACCAGGATCGGATCTATACAAAGGCAGCAAATGATACAACAACACCTCAACAGCAATTATTCGATGCTATCCAAATCAACAACATACCCAAAGCACTTGAAGCAATTGCACTTGGTGCTGATGTCAATGCACGACGACAACAAAAGGCTACCGTTGAGGATGGAATGGTGATTGGTGGACACAACAACATCACTGACAACGAGCCACAATTCATCACATTGCCGATGCTTGATGCAGAAGGATGTCATTTACCAGACCAGAGTCTTACACTTCCCCTTCCTTTGAAGCGACAAGCAATTCCATTAGCACAATATCCTCTTCATTTATCACTTGCGTCGGGGTCACTTGCAATGGCTGAATTCCTCTTTCAAAATGGCGCTGATCCATCTATTGTTGATCCGGAAACCGGGTGCAGCCTGCATGATACCATCACTAATGGCAACTTGGTGCGTGATCGAGCCATGACTTATTATTTGCAGAGGATCACCAATATCCAACACAAGACCAACAACAACGATCAATCAATTCTTCCTACACACCATCGCTTTTCGCATACATTTTCATCCGATATTATGGAAGAGATATCATCATCATCATCAAGGTGGCAGGATAACATTTAGTTTTTAATCACCCCTAATCCATTTTTCGTTCCTGTATAACCTACCTTTTAGTATAATACATATTTTGCTACTAGTAGCCTCACATCATCCATATTGTTATTTGACTCGCATCATCAAAAAAGCTTAAACACCGATCACTAGCACTGGAGGGAATGTCAATGGCAATGTTTTATCATGCACAAGCATTTTGGTTTCAACGATGGTGGGTGGGAAGAGAGCTTGTGTGAAAACGTGATATTATTGTTATATGATTGTTGGCTGAATCAAAAGGACTACTACTGATCTTGGCAGCTGCCTGTGTAACTTTGGGTGAATAGCTACCCCCTGACGTTGCTGCTGTGCAAGGTGGTGTGGATGACCATGCTCATCGCTGCTAGTCTATATTCACCATTCTTCTCCGCAATAGATCACAGCAAGTGAGGAGGAGGATAAGGGAGATCATACTAGGAGTGGGCATCCATCGGTTATCTTTCTCAGAGCGCACACACGCACTAGCACACACATTCTCAAATGAAACATATGATGCACCCAATAGAGCCAACCAAGGCGCCGTTTTAATACTTGCATAAGAATGGAAGGCAAAACAGAGACAAGTTTCCCATTTTCTCACTTTTCTTTTTCATCACCAAACGATCTTTTTCAACTTTGATTCTTATTATCAACAACCATGTCGGATTCACCGTCGGATCAGCTAGAGTAAATCATCGTTCACCTATCCATCATACAGCACATACTCCTTTTTCAATACTTTTCAAAGCTCACACACGCATACCCACGCGCTCTCTCTATTCTTGTAGTGCTGATTCATCTGTGAGCACCTTTACTTCAGCTTTGTGGTTTAACGCTGCATTGGCAGGTGGCTTTTTTGGCACCTTTCTCATCGTACGTCGTCACCGTCCACAAGTGTATCGACCTCGAACGTACCTTGTCGACGAAAAGTAAGACAACCAAAGTGAAGCGCGCGCGTTAAAGTGCATAACGGGATAACTAACTGTAAGGTTTTTTCATCTAAAGACGACAGCCACCCCTTTCAGATAATGGAGCGCTTTCATGGATATACACAATGTTACGCATGACGGATACGGAAGTGCTCCAATCGATTGGTCTAGACAGATTTATGGTGCTACGATTCCTTCGAATGGGCATTGTCGTCTTTGGGCTCTTCACGTTTCTTGCTGTGCCTATTTTGATTCCATTAAACGTCATCAATCAACTCGATACCAAAGGTCTCAATCTTCTCACTATCGGTAATGTTAAGGATTTGAATCGACTTTGGGCGCACTTGATACTTGCAGTGATTCTCAGTGGTATGTAAAGAGAGAAAGCTTATATGCATGGAGGGACATGATTTGCTAAAAGGACAAAACAACTGATCTTTTTATATCTCTTTTGCAGCCGGGATCATCTATTACACCTTCCGAGAAACTCGGGTGTTTCTTGTGTTACGTCGCCGTTTCCTTCTAAGTCCTGATTACGCGAAATCAGTCACTGCACGGACGTTGTATGTGCCATCGATCCCCGAGGGTAGCAACAACATTGATGAGCTCACCAAGATCTTCAATCGTTTCCCTGGAGGTGTTCGACGTATTTGGATTGCAAGGTACGTAGTATACAAACAACATAGATGCATGCACATGCCAAGTTTGTTTTCTTTATTCTTACATTACACAATACCTCGTTCTAGAGATACAAAGGATCTACCTGATATCGTTGCTGAACGTGAAAAGCATGTCAAAGGGCTTGAAGGTGCTGTGACGAATGCCATTGCAGCCTCGTACAAGCATCATGCCAAGAATAAAGGTGGCGACCAAATTGAGAGTGGTGGTTCGTGGGTTATTCCCGACAAGTTACGTCCACGACATCGTGTGTCACCATTGCCGATCAGTGTGCCCTGCGTGGGACGCAAGGTGGACTCCCTCGAATACTACCACAAGGAAATCAGTGACCTCAATGGCAAGATCCTCGCTGCTCAACGCTCACCAGAGGCTTATCCACAACTAAGCTCGGCATTCATCGAGTTCAACCAACAGATCGCGGCTCACATGGCGGCTCAATGTGTCATCCATTCGCACGAACTCCAAATGGCTCCTCGCTTCTTGCAGATCGCTCCTTCAGATATCATTTGGGACAATATGAATATCAAGTCGCTTGAACGTCTTATTCGTCGCTTCATCAGCTTGACCCTTACATCTGCTATTGTCATCTTTTGGATCATTCCTGGTAAGTTGCTTGTTAATAATGTTACTACTACTATACGCACGTACTAACTAATGATGCATGACTTTAGTGGGTTTCGTCCAAGCTGTCGCCAACATCCAATCATTGACCGAAGTGCTGCCTTTCCTTGCCGTGTTGAATAGCTTACCGCCCACAGCTGTTGGTATCATCCAAGGTATCTTGCCTGCTGTTGCCTTGGCTATCCTCGTTGCATTGGTGCCTATTATCTTCAAAAGTAAGTAACCAACCTACCAAACGTCTTGAACTTTATCCTTAACATGACATTGGTTAGTCTTTTCCACGCAAGAAGGTATTCCCCAAAAGTCGATGGTTGATCTCGCATTATTGGACAAGTACTTCTTTTTCCTTGTAAGTGTTGTTTATCATATATACTTCAGCTCATTACTAATCAACTTGTAATAGTATGTCGATGTCATGCTTATTTCAACCATTGTGGGTGGTGTCGTTCAAGCCATTGGTGCCATTGCTAAGAACCCCTTGAGTATTATCAACACGCTTGCTGAATCCCTGCCAAAGGTATGTACCACAGCGCTTGATTTGAGGCTGTATTATTCACCATTTCATATTCCAGGCCAGTACATTCTTTATCACCTATGTGATGCTTCAAGCACTTAATTCATCTGGACAAGCTATGCTGCAAACGGTTCCCTTGGTGCTCTCTTATGTGTTTCCATTCCTCTCCAAAACACCACGAGACATTTACACGCAACGCACCAAATGCCCAACAACTTCACTTGGCACGCTTGTTCCCTCGCACACTATCATCTTCGTTTTGGGCATCGAATACTCGACCATTGCACCTCTCATCTTGCCATTTGTCGCGTTGTTCTTTATGTTGACCTACTTTGTGTACTTGTACCAATTCCTCTTTGTGTATGAGTTGGAGTACGAGACCGGTGGCCTCGCGTTTCCTCGTGCTCTTCGACACGTGTACATTGGTCTTTTCACATGGCAGCTGACAATGATTGGTCTCTTTGCTATCAAGCAAGCGATCCCACAGCTAGTTATCATGGTGGTGGTTCTTGTTGTATCCGTGTTTGCTCTCATGCTGTACGACCTATCATTCAACCCGCTGTTTGAATTCCTTCCTATTCAAGAAAACGAGCATGAAATCAAAGCAACCGTTACTAGCTCTTCTGGTGGCAGCACCAATAGCAACGTTTTACCTGCTGCTCTCGAGGACAAGAAGCTCATGTCGAAGCACGATCAAAATGGTGATGGAAAAGTCCAGCACATTAATCATCTCCAAGATGAAGGCCAAAAGCAGGATGATCATGGCGTGATTGTGGATCAAGATGGGCTCCCCGTCGATGCGTATATGGCCAGCGATCAATTGAGGAAGCGAGTCAAGTCATCAGAGCATGAAAGGAGTGGCAGTAGTAGCGATCCTGATTTTGCCATGTCAACGGCACGTCTCGTTTACGGCATTGAGACTTATATGAACCCCGCCCTATACCAAGCACAGCCCACAGTCTGGTTACCTGAAGACGACCTTGGTATCACGCATCAACAAATGGATGAGCTTAGAAAATCAAACATCACAACGAGTGCGGAAGGTGCACGTGCTGAACATGCAGGCAAACATGGACAAAAGTCAAAGATTGTCGTTGATGAAGCCTTGTTTGAAAATGGTGGTCAAGGAATCCCTGGAGAGGCACCAACACCCAACCAATTCAGCCGTGTCAATGAAAACGTCCAAAACGCAGTACACAGTGCCAACATTGTTGATTCTTTTGCTATGACATCGTAAACCATGTACCACTTGCACTTGTATACCGCTTGCATCATCCTTTAGCTATAATCTCACTTATTGCACTTTGTCTTCCCTAAATTACTACTATATAAATACAAGAGCTTGCTCTTTACTTTTAAGCTGTAAATCTTATATGAGACATGGGAGCTATGAAAGGTGCTATGTCTTCAATCAATGGGACACTCACATCACCAGGTCTCTATTATGTACGAGGCTGATAGCCATGACGGTAGAAGCAAGTTCCAATCTTTGCATTGCAAGAATACTGTATGTACAAGATCATATTGAAAGACAAATTACGTGATAGGAAAAGATGAATGGGATGAAGGTAATTATTCACAAAATGGTAAGACATTGATGATGAGGGGATGACAAGGAGAAGTAGGGAACAACGTTGAATATTACTTTTGTACAAAATGCTAGGTTGATACACACATTAAATAGTGGTGTTGTTGGTGATGGAGGTGGATGTCGATGATGATGATGCAAATGCTCGATAACGCAATGTATGGATTATATCATCCAGATGATGGTCTTCAGAGCTGTTGTTGGCGTACGTGTTTTCGAAATAGGCCAACGTCTCATTTGCAAGTGCCATTAATTTGTCATTGTTTCCATTCTGCATGGATGATGATGTGGATGGCTGTTGCTGGGATCGCCAATATTTACGTCTTTCTGTGGGTCGAATGGGAAATGATCGGCGATACGCTTCGAGATGGCGTTCATGTTGTTGCCACAAATCGGCAACAGCGGGTCGCTTGGCAGCGTATCGTGATATGGTATCGCTTTCAGTAAATGGTGCCCATGTTGATGATGGCTCAGCTACTTTTGGTACATGTGCCTTTTCTTCAACAAGCATGAGGCTATTTTTGACATCCACCTCATCTTCAAATTTTGAATCCCGTCTTGGTGTTGTCAATGGTACGGGCTCATTTATCGATGGCTGAACGTCATTATTGGTCGTCGTTGGTGATGATAATGGCTGCGAGGTGACAAGCACTACTTGGACCACTACATGTCCGCAAAGCCAAATCCATAGCATGCTGATAACCAGGTGTTGACAAGGATGTGGATAGTGTTGTTTTTTGGGCTGTTGATCCTTCATCAGCTCATCACATGGGCTGACTGGGCTGATTGGAGGAGTTGTTGAGGTCGTTGAGATAAGTGAAGAGCAATCCAAAGATGATACACATGATCCATTGTTTACGCTACTGCTATCAGTGCTCAACGATGAGTCGTTATCAAGGATGCTACTGGCAGATTGCATGACATCGACGTATACTGGCACAGATGGCTGCTGCAATGAGCTATTACTAGTGTCATTTCGATTGTCGTTAATTTGAACCACCGTTGATGGGTTGGTACCAAGGCGATAAATGGTTGACCACCATGATGGGTTTTGTGTACGTTCCAAGGATGATGAAGACGATGGTGCAAAAACGGATCCCAAAGAAGATACAAGCGGCTGATGCAAGATGGATGAATAGCTGTTGACTGAAAATAAAGAATACCACGGCCGCTCTGAATTAGTGGTGGTGATTATGGTTGGGGATATTTGTTGCTGTAGTGAATGCTGCTGTTTCACTACCAATGACCTGTCCATGGAAGGAATAGTGTTGCTTAGATAACTTGGGTGTTGACGCAGATGATGTAAACGATGGTGTGGGGAAAAGAGATACGAAAAAAAGATACTTTGAAATGGCACATGAGCAAGTGAAGCACACAGCAACGTTTTGCAACTTTGTCTCCCTAATTTTTCATTGAAGGAAAGGTTCCTGACTTCCCACTACCTGATACGGCAACGTACTTTTCGCTTAGAGAAATAAGCGTACGCCGCACTCCTTTCTCTTGAAAGCAACTATGCATTAGCTTCCAGACAAAGCAGGATGATTTTTCACCTTGCATATCTCAATCTTTCTCATGACGCATTATCCTCAAGGTTACACATAAATGAAGCTGATTTGACAGCATGGATGAAGGATCGGCGCTTTTTCATACTTGAATTTGACAATCCACAATCACCGATATGGTACCAAATATGACAATGGTCCATTTCCCAAGACATCCAACAAGGAAAATACAAGAAAAGAAAAAGAAAGTAGTTGCACCTCCTTGCGTAATCGTTTTAAAAATACAATCACCACTATCTCATGACCCATTTTCTCCTCGAAATCCTGTTCTTGATATAAGGAGCTGCATTTCATCCTATTGCAAGCTGCAAATTTTTGACATGATATGGTCGGACCATCCATACACAAATAACGCACACACGCACACACACACATACACGCACGCACAATAAAGTACTAGTGAATGATAGCTTTAGGAGCTAGATAAGGTTTGAGGAAGGGAGAAGCCAAAAAAGTGAGTGAGCTTGTGATACCTCCTTGACCCTCTTTGTTACTCCTGATAGAGTAAAAGGGATCAGCATCGGAGAAAGGAGAGCGTTTGATCTGTGAGGACCCTTACTTTGATGCTGCTCCTGCCTTGAATAGCAGCGAAGAGCAAGTGCCTATTCCTCTTACTCCCCCTACGAAGCCCCTTTATTTCCATAAAATCTCATTGGCGATCATGTCTTGGACATTGAGAGGTTGTGCAGGAGCTACCTGTTGACCTATTGAATGGAGTTTTGAACATCACAAGAACACACATAACACGTGTATTGGTGATGTGGATATAGCGCTCGGTCACCTTAAACAAAAAAAGCAAGGATAGTGGATGAGGAGGCAATAGTATGCTGAAATGAGAAACGCGCACAGATCAAAAAATGAAAAGGGATGAAAAGCACCAAGCAAAAGATGGCCATATGGGAAGACATTTGGATCACAGGCCACCGCATATCACATTTGCCTATGTGGTCTTGTTGCTTTGCTTGTAACCTTACTTTTTAGCAGTAAGCGGCGTGTCTTGTTGTAAGTCCGTATATACAATGCTATTGGAGGCTCGTCTCAATATTGATGGTACATGGTGGTTAAGGCACAATTTAGTCGTATACGTTGTTGACCGAACAACAAGAGAGATGTTCACTTCTACGGTAACCTGATGCTACGTGGCTAAAATTAGGCTTTGGGATTCATGTGACTTTTGGCTTTATTATGTTACTTCCTTTTTGTGATACATTGGCCATTACAGCGTTAACATAAAAACATCCTTCAAGCGTGGTTAATGGTATAAGAGATGCAACGTTTTGATATGGAGCCAATTAAGCCAGCGACTTTATGACTCTTTGAAATTGGGGATTCGTGGCAAAACAAGAAGTATGCATGCCTAAGAGTGTGGCACATGCGTGTTTCAAACAATGTGATTATGGGGTGACGGAACAACCGTTTCAATTTCCATGGACCCTGGCATCATGTGTATGGTGCACGGTTCTTGTCTACGTAGCAAGTTGTGCTTTCCCGTACAAAGCTGCAACACGGATTAATGCACGCATACTAGCCCATCTATGTTTTGATCTCGTGTCTCATCCTCAGCCGGCCCTTTTCTTTACTGCTCTTGTGGATAGTGCATAATGCTTGCCCCTCTTCTTTCAACATCAGCGTTGCATTATACCAGTAACAAAGCATCCTAATAGCGAGATCACTCGAAGAGCTTGGTTGTATGCAGTTTAAATACGAATACGTCGATGGCCATACCATATTTATCTCCACCAAAAATCGGCGTTGCATGTGTGCATTTTTGTGTGTGTGGGTGTTTTAAGCATTCAAAAGGAGAAAGTAGCCGAACATGTTTGACCCATATTTACATTGCGCAACCAAATAAAAATGTAGACAAGGGAGATGCTGAACCACAATGATGGAAGAAGGCAAGATAGGCTGTGCATGTTGTGTAGAAAGGAGGCTAAGAAAGCAAGGAGGAGGGGCTCTACTCAAAATACGACGACAATGACGGATGACAAGGCAACAATGATCACGACGGAGCAATCAACAACAGGTGTCGGTTGATGCAACGAATAGGAGGAATGATGTTTTTTGCCATCGTTCAACGACAAGTCTGCATGCATTGCAATCCTCGTCGTTCCACTACTTCTTACAGCCTCAGCCTTTTCTCTCTTCTCTTTCCTCTTTTTCCCTTTTCTTTTCACTCACCACCACCATCATCATCATCATCTCGTAAATTTCCTAATATCTTAACCTGTTTTATGCAAGCCTGACTATTCCTCCATGAAGCTGCAAGTATTTTTGTCCGATGTTCTTTCCACCGCCGAGACTAAATCTCTGTTTTCTCTTTTACAATGTCACCTAGTCTTAAACCTTGTTCCTCGCCATATCCTTTAACTACAACCACTAAAGACGCAGAAGGCATTAGCCAACAGCAGCCAACCGTTTCTACCAGTATAAAAACCGCAACCAGCACAAACCATCACAACTCATGTCGTGCAACCACAACAACAAAAACAATGGACACCATACCCCGATTCTTTTTTCCCTTTGGTAAACCAGTAGTTCCAGAAGAGCGAGAGTGCAGAGATCGTAAAATCATGGTTAGTGATGTTCATACCTTTCTGCTTTCTAATGCCCCTTTTCTTTTCTCCTATGTCAAAATATGATTGCACATTCGCTCATACTCATCCATGCACTTTCACTATACTGCCGCCACCCTTCATACGTTAGTCAATTGTCCGCCAGCTTTATGGCTATCAGCCCTTTCTACTAGAAACGCAATTTGTGGCCATTACACGGACATGCGATCTACCTCGATATATGAGCATCGCGCTCTTTCGTCGAATTGATTCAATGCATGATCGTAACGAGAAGGTTACCTTTGAACAATTCATAAGGCAAGTCAACCCAAAAAGTGCCGTTGCAACAAGCGCTCACAATGCTTTACAGCGGCTGGACCGAATTGTCACATAATCGATACAATGATGAATCCCTCTTCTTCAACATCTTGAAGAAGCCTAATTGCTCTTGGATATTACCAGAAGATTTCCTACCAGTACTTGAAGGTAGGGTACAGGAGCACCAACGAAAGATGAAACTGCAAAGCGTACATTTGTGTTTGCAGCCCATGTTTCTATGCCACTTACTCATGTCACATACTTTTACTCACCTACGCCACAATCGGCTTTGCATATTTAGATATTGTTTTGCATCATCCAGGATTACGTTTTTTAGCCGACAATCCCATGTTTCAAGAACGTTATAGTACGTATGCTTCATCCACTACCACAATAGCTTTCATCGTCATGGACCATTAACCCACCACCACCATCATCAGTTGAAACTGTGATTTGCCGTCTTTTTTACGACGCTCATTGTCCCAGTGGCAAAATGAGCATGCCCCAGTTTAGAAAAAGTGGATTTACACGCATGATCCAAATGCTCGGGCCCCACGTGGATTTAAACACGGTATGATCATAAGCTTAAATTGTTTACTTTATGCAATTTCGAGTAGCACAAAGGTGGAAATTGGTACTCAACCATGCTTTGTAGACCCGCAACTGCTTTTCCTATAAGCACTTTTACGTCATCTACTGCAAGTTTTGGGCTCTGGACAGCGATCATGACCTCATTATCACCGAATCCGACTTGGCAAAATACAATCAAGCTGCCCTAGGCACGCGTATCGTACAATGCGTTATGCAAAATGGGCGCATCTCTGCATTTGCTCGTGACACCTCTGATGATGATGGTGGTACCACTACTTCTTCTATAGCACAAGATTCGGCAGCTTCCTTGAGCTATTTGGATTATATTTGTGAGTTGTGTGATGCCTCTTAAGCATTTGCTATACCTATCCTCATCATGCAATGTGCTCCTTTATATGTTAGGGTTCCTTCTTTCCGAAGTAGACAAAAGCACGCCTATGGCTATCGAGTATTGGCAAGTACAGCTAAGCATATCCAATACACGTCCATGAGCTAATGATAAAAGCTTATAGGTTTCGATGCTTGGACACTGATGGTGATGGTGTCTTGTCAGGCTATGAGCTGGCTCAATTTTGGCAAGAACAAGAAACAAGGTAAATCGTCAACACCAAAAGCTACATGCAGCCGAATTGTTGCTTGACATTCCAAATTTAGACAACGTTTCTATGGGGTTAATGATGATGACCATATTCAATTTCAAAACATTCTATGTCAAATGTGAGTGCGTTATACAACAATGATTCAAGCGTATGTATAATCATATACGCAACTCGGGCAGATTTCATTGTTTAGCATAGTAACCCCCTTTTTCTTTGTTTGCAGGAACGATTTAATCCGACCCACTATTCCCGGTCAATTTCAACTCAGAGATCTGAAACGCAATGGTTATCTTGCAGAGCGCTTTTTCGATACCTTTATCAACTTTGACCGCTTCCAAGTACATGAATCATACCAAGGATCGATTCGTGCAAAGCGTGATCAAGAAATGGAGCGATTGCGACAGCAATCTGATGACCTACTTGAAGATGACCTATCCTTGTTGGATGATAACCTTGGTTACTTTATGATAAGGTAAGGCTTTTGCTCTCACTAACAACATGGCAAGTATATACATTCAACTTACGTTGTCACCACAAGTGATTGGTGTGCATACGCCGAGCTTGAATACCAGCAACTTTTGCTCAATGAGCGTCAAGAGGCCACGTGGGATGAGGATGAGGATGATGAGCCATACGAAGAGGAAGATGAGCTTGAGCAGCAAGTTGCAGCAGATGACTATTATGACGACGAACACAATGAGCATGAAGGATACAGGGGTATAGCAGCATTACCATCGGAAGATGACCCGAAAGCAGAGGAGCAAGATGATGATGATGATGGTGATACGACTACAGACGACGACGAGTCATCCGAGAACACCGACGTAGCAGATGATGATGGCACAATCGAAGATAGTAGCACCAGCAGCAGCAGCACAAGTGATCATGAAAGTGACACAAGCGCACCGACAACACCGACTAAAGAGCCTGTGCTTCCAAATTCTATTAGCCAAACAAAGAAAGCACAACAACAACATCATCACCATGAAGCCTCTTGGTTATGGCAAGCACATGAAGAAGATGCCGAAGAGAATGAAGAGGAACGTGAAGATAGAGCAGCTGAGTGGATTTGGTGGTTGTCAAGGCAACGGCTTTCAGAGACAACAACCTGATCATCATCACAGATACCCTCCCTCATATAATTTCTTTGTCAAATTCATACCCTGTGTTCAATTTTCAGACACACACAACGTGGCTTTCTTTCTTTCTTGAAAACGTGATACAATGTGGGACAAGGAGAACGGGGCGAGATATGACGTGCAATAGTGTTGGTTTTCTGTTCCGAATCTTATTCTATGTTGCTCCTTCCCAACACCATTCCTGTGACCATGTATATAATTTTAATGGTAGGGGCATGTGCTTTTCGAGTGCTTTTGTGCCCATGATGGTGGGTTTGTTAAATGATCGTGAGGAGTGTGTAAGAATAATAAAGCTCATTTGCTGTATAATTCATTTACTCTATATTATTACAGGTTACTCGGTTTGCAACGTTGCCTTTACTGGTTACACGATCCCGTCAAACCATTAGCCAAGACTACTTGCAACACAACTCAAATTGGCCTGTTCACAACACCACATGCAATGATCAAGGGCGTAGAGTACTTTAACACACACACGCATGATCACGTACAGGTGTCATTGTTGCGATGATAGCCTGCATATGCGATGATGAATGGATTCTTTATCTAATAGAACAATGAGCGTGGTTATTGTTTTGTTGGGGGAGGGTAAAGTGTGAGGGAGCGGACGTGGATGCGATCAAAGTGGGTTGATGTCGTCTGAGTACAGGATCAGATGCCATTTTCTTCTCCCTTACTTTCGGCAGCACACAAGCCCAATAATTTCTTTGGTCGGCCATTGGGCTAAAGCAGATGATGCCAATACATGATGCTTATTCCCGCTCACATGGCTGTGTGTAGAAAAATGACGACAGGGCCCTCTCACACGAGCAAAGATGATGAGAACGCACAAAACTCCCTGCCACAGCACCAGCCATATATAATATCCCCCACCATAATGCGTTTTTTCTTTGACTGTTATACATCTTTTTGTCCACAAACTCATTTTTTCACCCACCCACCCACCACTTTCACCACTCGAAGCGCCTTATCGGCCTCTATGGTGCCGTTTTTTCTTTAACCAATCTTATCGACGTTGTGTTCCTTTCCTACTGCTACTGTGAATCCATATAAACAAAAATGACATTGGCCGCCTTGTCCTATATCCCTGCCAGTGGTTTTGATGACCATTCCAGCCGCTGGCAAAAAAAGAGATTCTCCCTGTTTGGTTCATCTGATACTTACGACACGATGCGACGACAACGACGACATTCATCCTCACCCATGGTTATCGCAGCAGCCACTGAAAAAATTGTTAAGCGACATCATCATCGTGTGGAAGTGGTAGAGGATGAAGTTGCATGCGATGAACTTACGGCACGCGAATTTGCAGAGATGGCAGGCATTAAGACTATTGCCTCAGAGTCATCATCATCATCCTCATCACACGATGCATGCTCTTTGGAAGACAATGAACATCGTCTCAATATCTGGGATCAAGAATTTTGGCAACCTATCCATACCAGCAAAAGTATGTCGATCACCTCTTCCCCAACACCAATTCACAGTATCAGCAGCAACATCGATCAAAAGAAGAAGCGGCATCGAAATAGTGTCATCACCAAAGGTCGTTTCCAAATTGTGCTTGGCGACCAAGAAAATGATACCAGTAGCCTTCAATCAGTGCCCTCTTCTACATCCACCGTCGTAGAATGGAAACGTAAACGATCCATGTGAAAACGACACGTGCACACAGTAGTACATGCGACGATAGCCGATGATGGCTTTTGATTCCTTTTGACTACATCTCTATCTCTCACACATACTTCAAGGCCGGTGTCCTTTAAACTTTCATTATGCTTTTTTTTTCGACCACTCCATTATGTGCATCACTCACCCAGCCGGTTTTTATATGCTTTGTCTTTTTTATCATCTATGTTGTAATACGCATCCCTTTAGCTATCGTGCCATTTTATGTATCATGTATGTTCTTTAATTGAAGGAATGGAAACAGGCTCTTTCTCTACATCAACTTTATTATTGCATGTGTGGGGGGGTTATCTTGACTACTTCTGGTATCGAGGGAATTGAGTGTATATGGCATGGATGATGGATCATGTATCAAGAAACGCGTATCTCGTTATAAAAGCGACAAAGGAAAGTGTGTTGGATGTGTTGCGTGGATGCTGCATAAGTTCTCTTGAATGGATGTGACAGTCGTGTCGAGGTTGGGGGGCGCGTAAAGCGCGCTCAGTGCGCGTGAGTACTCCTCTTTCGTTCTTCTTCTTCACCACACCCTTCAACATGAGCGCCATGGACATTGACCCACCTGAAAAGCCTGTCGTCAAGAACAAGGGTAAAGGACGAATGGTCGCCACTGGATCCCCTGATTCGGATCATTTGCCTTGGTAATTGTCGTCAGCATGTACAGTACACCCATTGCGAATGCAAGTTGACACACTCTTTCTTTTTCGTAGGGTTGAAAAGTATCGTCCAAAGAATCTTGACGATCTCGTCTCTCAACGCAACATTACGTCTACCTGTAAGAGTTCAAAGTGTCAAGGTTCAACTACTTGTTCAAGCTAACAATACGTTATATATAGTGGAAACCTTTATTGACGAGAATCAACTCCCACACTTGTTGTTCTATGGTCCTCCTGGTACAGGCAAAACTTCAGCTATCTTGGCATGTGCTCGTAAACTCTATGGAGACAACTACAAATCAATGGTGCTTGAGGTAGAGTATCAAGGAAAAAAGTTGTTGAGATTGGGGTTGCCATGAAGTAGTGCCGCTGACACAAGAAAACAACGTTAGTTGAATGCATCTGATGATCGTGGTATCGACGTGGTACGAGAACAGATCAAGAGCTTTGCCAGCACACGCACCATTTTCAATTCGGGTTTCAAGTTGATCGTGTTGGATGAAGCTGATTCCATGACAAATCAAGCCCAAGCTGCTTTGCGTCGAGGTACGGTTAATAAGATGCGAATGAGGAAGCAACATCGTGAGTAATGTATGATGATAATAGTGATTGAAAAGTACACCAAGAACGTCCGTTTCTGCATCATTTGCAATTATGTGAGCAAGATTATACCAGCGATCCAATCTCGTTGCACGCGTTTTCGATTTGCACCTCTCAAGCTAGACCAAATAGAAGGACGATTAGACAAGGTCGTGCGATCGGAAGGGTAAGTGAGAGGATGTGAGATAAGGTTAAGGCACATGTCTAATTATTTTCGGCATGTTATACAGAGTTAATTTGACAGAAGATGGCAAGAAGGCGCTGATCAAATTGTCTAAGGGTGATATGCGAAGGGCCCTCAACATTCTTCAAGCATGCCATTCTGCGTACGAGCGTGTCGACAGCGCCGCTATCTACAATTGCACTGGCCAGCCCCATCCTGAAGATATCGAACGTGTGGCGAATTGGCTTTTGACAGAGAATGACTTTAACAAGGCTTATTCAAGTAAGTTGTCAAGACGTATGTGAGAGATCCTTTTGATTGATATGGGTATCATTATTGTAGGCATCGGGAATTTGCAAAGGGATATGGGATTATCATTACAAGACATCATCAGCGAGGTGTACAACTACATACTTGGTATCGATATTCCTGCAGCGACCTATCAACATCTCTTGGAACAGTTGGCCGAGTTGGAGTAAGTGATAGCGGCGATTGTACCAGAAAATAGTCTAATCTTGACGGTTGAAATCTAGATATAGGCTAGCAGAAGGGGCCAATGAAAAAATCCAACTAGGTGCCCTGTTGGGAGCATTCAAGATGGGTATCAAGAAAGCTGCAACTGCTTGACGTGACCATCCCTATTGCAGATAGTTCATTCACACGCTCTCTTACACACATGTACATCTACGACAATCCTCAGCACATGAACTCACACATACGCCATGTTCTCAAATATATATATATGTATATGCATACCATTCATCACGTTCTTTGGGGAGTATCGGGATTAAAAGGCATCGCTATTGGGTAAAAGTGCTTATCTGCATGGGCAATGGTTTGCATCATTGGATGGGTAAGTGATGTGAGATGCGATTCTTACATGCATATATACGATGGGGGCGTCTAGAATGTGCATGATAAACCCACATCTATGATCGATGCTATGCAGGTGGACGATACATATGATAGATTAACAGCGCTGTTTTACATGTGAAATATCAGCTTACTCCATAAACAGATGCAAGTGAGGGTCGTCAGGAATGCATAGTAGTGAGTGCGTGCCCCAAAGGGGAAAGCTACACAAAAAGAAATCGCGTAGAAATGAGGAGGAAGGGGACCAGAAAGACTATAAAGAACCCTAACCTCAGCAGCAGCAGCAGCATCAGCACCCGTCCCGAGTCGCGTGAATCATCATTAGCACCTCTCTTTCTTTCCTTTTTATTTCATTCGTGTATCCACTTGAATATTCAAAAGTGATCCTCGATCCATCATCTCCTCTTTTCTCGTGTTGAGTGTGTGTGGTATGGACATATCCGACTTGTGTACTTCTCCCACTACCGAGGAACACGATTCACCACATAGCCAACAGCAGCGGCAGCAGCAACAGCAGCAGCAGCAGCTTGACAAGTATGTACTGCTCGACCTTTTTTATTGCTCCATTGATCTCATTGCAATCAAGCCACAGTCCTCATGCTTCACCGATCTTGAGTCAACACTTGCCAGCACCACATACATCATCATCGTCATCATCACATGACCCATTTGATTCCTTAAACACGTCTTTTTCAAGATATCCATCTGATATTGGCGGTAGTCGAAGTACAGGAACGACACAGCAGCAGCATCCATCAACGAATAATAATCCAGGATCATCACCCTATGCAAGGTCATCCGGTATGAAGGATGTAGGTATACGCTTGTTAATCATAGTAGTATTGATTATAAGATGGCTATCGATTTAGGTGATTGAACAATGTGAAGTGCTATGCAACACGCTGGACATGTTTCGCAATCGAGATCCAAGGGCTCGTTCCAAATCCGACATCGACATTGTTTCACAGACTGCGGGGCGCTTACTCTCATCCTTGCTATCCCTTCAGGGTCAAACGACATCATGTGCACCTTCCTCCCCATCAACTACCACTGACATTAACAAGGAGGTATACGCTGACTATCCCATATCCATCTCAATTCGCTCGCTTATCGATTCGTATGCATGTGCAGGTGACCCGTCGTTCGTCCATTCCTCTCTTTCAGGTTAGACAGCATCATCAAGACCCCGCCTTGAAACATCCTAGTACTAGCTCTTCTTCCTCAACCACAAACACTAGACGTCGTGCGGTAAGAATGGGATAATAACAAATATACAGGGTATTGACAAGCTCATTAATGTTATTTTCCCTATGCTAACATGAAGAAACGAAGCATGGCAGGAAGACGATGTCACTCATGCCACACCACCGAAACACCCGAATGGAGACGAGGACCCGATGGAGCAAGAACCTTGTGTAATGCTTGTGGTTTACGTAAGAAGAAATGGGAGAATACATATGGATGATGGATTGAATCGGGTCGTATGGTTTAACGCGTATTTCTGTTTATGCAGATTATGCAAAACTTGTAAGAAACGGGTCGCTTGGTCATACGCAAACAACCGATCAACAGCAACACTTGCCTCAGGATAGTGCTTCCCAGAGCCAATACAGTGGTTTTCCACCTCCACCTCCTCCAACGCTTAGCAACACCAGTCATCATCATCATCATCGCATCCCTGTTGCATCTCCTTTTCCTAGCAGCAACAATAACTACGCATATGGGCCAAGGGAAAATGATCAGCATCCACCGCCGTGTATTCCCGATGAGGGGTCAACGAGGCACCAAAGCAGCAGCAGCAGCAGCGGCAGCATGACTTTGCACACCATGATGGATGAAGAGATAGGGCGTCGTGACCAGTAAGGAAGGGAAGAAATGCAGCATACATGCAATGTCAATCGCGATTATCCATACAATCGAGGAGCCATAACCTTGTTATCCTCCATCACCGCCGCCCCTTAACTCTCCCTTTTTGTTTATCTTCCCTTTTAACCTTTTCCGTGACCTTAATCTCCCACTCGTTTATCATCATCTTTCGATTTACGGAGGTGAACTCTCGCCTTCACATTCACACACACACACAAATATTGTCTCTTCTTTTGCCAAGCAACATTATTATGGGTCGTCTATACGTGGTGCATGTGTATGTGTCGAAAACATCTCTCTATCTGCAAGACCATAGGGTACCAACCAAATGTGTGTTTTATATGCATGTGCATTCGTTCTTTTATCCAGTTGTATGCATTCTTGTACTATTTCTTAATACACCTACAGAAAATGACTCATCTATGTGCACCCATTGAGCGTGAAAGAACACATGACCGGTTGTTATTACTGTTGACTATGGACCCTGTGTGTGCGTCATTATAATGATATGCATAATACACGTGATGCGTAGAGTGTTTTAGGATGGATGATGGTGTCAACAATAACAACTACTTGGCTTAGGGGGTCTTGTGTAACATGCATCAGGAATCTCCTCCACTTGCCAAGCATGCGTTAGCTGCGAGACGCCAAGTGTTCATTAAATTACTTAAACACACACACACACACACACACACCCATATCATTTCATGCATCAAAAAGGTGTAGTTGTATACTCGGCGACCAGGCCGAAGGAAATGCCAAGGTCTTCTTCATTATGTCTTATACTCGCTATTAGTATTGATTGCTAGCTGACGTGGCTGGGGACCATTCGGTGACAGCAACATGATGCGGGATTTCTTATATAAAGCTTGTTTCTTTATCTTTGAGTGGGGTTTCTCTCATCATCGCTATGAACATACAGCATTCAGTGGTCGGCTTTTACGAGTCATACGTTGCTCCTTGGTGGACAAGCAGTAAATTCAATGACGTGTATCACATCCTGACACGGCACAAAAAGGTATCAATCTCAGCTGCTGCTGCACTCGTGGGCCTGTGTTTCCTTTACGACCGCGCTTTTCGACCACCACGCAATCTTCGCCACATTCCTCATGTCGCATTCCCAACCTATGTATTGGCTGTCATGAGAGGAATGCAGCCCAAGGACACAGCTCGCTCCATCACAATGCCGGCTGCTGCACGATCGCTACATGGCTTGTATTTGGTAGGTCTATTTCTTTGCTCAGTGTCTCACTTTGTACTTACGTCCCATATTAGCGCTTTGATCACAATGGATGGGCTGTCCATGTTACTCGCCCCGATGCCATCAAACGGGTGTTGCTCAAAACAGGTTGGATCCCATTAACGTATTTATCACGGCATTGTTCTAATAGTGGCATCATTTGTAGATCTATTCCTAAAGATCGACACTGCCAAGAACTTTGAAAACACGTTGACAGGCAAGGTTGTTGCAGGTCCCAATGTAGCCTTTTTGACCGGGGATCGATGGAAGGCACAACGGAAGGTAAAGGGATGAAGCAATATCATAGGACGCGATATCAATGATTGTTGTTCATTTTAGATTGCAAACCCTGCATTCAACCGGTCGATGCCAGTACAACTATTTGGGCGTCTTTCTCAGAAATTGATACATGTCATGGATCAATCAATCGACCAACCTATTGAGATCCTCCATTTTGTGGAACGTTACACGCTTGATTCAATTGCCATTGCTGGCCTAGGTAACATCCAGTTTTCTTTCCCCGCTTATGTATCAGTGATACTAACTGACAACATCTCGTTCAATGTAGATTACGACTTTGATGCTATTGGCAACCCTGATTCAGAATGGATGCAACGCTATTTGCGTATCACTCAAGCAATCGAAGATCTTCCTTTCCTTCTTTTTCCTATTCTGGACAATCCGCGATTTGCAAGCCTTGTGCCTAGACGACGACGTGCCCACCAAGATGTCGATGCTTTTTTGGCGATGATTGATGGAGTGATTGAACGAAAACGTGCCTTGTTGAAGGAATCTGGACGTGACTTATCCACTATACCGCAACGTGAAAAGGATCTATTGACTCTCCTCATTGAAGCTGAGAGTGATGAGAATGGCTATTTGACTAACGAAGAACTCAGGGTAAGTAAAAAGACGTACATTGGATTGTATAAAATGGGATCGCTGATCATTTTGCATAAAGAGCAATGCAGCTGCCTTTTTCATTGCGGGTCATGAAACCACGTCGTCGGCTTTATCATCGATTATGTACTATCTCGCAGCTCACCAAGTATGTTGTTATAGTCTCTTTATTGTATATGCTATGCTAACATGTCTTTCATGAAAGGATGTACAAGAGAAGGCAAGGCAGGAGGCCATTCGTATTTTGGGTGATGAGCCAAAGGATGAGATGCCTACACTTGAACAGCTAAAGGACGTGACATACATCAACATGGTTATCAAAGAGGTATGATCAACAACTATCCATGGTAAGAAAAGGGACCCTCATTGACCCTTTTTTTTTAAACCAGGCACTACGAATGAGCCCACCTGGAACCCAAATAATTGCCCGAGAAGCACAAGAAGACACCGAATTGGCAGGAGTGTTCATCCCAAAGGGAAGATTAGTAGCTGTCGATCTATACGAGTTGCAGCATAGTCCAGATATTTGGCGTGACCCTGAAGTATTTGATCCTGAGCGCTTTGCACGTGGCGGTGAAGCAGAGCAAATGGCAGGCAAGGGCTTGACATGGATTCCATTCTCGAACGGAGCTCATCAGTGCATAGGTATGTGTATGAAACAAAAGAGTAGTGATGTTGCCATGGTTACTTATCCCTATGGTTACTTGTAGGCATGAACTTTAGTCTTGCTGAACAACGAGTGCTGCTTTTAATGCTTTGTAAGTTGACTTTTACTCGTGCCACACGATAGATCATTAACTCTTTCATCTAGTACGTAAATACAAGTGGTGCCTTCCAGACGACAGCATGCATAAGGATGGATTGGTTACATATGGCTTTGGCATCATTCTTCCCAAGGACCTGAAGCTGTCATTTGAGAAACGATATTAGCATTAACAGCCATAGTAGCATCTCCCTCAATATGATGATCCATTGTATAAAGATGTTGCGAACGTGATGTGCTCATTTGAAATTGCTGTATTAGGTTTTAAAGCATGATGCTGTTGTGCGGATGGTTTGAGTGGTTTTATTCTATATGAATATGTGTGTGTGTGTGTGTGTGTGTGTGTGTGTTTATGGAAATGGGATGATGAGGGCAATAGTGTGAGATAAAGGGAAATGGTGGATGCGTAGATAAAAGATATGCAATAAGGGTAATGAAATAAAAGGGATCCAACTGATTACTTTTGTGGTGTCGATTCCAAGGGATGGGGAGATATTCCGCCACGATATCTACTGATGGTGATGGCTAAACCTGAGGATGAGGATGCTGATGACGCTTGGCGAACAAGATCGGGTCGATTTGATGTTGGACTAGGGGCTTCCTCGTAATAGGCTTGTTCATCTTCTTCTTCCAAGTCAGGGTAAATCTCTCGGTAGCCATAGTGGATATCATCTGATAAACAAGATTGCGGTCGTCCAAGCGTGTGTAAATCGTTTTGGGGGATTGATGACGTAGAAAATGATGGTTTGCCGTGCATGAGAGGAGGAGATAGCGGTTGTGAGGAAGGGGTTGCAATGACGGGTTGTTGTGATGTGAATTGCTGGTTTGGTGTTTGTGGTGCATTAGAGGAAGTAACACTTTTGGATCGACGCCTGGTGATACCATGAGTGAGATTGGATAGGGATGAGGAGAGCTTTTGAATGGATTTACGTAATCGATCCTATAAAAACAATGAAATCAATATATGCAGTCCAAACTCTAGTTTCTTTTTCCCTTATTCTTACCATGATTGTCACCGCGTGTGTTACTTCTTCATCGGTTACTTCAACGGTCTTATAGCGTCGTGGATCAGCTTCATCCCACCAGGCTTCTGGACATTCAAGATCTTCAATGACCCAAGGGTGATGCTGCAGGGAAAGAAAAAGCCATTGAGTTAGGTGTATGTGCGGAATGTATAATCTCTCTCTCTTTCCCTCTCTCCTAATGTATCCCTTATATTTACCTTAACATCTTCCAATGTAATACGTTCTTCTGGATTCTTTGCCAATAATCTTGTTAAGAGATCCTTGAGCTCCTTATCGATATCAAAACCCATTTCATTGGGATCCGGGAACTTGAGTGGTTCGGTTGGGATCAAATCGAAAAGTTCAAACTCGGTTGCTGCGATAAATGGGCATCGACCAAAAATCAGACAGTACAAAGTGACGCCAAGGGCCCATACATCAATGGCTTTGGTGATTCGTGGTCGATTTTGAGCTCCTGAAGTATGCGTGCTATCGTTGCTGCTGCTTTGGATGCTTTGGTGATCCTCCTCAGATGTTGGACTTAGGGGCATGTCGCCTGCACAACACAACTCGGGCGCAAAAAATGCAGGTGTTCCTGCTGTTTCCGCAAGCTCTCGATCAATACGGCTACAACTCTCGGTGGATCGGTGCTGGATAACATCATCGCCGCCTGCCAACAACTCGTTAAAGTAGGAAACGCCAAAATCAGATATCTTGACAACGTGCTCATTCGTCAATAATAAATTGGCCGGCTTGATGTCACGGTGGATGATGCCTTGGTAATGCACTTTTTAAAAAGCCCAATTAGATCCCATGTCAAACATGATCAAGTATGCACTTACAATAATCCAAACCACTGACGACATCACGAAAGACACTGCGTGCTTCATCGATGGATAAGACTGGCATTTCATTCTCATCACGCCATTCAATTTCACCACCTTCCATGTATTCCAAAGCTATAAAGAAGCAAGTGTTAAAAGGATCAAGCGACATTTGACACACACACACAGCGTAACGTACCCATATAGATTTTTCTGCTTGCCGGATCATCAATCACTTCTCGTAAGCGGACGACATGTGGATGAGCGCACTTTTTGAGAATGGCGATCTCTCGTCGTATCTTTTGTTCATTCTCCTTGTATTGCGGTAGTTCAGTAGGCTTCTTGATCCCATGAGCATGATTCTGACTGTTGCCTCGAAGAAGGCTGTATCCCAATTGTCTTCGTCGCGTACGCTTATCAACAATCTTGATGGCCTATCATGCATGCAATCATTCAATCAATACCAGCCCATCACTCTCACACACACTCTCTCTCCTTCGAGCACCAAGTTACTTACAACGAGCTCGTTCGTTTCAATGTCTTCAGCAAGTTTGACTTTTCCATGGACACCTCTTCCGATCTCTTGTATGATCATGTATCTGTTGATGATCTTGTTGCCCGTGCTTGGATCATAATCCTTATTGATGGTATTGGTCATGACAACGTCTGCAGGAGGTATGTAGTGCGTTGCAGGGTGGTGCCTGGGGGATGTTATGGTTGTAGTTGAGGTGCCTGGTGATCGTGACAAGGAGAATTTGCGGATGCGTTGAGTAAGGCTGGTAGTGGAGTGGTGGTCATTAGGTGGGTATAGTGGTTGATAGTGTTCTCTGGATCGTCGTACTGTTAATCGACTTGGTCGTGAAGAGGGACTTTTCATGTCGTTGTTGTTGCTGTTTGTTGTAGTTGTCGTTGTTGTGGTAGGGTGAGCTGGTGATTGCGGTGGTGGAGGAGGAGGAGGAGAAGTAGTGTAGACAAGGCTATCGGCACTCTTCCAGGGCATCAGTGAATGGCCGTTCAGGAACATTGACGTATCCTTTTCATTGTGAGGTATGCTTTGACGACGTTGAGAGAAATAAGCTGGAGAAGGATGTTCTGGCATGGGAGATAAGTCTTTTGTGCTTGCTGATGACGGGTACATTATGGGAGAAAGGGAGAGTGAGAGAAAGAGGGGTGGGGGAGCGTGAAAGAGAGATATGAACGTGATTGTGTTGCGGAAGAAGAACCTGATTCACACATAAATGTCTTTTTTAGAGCATATGTTTTTGTTGACCTTGCATCGCCTTCCCCCTTTTCCTCTCTCATTCTCTTTTTTTCTTTTTTCTCTTCTCTTTTTCTCTTTCTTTCACTCCACACACATACACACATACACACACTTGATCATGCGTTTCTTGTTTACTCTGTTGTTACTATTGACAACGTCCTCCTCCATCATTCATGTGGTTGTGCACGCAACCATCCTTGTCACTGTAAGTCATCCATTTGATCTTTCTTCTTTCCTGTCATCACACCCGCATTCATTCATTCATTTTTCTCTTTCTAGTCCTCAAACACGACTTTTGTGGATCATCCTGCAGCATTTGGTCCAAGGTTATCTGAGAATGGGAAAATCGGCTATCTTGTCGAATCCAAGCATGATCCTACCGGTTGCAGCATTGTCGAGCCACCTTGTGATGATTGGATCGCCCTTGTTCAAAGAGGTGGATGTTCGTTTATCACCAAAGTAAGAAACATGCAAAGGAGTGGAGCATCCGCTGTAGCCGTCGGTGATCCTGAACATCCTGGGCGTTGGATTACAATGTATGCACCTGGTAAGTTTTAAAAGCCATCAAGAAGGGGTTTGATGGTTAAACAAGGAGGAGGAGGAAAGAGAGACAAGAGCCACACGGTGAGATCACCGGGTAGCGTGTGTACACTTATGCTACGTTCATTTTCACACTCACACACAAACCATGTGAACCCTATAGGCGATACATCAGACGTCTTGATCCCAAGCGTATTCTTAGCTCAAAGGGAATACCTTGCTCTCTTGTCTCTTGCAAGCTTGGCCAATGCACCCTTGCAGGTACACATGCAAGTCGATGATTTTATTTCATGGTAAGAAGCCAACCGATCTTTACCGGCTCCTCAATCATGATTTCTTTCTTACCATCCATATTAAACTCAGGCCACTCATTGATGTCCTCATCATTGTCATTGTATCACCCACCATCATGCTTTTCTTTATTTACATCTCTTGGCAAATTCGACAAAGACAACGACGACAACAAGAATTGGCTCCTTACGACATGGTCTCTCGTCTTCAACTCAAAAAGTTCAGCCATGAAAAAGTCAAAGAGAATGAAAGGGAAGAATGCGTCATTTGCTTGGAAGACTATCAAGAAGGCGAAGATCTCCGAGTGTTGCCGTGCCAACATGACTTCCATGCAGCATGTGTAGATGCTTGGCTCACGACGCAAAAGAAATTCGTAAGTCGGATCACAAAAACCATTACCATGATCTATCTAATACGTTCATTGTTTTCATAGTGTCCGATTTGTAAACGAGATATCTCATCCAACACTGTGTACAGACCCAACAGCGAATTTACACCACTCTTGGATGCTTGAGCTATTTACAATTTACCGCCACTCAACCCGCGTACATATATACCCAATCTCCTTATCCCCACCAGCCAGCAGCAGCAGCAGCAGCATTGCGTCAATTGCACCATATTTGTCATCCTCTTGTATAGCACCTGTAGTAATCTTGCTCCTGAAGTTAAAAAAGACAATCACTCCACATTCACTCATTCACACATATACATCCATCCACACGCATATCCACCAACCCCCATTCCATGTGTACATTAGCCATTATATAAAGAAGGTAAAAGATTCTCTACTACAATACCCACATCCATTGCCTTTTACTTTTAGAGTCATTGTGAATCATCCTTTTTTGGTTGTTTGGTTGGTGGTTGGTGGTACTAACACAAAAATTCTCGGAACCGAATCACCGAAGAAAGCTACCTGTCTCTTTTGTTGTTGCCTGATAATGAACCTAAAACCAGCGCCATTGTAAGCAGGGTGCTTTAGCTTGTTATTGATTGAACAGGGGGTGGTGGGAACACCATCATCATCATCACATCATCGTCATCCTCCTCCTTGCACATTGTCACGATCTATGATTTTTTAGCTCGAATGATCAACATCATTTGTCTACAATGGATAAGTTAGACGCTCAAAACAAGGAGGACATGCATACGTCATGAGCAAATAGCAAAGAGCTAAAATAGATCATATCTTGGCAACACGTAATTTACAGCACTATTGACACCGTTATAGTAGTGGCATGGTAAAACATACGATTGTCTTCAACAAAGTGCATCCTATGTGACGCTGCATAAAATTTACACATGCACACACACACAATGCAGCACCTGCATGCGTATCACTGCGTGATCATGCATGAAGGGGGTTGAATGGAGAAGTAAATATACCCATAGTTGTAGAAAAGATGTATCGATATGTATTTGCATGACCCACCATGGCCTATGATTAACGATATGACAATGCTAATGGTGCCATTGTTCCTTTCTCCCACAAATGGCTATTGATACCACCCTCCAAATATATACGCATCCATGCCAAAGCGCACGTCTACATAGTATTCATGTGACCTTCCCAATAAGGTATTTACAACAAAGGCTTTGCCACGAGATCCAATCACTGCACAACATAATGCATGAATTCACTGTAACTGTGTGTGTGCGTGTGAAGTCTACTTTTCAAATTCCCAACATTGACAAACGAGGGAATGACACAAATAGAAAGTAAGATCAAATAGGGGATCAGGAACACTAATCATTGTTGACGGAGGTCATACATAAGGATGAAGGATACATTTACACAGCACAGCTGTTAATTTATGATAAAACATCTATGGGAGTAATGATGGAGGAGGTGGGGAGGGGGATTGCCAAAGATGAATGATTTGTGCTAAGATGAAGGGAACAATTCACGATACTTGGGTGTTCGAGAGAAACGAGGCACTAAATCTTCTGCGAGGATACGACAAATTTGATCATTGACGCGATCATAAAGCTGGATGGTCATTTCGATGATGGCATCGGCAGGATCTCTTACGGATACCGTTGCCATGGTGATGGAATAATTCGAAGACACAAACTGGATGATCTCGCTGCGTAGGCTGTGGTTAATGTTGAGTTCTGATTTAGCGTAAGGTCCAAGATACGATTGATAGATTGTATAAATGTCCATCGACAGCTCCTTCGTCTCTGCTTGTGCATGGCATTTACGACGCAGCGTTCGAAAATCGACCCAAAAGTTGATGTTTTCTTCGCAATAGTTTGTTTTCAAATAGTCGCGGAAATACATGCGAGATAATGGATCCTCCAAGATTTGACTCAATCGCACCCAATTTGAATCACCAGGTTGACTTTTCACGCCTAATACATTGTCGACTGATAAAGGTGATCGTGTGGCATCCGTTGCTCTAAATGCTGTTTGCTGCTGTGATGGGGTTGTGGTGGAAGATTGTTGTTGTACATTGGATGGAATACCAAAGCTGTACTTGTTGCTGCTGGTCAATACAAGGGGTTCAGTGTCGCTTTCATTGACATCAACAAAGGTCATGTCGGTATTGGTTGTTGTTGTTGTTGCTGTATAGCGTGATCGATTCGCTTGCATTTGCTTGGGATCGGATGATGCTGGTGGATTGTATACCACGTTGTTGTTCTCGTTACGGAGTACCTTGTATCCGCTATCACCCAAGTAGTACAATGAGTTCTTGGTGATACTGAAACTTGATGATGATTTGCTGCTGCTGCTGTTGCTGCTATGATTGCTGTTGCTGTTGCGCTTATCATTTGGTTTGTCAGTGATCTCGCATATCCACTCATTGGCAACAAATTCGGCTGCAATCATATGTGCTTCGTCAGCGTTGGCAACGGTTGTATATTCGCATATCCACTCAAAGCATTGGTATCCATAAAATGTGTGCTGGTATGTGTTGAGATCGCCTGGCTTAACACCCACAACGTCATCTGCAATCAAGCGTTCGGTTGGTAACCATGCCAACATCATCTAAGAACAATACGCATACAACGTAAGAGATCCCATTTCAATACCATTTCCCCATTTCCCACTTGTACCTTGAAAGCATTAGCCATATTTGTTCTGCTAATGGACAATCGATCATCCGCCTGTAGCCGTTCAAAAGTGTATATGCCAAATGAATCGATGCGAGCAAGCTGTTGTTGCATATGATGGAGAGGGACATAGGTACGTTTGGCAAATTCCATGATCACGTGCTTGCCCTTGGGTGTTGGTCTCCAGATGCCCTTGTCTTTCATCATCGTATTACGGCTTTGCTGTGTTGGGTTGACAGCGTCTTCAATAAGTCTTGCATTCAACATGTGTGTTCCAAGAGCTTTGGCCATGGGTGGTGTCATGCTAAACGTGGTTGTTGTACGCGTGGCAATTTGTTGCTTTGGATCGTTGGGATCGGTGGTCTTTACAATGTGTGAGATCTTGAGGTCGGCCAAGGATTGCACTGCTTCATCGGTGGTGAAGGTACCAGCATAAGTACGAAAGAGTGAACGGTGGTCTGTCAACGGTAGCTGAATGAGAAGAGCTGCAAAGATATCAAAGAGGTCCTATGTACGAGATTTTGTGTGTGAATAAACGTGTGAAGGATGTGATTTCGTTTATGGATAAGGAGGTGGGGGTTGAGACCTTGACATACGGCCGTTGATCAGGAGCCATGCGCATCATGGTTGTCTGTGAGCTGCCACCACCGTTGTTATAGTTACTATTAGCCATGCTATATTATTTCTTGGCTCGTGCTTGAATAGGATGAACAAAGTGATGGTACACCAAAAGGAAAAGTAATATGAAAAAAAGAGCAACAAGGAAATAGAGCAGACATCAGAACATCTCTTATTTAAGGTTGGTGTTTGTGAAAGTGCCACAGCAGCATGCGTCGTCCTGATGGGGTAAAACACAGAGCCACCCACCTCAATTGCAACATGTTACACGTACCATGCGTTACGACTTTGGTACTTGTCAATACAAACACAATCATCCTCCTTTTCTTTTCATGCTTTTGTGCTTCATTCTCATAAAAAACAGGTTATTTGATCATCTTCTTCCTATATTGTTTGCAAGCGGAAAGACATCGGCCTATGTGTGTGTGTCTGTGTGCTCACTTTCAAACTCCAAGGATAAGGTATGTTGCACAGGGCAGCTTTTTTTTCTAGACCTCTTTGTGAATTGCTAGGATACACCGCTGCAACGGAGATACAAGGTGTTGGCGATCATCATTATTCTTAAACTCACGGATAAGACTAGCTTGTTTGAACAAAAAAGGTGTCCATCATAAGGTATCATGTCATCTCCGCAGTACTGGATCATAAAATCACGCATGTATGTTTATTACTATATACGAGTTCATATGTGGTGGTGTGTGTGGGGGAATACATAGTATCATAAGGAATGTGGAGTTTTCGAAACGTAGGGTGATGGAGATGGTTAGGATTTATCCACGTGCATATCTTTATTTTCGACGACTGCCGCTGACCTGCATGGCATGTATTAGACGGCGTGTTAATTCTTTCCCAAAAAGCCAAAGATCAGCATCCCTCTTTCTCTCTCACTCACCTGGATAAACTTGGAGACCAAACGATCCACCAAGCCTTTGTCCAATTCGCACCATTCAACTTTCCACTCTTCGCCATTTTTGAAATCGTCCATATCCATCCAGCTGCCAAATACAGGCCTATGATCCAATGGTATTGTACGTCCAGCTGCTGTAGTAATGGAAACAATCTTGCGAGTACGAAACGTGGCAATGGTGTGAATTTTGTTTGCAAGCGATAAACCCGTTTCTGTTGTATCGATCTTGATCCAGACCATGTGTTCTTTGTTTATCGATTGTACTGTAATTTGACGGGTGTTGTTTTCCGGTTCTTTTTTTCGAAAATCAAAAGTGTGAATGAATGGTATCAAAGTGACAATGTTAGACTTACTTGATGATTTCTTCATTTCGGTTGGCTGTTGTTGCTCGGTTGGCAAGGATGGCGGACCATAATGAGCGGATGATGTTGATGAGGAAGATGCTGGCGGGGAAGGATCAACATGTAGCTCAGGTGTCGGGAGTTCCTGTGTGGTATCTAGAAAACAGTGATCAATGAATACGATGCTTTAAAAAAGTACCTTGACAAGGGATTATACCTGATTCGGTTGACATTGGCTCATCTGTGTAATAGCCAAACTGATGTGGGACTATGGGAGCAGCCGACCAGTCGTACCCATAATACGGGTCGTGATGTTGTTGTTGCACAAATGATCTACGTGGAGGTGGTGCAGGTGGCTCTTGCGGTAATGGTTTGGGTTGTTGTTGTTGATGAGGTAAAGCGACTTTCCATGATTCTCTTGCTCGTCCACCAACACGCCATTCTTCATTATTGTTACAAGAAACTCGTCTTTGGGATTCGGGAAATATACCCATCGGTTGCCCCACTTGTGGGATTGCCGCTGCTGGTACTTGCTGTTGTATTGTACTATCTTCAGCTTTCCAATAATGTGTATCCATTGTTTTCCTCATACCTGGTATTCATAGTATTGTTGGTTTGGTGCCATATATAAATCATCAGCACGACCATGGTATTGCCAATGCCAATTTTCTTCGGTTGGATATGCTGAATGAATCATCGAATCAATGTACAATGTGAAAAAGTGAAAAGAAGAGCAGAGGAAGGATGTTGAAAGAAAATAAAAGCTTTGTATATTTCCGGCATCCAGAAAAACATTGTGATTTATATAGCATGTCGTCAATGTCAATGGTAGTCGTAGTAACAGGAGGCGAGAGAAACGGCTCACGCGACATTACTGAATAGGGTGTCCATAACAACAACAATGCGCCATCTTTCACCCCACGTATCATGTGCCCTTTTGTAAACCAAAGGGATTACAATGGCGGAATGGTAAAATAGTTTTCCCGATGCCTATGCATCTCGCCATCATTGTTCATCCTCTCTCTCGGAGTAACGTGAATAGCTTAATTATGATAGATCCCTTGCGTATCCCTTCAATTGTTTATGTATTGTGAATAGGGTGTGTAACACCTTTATTAATGAAAGCTACTCATTATTGACACAACTATTATAGCTATTACAATCCCCCGCATTGACTTTTTTATAACGGGGTAGGCGCCGATGTAAAGAGCGGAATTGTTTTCGTTGGCCGGGTAATTCGATGCCGTTTCTGATAACCCATCCACAATAGTTAAGTTCTTCACCGAGCCATATATAAAAAGCCGCGCACCTGTTGTTGTGTTGCAGTAGTATCTGTTGCCGACGAGCTGTCTACAAAACGAGAAGGCGATAGAAAAGTCTAATTCCATTTGTTCCTCTTTCCCTTTCTCTCCTCTCTTATATATATCTTCTCCTCCTCTTATCATCTCCCCTCATTCAGTGTTGTGTGCGATATGCCCCAGTGGACAGGGTTCTATAAGTCGAATGGCAACAACAACAACAATAACAGTGCTGACACCAAAACAGCGCTTGTTGCGCCCTCACCTCAACTCAAAAAGCTGTCAGCAGTGAAATCCTCGGCCTCTCTTGCCAATGGACGTTCCTCGCCATCGTTACGATCACTTTCTCGACTCTCGCTTCGTTCCTCGCCTGGGGTGGACCATGAAAGCGCCGAGGATGCCGCCATGATGAATGACATTTCCCAAGTTCGCAAAGCTCTCGATTGCTTCTTCGACTCTCGAATCAGCGATGCTGAAGCCATTCTTGCACCTCGTCGCAAAAAGAGCATGTACTACTCGCTCGGTTACGGCTTTATCTTATTCCTCAAGTGTGTCATGACATTTGAACAAGCGGATATCGAACGGACACTGGAAGCTCTCAAGCAAACTATTCAACTTGCTCATGCACAACGAAAAAAGGATGCTGGTTGGCTTGACAACATCACCACATGGATGAAAGGCACCAATGTACAGCAACTAAAGACCATGACACGAGTACATCGACATGCTGTAAGTACTTCTTGGGGGGAGGGAGGAAGGATTGATAAAAAGGTGGGGGTGTACAAAGTATCGGTGTCTTATCTGGCTTTTTTTGATAGGAGCTTGTCCATGCCGAAGCTTATTTGCTCAAGGCACTTTTGAGCATTATTCATGATGAGAGCATTGTGTCATTTCTCAGAGAAGGTCTCAACATCCGCAGCAGTTACAACACATATCGCACATTGGAAAGATACATCGACATGGTACAAGATGAGGCTGCTGCCGGCAAGGACATCTCAAGCTATCAGCTGGATGATCATTTTACTTCTGGTGTAGCACTCGGCATTGGCTGTTTCAACATTATCCTATCCTTGCTTCCCACCACTGTTGTCAAGGTGGCAGAGTTTATGGGCTTCTCAAGTGATCGTGAGCATGGTTTACAAGTGCTTGAATCCATTGGTGCCTGGGAAGATTACCGTGGCAACGACAAACGACCTATCGCTGACCATTCCTTGATGAAGGATGAGGGGCTGCGCAGACAATTGTGTGACATGGTGCTCATTTGTTACCATATCGTCCTTTCCAAAATGATACCCTTGCCCAATATCGACCAAGACTTTGCTACCAAGATTCTCGATTACAACTTGGCCCTTTATCCTTCCGGTGTCTTTTTCCTTTATTTTTCAGGCCGTGCACTCGCCAGCAAAAGTGAATTATCAAAGGCAAAAGGTCAATATGAAAAGGCTATCAATACACAGCAGGATTGGAAGCAATTGCAACACATTTGCTATTGGGAGGTATGTTTAGTGAGTCAAAGAGAGGATGTTATCATTTGCTGACATCTTGTATTTGCTTAGCTGGGTATCATCAGTATTATTCAAAAGGATTGGCAACGATCATATGACATTTACGATGAGCTTGCTCGAGAAAGCAATTGGTCCAAGGCCGTTTACACCTATCTGAAAGCTATGGCATTGTACATGATAGCTCAAAAGAAGGCTGGCGAGGAACAAAAGAAGATGATCAAACAAGCACATGAGATCATGAAAGAAGTCAATGGCTCTAAGCAAAAGATTGCTGGAAAATCAATTCCCATGGAGGTAAAGTATCAAGAGAAAGAGAGGATCATAAAACAGGGCCAAAGACTAACATGGTGGACCATGTAGAAATTCATCTCGAGAAAGTCTCGCAAGTTCATCGAGCAAGATAACTACTTGATTATGCCTGATTTGGAGATCTTGAACGCGTTCACAGCATACGATTTCATGCCAGCAGATGTATTGCAGCAAAACTTTGATTTGATCAACAAAGAGTTGGATGCGCTCAAAGACGACACCAAGCGAAAGCATTATTACGATGATCTCGCCCTTGTACATTATCTCCGCGCTCAGGTAGCGCGTCTTTTGCTTACCAAACACAATGGTGACAAGAAGACTCTGACAGCTTTGCATCATACCTCCGTCGATGTCGTCCTTGAAAACGCCAACAAAATCGAGCTTGATCATTACATTTACTATTTCACGCGATATGAGAAGGCACGCATGTACATTGAAGAGAAGGATTTTGAATCAGCCGAGAAAGAGATCCAAATCATCGTGCGTTCTGCTGAAAAGGGACAATACAATGTGGGTGCTGGTCCTCACGCCAAGAACAAGTACAGTCTCGAGAATGCCTTGGTATTCAAATGCCATAATTGTGAAGAGCAAATCCAATCACTCAAGAAAGCATCATTGACCTCATCCAAAGAAGACGACGACGATATCGATTAGAAGGCAATTCACATCCCCTTATCATTCCATCTGATTTCATCCCACTTTACATCTCATCATAGAAGCACACGCACACATTCCTATCATCATCTCACTGTAATAAATCGCATCACCCCTTATTCTTAAAGAATAGAAGAACATTATTTTATGTAATGGCATCGGATAATTGGATAAGTGTATGAATGTAATGTTGTTGTTGTTGAATATGGGTAGTCTACTTTTTGTGTTGTCGATTGCAAAGGCTCGGGTGATATATGGATACATTTACCATCCTTCCCATTCGTCATCCGAATCTTTGGATCCTGTCTTTTTCGATGCTGCTTCTCTCAAAGGAGTTCGAGAACGCATGTTGGTTGTCGATGATTTGGTGGTGGTACCATTCAATCCAGAAGGTGATGCGCTACGCGAACTGAGAGGAGTCGTAGTAGATTGTTGTTGTTGTAAGGAAGAAATGGTAGAGCTGAAAAAGTCATCATCGTGGTTGTTTTGAGGAGTGGATCTTCCAGAACGGGTATCAAAGTTGTTGTAAAGCTCTTGTGTCTATATAACACAAATCCTATTAATCACCACCATTACATCACGAGGTCATCATCCATCTTTTACCTTTCTGCTGAACGAGTTGACATAGTCATTCACGTTGCTTCTTAAGTTGGGATCATTCAATTGTTCATTGGCATATCGTCCAAGTTGTCCAGCACCTTGAGCAGCAACACGTGCACCTTCCACAGCTACCTTGCCAAGTTCCTCCATACCAGACGAGAAGAAAGACCAACCTTTGCTGAGAGCCGTCATTGGATCGTTCATAATATCTTGTAAATCAGGCGCAGCTGTGGTATTTCTTGAAGATTGATTCTCAACTAGAATAGATCGTCAGCTGCTATACAAGGTAAATAGCGTGATAAAGGTACACTACTTACAGGCTGGATTACCAAAACCAGTATATTTTCCGCCTTGGCTTGGAGGGAGATGGCTAATGTTTTTGTGCAACAAAACATTAGCATAAATGCATAACAATAATCCCCTTTCAAATCAATACTTACTCTGGCCGACTTTCATTAGCACTACCCAATTGTGCAAAGTAAGCCTCATTTCGTGCCTTATCCGATACATTGCTGAAGCTAGCGGGTGATGCAGAACGTGGACTAGGTGAAAAGCCATCTGTGCGACCAACAGGTGTTGAATTCAAAGAACGAGTGGATCCACCAGTGGAGACCATGGGACGCTTAGCAGAGGAAGCAGCAAGTGGCGATGGTGTCCAAGTACGACCTTCAGCTTCTGCTGACAACTACCATCCATTGTAAGCCATTCATCTCTTTATACCACCACCACCCCCTCAATCATTCCACACATCAACCAACCTTGTCACGATATAAAGCAGCACATTGAGAATTGTACTTTTGATCCATGGACATGTTGGAAGAATAATCTGGTTGCGACTCGAAAAAGGCCTTGGCTTTTTGATTGCCACCAATCTACATACTACCCGTCAACACACACACATCTCCCAATGCATTCCATTCCCATGCATGTATGCATCATCGTTCACTAGTCTTACCTCCATTTTCTTGACTTGGTCATCATACCACTTGTCCATACCAATCGAACGTACAAAGCTATCCAGAGATAGTTAGCACCAACTAAGCCTGATCGTAGTATCAAGCAAGGGATCAAGATGCCAACCTGATGTGCACACCAAATCCCCGATGGATACCAGAACAGTCAAGACAGATGAAGATGCCATAAGAAACGCTGGCCCATTGCGGATTGGGAGCACCACAATCGAAACAAGTACGGTTCTCTCCTCGTCGCTGGAGTTCGTAGAGTTTTTGTTTGTATTCGGCAGACATGGCTGTTATCGATCCATACACATATACAATAAAGACATGAGCACCTTGATGCAACACTTCATGGCAAGCAATTGAATAGTTAGTGCACTTACCTCTTCCGAGGAGAGTAAAAGAAGGGAGGAGAAGGTGTGTGCTTAGTTCAAAGATATGCGAAAAGGGGCAAGTAGGAGGATTAGCTACACCATAGCCATCTTGTCTTTTTTTTGGCACCTTTCCATATTGAAGCATCCAATCAGAGGAGAGGCTTTATTTGACATCAATTGACTATATTGACTACTACTTTAAGTGGATGTAACCTGACAATGCATCACGAGCTTTACAATAGCCAAAGCACACCAATTCGATAATACCCACCAGCAAAATCACTGGCAAGAAGATGATGATCCATAATACCTGACGGATGCGTTCAAGCCAAAGCAATGTGATTGACTCATCTTTTTTCATCTTGAATAATCCTGTAAAGATCCAGCCTGCAAAGCCAACCACAAGATCAATAGCAACGGTGGGTATGAACATGCCATAGCCGGGACGTTTGATAATGGCACGCTCAGCAGCAAATGTGCGTTGGATGGCACCAAGACGTGGATAAAGCGTGATGAGCGTCGTCAGGAACGAACCCGTAAGCAAGGCACCGAGAATGAGTAACATGGCTGCGAGATAAAAGAATACCATGACACCAGCAGCTTGTGGTTGATAATAAAGTGTATCAGGAATAGCAGGTGCATGTAATGCTCCAAGGGCAAGATGGCGTAACAATGTCAAGCAATCCATATCATTGTGTTGAAGAGCTGCAAGTCCCAACCAAAAGGCCAATAGCGTCACGATGGCAACACCAAACACCCATAATGCATCGACCACACATCGACTAACAAGGTGACGAGCCTTGTATACGGACCAGCATAAATTATCTTGCCATAACACAAGTCGGAAGATCATGAGAGGAGTTGCCCATACAAGGAACATGTATGAGTATGCAATGAGCGTGTCCGCTTTCTCCAAATCAGAGTCATTCGCCAAACCAACGAGACGCAACACAAATGCTGCCGTAAGGAAACCAGCTGTTGTCAATGACAAATACGTGGATGGATGGTGCACTGATTTGATAGGATGCAGGATCAATGTGCCAAGTTCAAGTAATACATCGGAGCAGACAAAGACATAGTAAGCATACTCGAATGGATGTAGGCCGCTGTTCCAGTAATCCTCATTGGCAAGGGTAGCAAGATGAAGACCCAAGTAAGCAAGGCCGACAAGAAGACCAGCTCTAGCTTGATAACGTGGAGTGGCCCAACGTGCCAAGTATGATGCAACAGGGCGAAGAGCATTTGGGCAATTGAATTGCTTCCACACGCTGCATGGATGGTATGGAACTTGCTTCCAATCTTCACATACACCACGCGACAACCAGCAATCCTATCATGTTTCATATGTATGCACAATTTAGCTTCATCATGCTTGCATGCTATTTGGTTTCCCACGCCATTCACACATACCTCATTGATGGATTGCACCTTTGTGTCGGCTAAAAAGTGCTGGCAATCATTAACAACAGCCCATTCAATGGCTAAAAGTGATAAGAGTAGTTAGCCCATGCGTCATTTAAATAAAGTTGTAGCTTACCAGAACGGCCATCTACCCATGGGCGAACCAAGAATTCACGTAAAAGTAGGGGTTGTGAACTTGCAGATGCCTTGAGACCATATTCCATAGTAGAGAGTGCAAGCTTTTCCCAGCTTCCATTGGTTTCCTTGGACTTTGACAAAGCCAACAATGCACATACAGAACCAGCACGAGCGATATTCCAAATGTCATGCTCAAGAGGTGGAAGGGTGGGGATAACGATAGGTGCTGGTGGTGGTGGCTGCTGCTGTGAAGGTACAGGATCCACTTCGGAAGGTTGTTCCGTGGTAGGTTGTTTTTTGAGACTGCTACTTGATCCCCCCTGATTTTCGTGATGATGGTGAAAGAGGTGATGATGATGATTCTTGTCCTTGTGATTGTGGTGGAAAAGACTTGCACTGCTTCCCCATCCATGTTCCACCTTCCATTGATCCGTGGCAGCTCTCAATGCAGAGCCAATAATGTCACGCTTACGTCTTCTTGTACCAAACACGCTTTCTTCATCACTATCATCCGATGAGCTATCACTATCTTGGGGCTGTGGCTGTGGCTGTGGTGGTGGAGGTGGTTGTGATGCTTGAGCGGCTTCACGACGTGCAGCCAATTCCTTTTGCTGTTCAATGTACAACTTGGCCTTGTTATGTTGACGAATGGTCTTACGCACGGTCTTGACAAGGAGATCAGCAGGCACTCGAGGTTGGTCTTCATTGTTGTTGGTGACAACCTGAGCACCCGCTTCAATGTCAACTACAGCTGTCAATGTGCGCTGTTGTTGTTCACCAGAGTAGTTGTTTCCGGAACCAGAATTCAACAAGCCAGTACGCTCAGTGGCATCTTGCCCTTTCCCATTGCCCTCAGTGGCCATGCTTGCAAAGAGAGAGAAAAAATCGAGTGATGAGAGAGAAAGAGATGGTGGTTTTGACAATCGGCTGAATAAAACAAGATTATATTCGGATAAGCACTACTACTGCTGCTGCTGTTGACATTTGGCGAAAAGGTCGCATGCGTTTGTGCAACGTTGTGCAATTTCACAGCTGTCCTATAACGGATGAACGGCGCTATTACGCTCATTTTCTCGGAACCACCCGTTTATAACCAGCTCATCATTGCGTTTCTCAAGTGGGTCTACTAATAGAACACAACACAACAAGGGATGTAGCTCAACGCGTATTCATAAAGAAAAGTGATGGAAGGTAAGTGGGAAAATCGTGAATTATGCAAGGACTACTCTATGTATCTTTGAGCGTGGGATTTCCTCTTGATGCTCATCCCATTGGAGCTTCATATGCAAACATTCGGATACCATTGCAAAATGGGCAAGGAGTTCCTCTTGGTGTCACCAACCTTGCTCCAATCCAACCATCCACAGGCATACACAAAGAGAACGTCAGGAAATATTGTAGCCTTTCTTCACCGCCATGATCATTGTTATAGGTATCTTTAACTCATCAAGCATAGCCACACGTCATGCCGATACAAGAAGCCGATTTATTAGAGTGTTAACGTGCGTCATTGTAATATGCATTCAATGCGAGCTTATACATGATTCTTAGAATTAAACTAGGATATGGGATGGTACGTATTTTGCTTCCAATTGAATGTGGCCTATAAGGGGGATGGATTCCATGGATACGCAAACGCGAATTTCATGCATGTTAAATCTTGCGGCATTACATAGCGCGTGACCGTGGCGTTTAAAGTGATGATTGGATATCAGCGATACGCGCCTCTGTTGCCTTTTGTCACACCACACTCTCCTCAATGTCCCAAGAGATCAACCCTTCATCCCCATCCAAACGTGCATTCAGAACCTTTTTCAAACCTTCATCCGCCAATCAGTCCAACACTTCTGATGGGTCCAGCAGCAGCGATCGGTCAACAGGGCACAGGATCAAAGTTCACAAGGGTTCACCAGTGTGGGGATCAAGGGCAAGCGATCGATCAAGCACTACACCACCACCGTCATCGCCTTCCAGTACAAAGAATGCAACATCGACGGCACCGTTCTTCCAAAAGCGTGGACAAAAGCGGCAGCAGAAACTACCTATATCACAACCAAAGAAGACGAGTCGACCAAGCAGCCCTGCACCATCGTTTCCACCACCACAACCATCACCAGCTCGATCACCACGACCTAGCGTTCCTGAACCTTTATGGCCTGATAAGGATTGGTTTCAAGGTGGACATATTGGTGTGGATACACATCGAGAAAGGGATGATTTTGACTTTGGTAATCGCAGGTCATCACGCAATTATGCAGAATGCATTATGGATGCCAACGACGTTGAATTTTTCACGCAGCGTGCCGAGAAGCGTACCAGCAGCAGTAAACAACAATCGCCACAATCACCAAAGCGTCGCCCTATATCAGCTACGCAAATAGAGCGCTTTATGCATCATGTGTATCCTCATGGAATGAAATCCCCAGCATGCCAATCATTGTACGCGTCCATTTTCACTACCACATCATCATCTACATCCGCTCGACGATCACAAAAGAACATGTTATGGAATGAAAAATATCGACCATGTTGTGTACAACAATTGCTAGGCAACCGCGATGATCACACTTATCTACGAGATTGGTTACATCAAATGAAAGTCATGTCGCCAACAGCACTCGAGCAATTGAAGCAGCAAAAGAGCAATCGCAAGTCGACGCGCAAAGATTTGTTTGAGAATATCCCAATGGGTGATGAAGGAGATGATGATTTCATGCCAACCAAACGACATCGTGTGAAATCGAATAAGCCCGTTGCTGAGCAACCAATCCAATCGAATTTGCTATTGATGGTGGGCAAGCCTGGTACTGGAAAGACTGCATCCGTATATACAGCAGCTGAAGAAGCGGGTTATGAGGTGTTTGAAATACATCCTGGATTACGGCGTTCTGGCAAGGATCTTACTTCGAGTGTTGGTGAAATGACAGAAAGCCATCTCGTTGCTTTTGATGGTAAAAGCGCCGATGTTACGTCACGTGATCCTTCACCAAAGCCATCCAAAGCAAGTGTTGACTTTTTTCGACAATTCGTCAAGAAGAAGGAAGAACAAATGCCTACTCCACCATCGTCACAGCCTGTTCATGAACACCAACAACAAGCTGTTGTGGATCTTACATCAGATGAGCCTACGCAACCACAAGAACCTAAGCAAAGCCTGGTGCTCTTGGAAGAGGTCGATAATTTATATGAAGATGACAAAGGATTTTGGCCTGCAGTGGTTGAGCTAGCCCAAAAAAGCAAAAGACCCATCATCCTTACATGCAATGGTAAGTACACAGGTGGCCCACAATACAACTACAAGTAGCGTATGCTAATGATGATTTGTTTTATTTAGATATCAATGTGGTCCCGATAGAGCAGCTTTTCTTGCAAGCTGTGTTGATGCTCAAGCCTCCAAAGAAAGATGAGCTTCTTGCGTACTTGCAGCTGGTGTGTTTTGCTGAAGGATACCTTGTTCACCCTGCGGATCTTGCTGGATTGTTTGCTGCGATTGGATATGATATGCGACAATTGATGATGACACTTCAACTTTGGTGCATTCGACAAACTGCCAAGAATGATGAGGATGAGGATGAGGAAAAGGAGGAGGATCGACCCGACAAGGAGTTACCAAAAAGGGACAAGGAGTATCAGGAGGAATCAACAACAACGGCGGCAATTTCGACAACATCATGCATATACCACGAATGCCCCCGGTTATTTGAGGATTACACTGGTATCGGTGGTCACTTTAGTAGACCGGAATGTCTTGCACAGCTCTTCCATCTTGAACAACCACGCTCAAAAACGGGATTGGATTTGGTCGAGTTTTATGAATACTATTCACGAGGCAGCCATGTCAATATTGAAGATGATGACCATGAGGACGTTGATGGATTGGATACAGTGCTAAGTGCATTAGAAGCGGTGACATGCTTAGATCGGAAGGAGGGGCAGGTAAGAAAAAGAGCGAGAGCGAGAGCGAGTGAGGGAATGAGTCGTATTGTTAACACGTTGATATATGTACAACTTTGGGATATAAAGGAGCATGAATGTGATGAATATGGACCATCTTCAGCGGATCGACCCACTGGATATAAAGCATTGTGGAAAACACCGAGCAACACAGACCACTTGTTTTGGGATTATGGTGACAGCATGGCAACGCAAACATGGGTGGCAAACTATGAACGGCTCAAGGATAAGGATTGGATAATGGCAACCTTATGGGAACAGTTACTGGATGTCAGGTACATTCTTTCTCTTTTTCTTCTTGATGACGGGGTGGATTGTTGGCGAAAGGGGGTGTGGGTAATCACTCCTTCACACATGCAATTTAAACTCAAACATATTCCACATTTACAGATCAGAAGCAGCAGGGGATTGCATAGCCGCTTGTGAAGCATTGCTGACACTACGAACGGCGGGTTTATCAGACGAGTTGATCTTGAATGATTATCTTCCTCATATTCGATCCATGTGCATTTATGATCAAGGTGTCGCCAGCCGTGGACGTAGTCTTCGAACCAGGAGAAAGCGGCGGTATTTTGATCTTTCAGAGGACCAACGACAGGTCTTGCAGGATCCGCCAAGATACAACGATGCCACCAAATCATGGTGTGAGAGCTTAGAGTCTATATTTACAATGCATCTCGAGGAATGGCTATAAAGAAGAAGGATCCAAAAAAGAAAGTTTGGTCCGAGAATTGTTGGTGCTGCTGCTGCTGGTGCTGCTGCTGCATGATGTTGCATGAAATACCTGACAACAACTATGTGCCACCCATTACGACTGCCACATACATGTTGAGCGTGCACACAATCAAGGAGTTGTGAGGTTTTATATTCTCAGTTGGTGATATGTGAGCGTGGTGGTGCTTATGTTTCTTGTACATTGAATCTCTTTTTCCTTTGTCCCCTTGTTTCTCCTTTTCTGCTTGTTCACACACATCTCGCGCGCTTTCACTTTTTTATTCTTTTGCTTCTTTGTGTGTTCGCTGCTCTCTTTCTCAAACACCCCTCGCAACAACAACAACAACACTACACTACGACAACAACGCAGCGATAAGCAAAAAGAGGGTCAACACCTCCCCCCACCGCCGACACTATCAACTACACACACCGCGTCCCATATTACAATGACCTCCACAGACACGATTGAGAATCGGCTTGACGTTGACATTGCTACTCCACAACCACAACCACTCTCGTCCATTCAACCTGCCAGTCCTAGCAACAAGAGTGTTCGATCTTGTCGTGCTTGTGGTCGTTTATGCGTGAAACGAAACGGACCTTTGGTGAAAGCATTAGGCGAGATCTATCATTATCAATGCTTTGTTTGCGAGGTACAGTCATTCATGCTTTATTTTGGTCATGCACATCTCTTGGGGATATGGAAGAGAAGGAGGATTATGGATATCGGTACTGGTGCTTCGTGGCATGTGATCCCAAAAAGTGCTTTTTGGTGAAGGAGTGGTGGACGCCAATATACACATTTACTCGATATCAGATATCAAGGAGCAAGACAATGATAGGGATTGGGTGGCGACATTAATTCCATTTGACCTTATGTTTGGCCCAAGTTAGGGAGGAGGAGGATGAATGAGATGAAGAGCACAAAGCGGACGGATGATGATTATTACCGGGTGATGATAGTTTTTGTGGAAAAGAAAGAAGGGGTCATTTATGGTCTGAGTGAAGGAGGAGGAGGTGTGTAAAGGAAGGAGGGAGGAGTAAGAGGAGGAGGAGGTCAGTGGGTTGATTCATGGCAAAAGGCAAAGCACAACAAGACATTTGATCATTTATAGTAACTCGGGATTTTCCCTTGAATAGGATTGCCACAAACTGGTTGCCGACAAGTTTTACGCATTGGAGATCAAGAATGATTACCGTATTGTCTGTGAACAGCATTACTACTCACGTCTCGGCCTCGTTTGCAAACAATGCCATCAACCCATCTTTGGTCCTGTGGAACCAGGTCTCGAATATCATCTTGAATGCTTGCAATGTCCTGATTGTGTGGCCAATGAACAACAAAGCGAGGATGGATCATGCTTTGAATTCCATGGGCAGGCTTATTGTCGATATCACTTCTCCATGATTCCGGATACACATTGTGCTGGATGCGGTCAAGCGATCCTCAAACAATTTGTGGAACATCACAGCTATCCTAGAAAAAAGTGGCATCCCGAATGTTACATGATTCAAAAGGTATTACAATTGAATGTTTACATCTATTTTTCAAATCATCCTCTTACACAACAACTACTAGTTTTGGAATATACGACTTGTGGATGCAATGGACGTGACACAGCGGGATGGTATGATATCTCTTTGCTAATAGAATGGTGCCACTACAGCTATGTTGATCATTGCTTTCTTTTCATTTACGCCCAAACACTAGATCCCCGATCCTTGACGGCTGATCGATTACGTGAGCTACAGAATACCATGGAAACCAAAGTCATTCGTATATGGACCGATCTTTCAGCCTTTCAAGAGTCCTCTGCAACGTGTATCTCTGACATGTTGTTTCATATTGCTGCTGGAGCCTATATGGAGAGCATGCGCATGGCAAGCCAGTTTATCCTGCATCTTGAAGTTCTATTTGCTGCCCTGGATACCATTGGCTCAATCTCAGCCGAGAAAGGAGAAGGTAAATTTATTATGGACACATCACCTGTGATGCGAAATTGGGCATAACCAAACAAACATTTTGCTTAGAATTGCAATGCGTTATTGAAACTCGGTCTATATGCAGCCAAATTATAAGCATTTTTCAGCTGTTGACGCACGATGGCAACATGGGATGTACCAAAACAGCCGATACAGGTGTCACCCAAGAGCTACTTTCATTGGTGACAGGAATGGCCCAGAATTTGAAAAGCCTGATACGCATTGGACTCGCTCAAGCGCTGCGTTTGGTAAGAAAGAGAGTTATCACTGGTACTACGGATCAACATGCTCATCATTTATACACACACACACGCCAACAAATCGCCCATTTTCTACGCGCGTCATCCCCTTTCCTCCTTCTTTTAGGAAACTGATCATCGTATTCAAGACGCCATATCTCTTTTTCTTTCAAGGTTATTACCTTTGGAGAATCAACGCGTATGGATGGCAGGAAGATATTGGTTCAAGGACGATTCCACCAACACCATGGCAACACATGATCACCATAGCAACAACATGGGGACGATGGCGTATCAACGTAACGTTTCTCATTGTCAGCATTGCCATGAGGCTATCGAAGATGAATGTATTCGTAAAGGCGATCTACGATGGCATTTATCATGTTTCCACTGTACACGGTGTCATTATCAACTAGCCAAGGAGCTTGATAGGGCGCGACTCGATGAAACCCAGTTGACACTTGAACACGGAGTCATCCTTTTCTGCAATGATTGCTGCACCAATAAGGGATGTCAATACCCACCCTTTAGGCACATGAGCCGATGGGAACAGTGCCTGGATCTTGTGAAATCGGCATTAGGGCAGCTGTATACTTCACCAACAGAAGCAGGTACCGTGATTGTGCATCCGATTTTCAAGGAGAGATACAGATATGAGTGGCGGGCAAGGGCAAAAAAAGATATTGATTAGGGGCGAGTAACTAAAGAGGGCATTATACATTATAATAGGCAGGATACCAGATGACACGAGTCGACAAACCACGCTGCACGACTATGAAACCAAGATAAATACAGCTGCAAAGAAAAGTAAACGGCAATCCTCTCTTTTGCGTTTAATGAACCGAAGCACAACACGACGGCAGTCATTATTCGGCTCAGTCCATTTGACTCATGTGAAACGCACCGACAACAATACAACAACAACTCCTCCACCACCACCATCTTCTTCTTCTACAACTTCTCCCACTTGTTCTACACCTACTTGGAGATGGCGTTATCATCAAAATCAATCACCTCTTACGATGAAACGTGCGACCACTATTCGAGAAACAACATCACCTATCAACAACAACAGCAATAATACTCTCGGCCGTTTTGGAAGTATTCGAAGAGCCTTGAGCACCAACCGCCGTGAACGCAGGCCGCTACATGGCGTATTTGATCGTTACAACAACAAGAAAACACACTCCACCACTGTATTAGATCAACAACAACAAGGCCAACAGGCATCCATTTGTACTTTTGACACCTTTGACGCCACAGCCACAATTCACTCCAACAACCATGTTATGGGTGGTGGTGGTAGCAGTGGTGGTGATAATGCATTAGCAATACCAGAAACCACGTGTCAACAACATCATTCAGGAGACCTTACTGATATCCAAGACGCCGTATTACGATACATGGCAGCTCTCTATCTTGAAAGCTTGGTGCGTGGCTCCTTTTCTTTGGAAGAACTTGTGGCGTTGACAGAAACGAAACGATCATCATCATCATCCTTGTGGTACAGGTTCAAGACTCATATTCGAGTAGGAGGAGCAGGAGTAGGAGGAGGAGGAAAGCATCATCAACATCACCATTATGCAGCACATCTCCTATCATCTTCCTCCTATGGTGGCAATCATAACAACAAAACATTTGGCGTCCCTCTCGTTGCCATCGCCAAAAGAGATCATCACCACCGACATCAGCCTGCATCCGTTTTTCATGAGATTCTCTCCAAAGGCACACATCCACTTGCTCCCTATTATTTTTCATCCAATGCACTTGTACCCACCTTTATGAAGAATTGTATCCTTGCATTATGTCGAATGGGTAAATGTCATTGGTACCACGTATCCGTTCTCATCTACTAACGACACCAACAACGTTTATGTAGACATGTCATTGGAAGGTGTATTCCGCAAGAACGGCAATGTGCGTGAGCTAAACGAGATTTGTGATACGGTCAATCGTGATGCCACGTCTTTGGTTTATTTGGATGAAACGCCCATTCAGCTTGCAGCATTGTTAAAACGATTTCTACGCGATTTGCCTGAGCCACTATTGACATTTAAGCTTTACGATTTATTGATCGCATCTATCCGTAAGCATTTCAGCGACATCGAGGGAGGGGGAGAGGATCATCATACAGTTTTGAGTAACATAAGAGTTTACATCCATAGATATACAAGAGGAGAGCAAATCCAAAAAGGTGCTTCACTTGGCATGTTGCATGTTGCCCAAAGCAAACAGGGATACGATGCAAATGTTGTTTCTTTTTTTGAAATGGGTGGCAACGTTTCATGAAACCAACAAGATGGATGTGACAAATCTAGCTCGAGTCATTGCGCCCACGGTTTTCTATTCATCTGCTGCAACCAAGGAGCTCACGGTCGAAAGACAACAAAGCGCGCGAGATGAGATCAAGGTCGTGGAAATGCTGATCCGATACCAAGAAGAGTTTTGCATGGTAAGTTTGTAGGGACATAGGAGCAACACGCGTCATTTTGGTGGATTTGTGTGCGCATGGACCAAGGGGGGAAGCAAGATGTCTATTTGTATGGAGAGGCTCTAATTACGGTAAATGGTTAAATATAGGTACCGCAACCACTGGTTGGCATTGTGCAGGATCCCAAGGCTGTTGATTATCTGGGTGATCCGAAACAAGCACTTCGATTCCTTGATTATCACAACCAGCGCGGTCTTACAAGTTGTCATGGCAACGATGAGAACATTGGCGTGCCAACACCACCTTCTTCTCCCCCTCCTCCTCCTCCTCCCCCCACAGCATCAAGATCCATATCACCACTCACCCTTCGCCGCTCATGGATCCCAAAACGCGATTAATCATTCTTCATATTTCACTATTCACCTAGTCGTATACCACCTATTTTATACTTTTACACATGTTATCTTATATACTGTATCCTCAATTGTAAATGCTCTAATGATAAACGAATCGATCCACATGCTTTCATTAGCATATGTAACAACCCGCAACATAAAAGTGTAAAATGGCTGCCTTGTTTGTGGCAAACACAAATGCAATGTTACCTCCTCTGCTGCTGCTCCCTTTACTGCCTGTAGCATTCACGCGCGCTTTCTCTCTCTCTCTCTCGGAGCGAACTATCCGATTCATTACCGATTGGATATCATTCTCATGTGCAGGATTTTTAGTTCTCCTTGTCCAACAACTACTGCATGATATCTACTTGGCCCATGCTTTTATGTGTGTATGAGCCCTACTCTCTTTAGACTTGGGTCAATATGCAAACTCTCCTTTCGCCTCCCAACTTGTTTTTTTTAGATCCAGCCAAGCTGTACACACACCCACGCACACATACCACATCTGCAACACCACTCACCTCACACGTGTACCCCAACACGTTTAAGCGGTGTTTGCATTTCTATCCAATCAAGCATGCCATGTCAGAGACGGGCCCCTATAGCCTTTTGACGTGATCATGGCCCAAACAAATAGATACGTCATGGGAAAAATGGCAGTTACCATGATCTTGGAGTAAGAGTAAATTATCTAGAATTCACAAACACAACAGCTTCAAGGTTTTATTGTGATTTAGTTGATCTTGAGAAGCTCAACGTCAAAGACGAGAGTAGAGTTGGGAGGGATGATGGGAGGGAAACCACGGGGACCGTAAGCGTAATCGGGAGTGCAAGTAAGCTTGGCGCGTTGACCAACAGACAATTGGGTGACACCTAATAAGAGAAAGGGTCAGCGAGAGAGTGGTTTTGATAATCATGTATAACGCTCTTTACCTTCATCCCAACCACGGATGACCTGACCAACACCAATGGTGCATTGGAAAGGTTCCTTACGATCGCGGGAAGAGTCAAACTTGTTACCGTTGGTCAAAGTACCGGTGTAGTGGATGGTGACCTTATCGCCCTTCTTGGGGAAGTTTTGGCCATCGCCAGCAGAGAGAGTTTCAACACTTTTATATGGGCGATATCATTAATAAACGAACATCCACATCCGTGAACAAGTTCCTTACGTGACACCCATGATTATTTTTGATTTGGGAAGAGAGGATAAAGGTAGAAAACTCAGAGCAAAACGCGTCAAAAAGATGCAGAGGGGAAAAAGTCGTACGTCACACGCCCTTGCAATCACAATTCAATATCCGCATTTGTGTGAAACCCATCATCTCTCATTGCCCAATGCATCCTAGTTAAGCCCATTTAGCAGTAGTGAGATGATGATTTTGGATGGTGTGCGTTTAAACAATCTAGGAGGGGGACACGAAACAGGCTTATAATAAAGAACGAACATGTAAACAAAGACGATGCAAGTCCTTGTGTGTGATGGATAATAAAAAGTATGGATGGATCATAATGATGCCATTGTTGTACATGCACATCTAGTTGGTGCGTGGTTGCTTGTACCTGACGCATGGCAAATGATCCACCCAATGCTCTTTGATAAGCTGAATAGGGATCAAAGGAAGTATGGATCATTGGATCATTGTCATATTGTGGTAATTATGTACGTGGAAGAGGGTAGTTTATTATCCAAGAAGACTATCATGATGTTGGCTAAATACTACATGTACTTGTTTAGCAGGGTGGGGTGAAGTCTTTTATCCATAGCAACCAACGTCAAGGATTCGAATGGGAATTTCCTGGAGTGCTCTATTATCGGGATAACGGATCCAATTCGCCTTGTTCCTCTTTTACTTGCCAAAACTGAATCCTCTAATGACAAAGCCTAATTCCGAACAGGTAGGTTGTTCCTTCCTCTTCTTTCCTCCCTCTCTTCTCTTGCTACAACATGGAGTTATTGAACCCTTTGGACACACAGCAACCGTTACCAAATTCAACTTCTTCACCATCGCCAGGTCAGTATTGAAATACCGTGGGAAGTGGCCCTCTCTACATACCAATGCTGACCCATCTTGTAGATCAATTCAAGAACGAACGACGTGAGAACTCGATTGAGTCTGAGCAGCTATCGCCAACTACGGGGAAAAAGCGAGCTATTGAAGAGATCGATGTCAAAGATGATGATACATCAACATCCAGCAGTACTCCCACACCAACACAGCAACAACCACAGCCTAGGAAACAACGTCGACCAAGGAAAGCACCCCATGAACTATTGAGTGAAGCTGAAAAGAAGGCGAACCATATTGCATCAGAACAAAAACGGAGGCAAAATATCAGACTTGGATTCGAGCAACTAATTGAAGTGGTACCAGCATTGAGTCAAGGCAATCGGAGTGAAGCTTTGATCTTGCAGAAATGTAAGTGAATGGAAGTGGTATCGGATTTTCCATAAGGCTGACAGGTTTCATTCTAAGCTGTGGAGCATATTCGACATCTCGTATCAACCAAGAATGATCTCAAAAATCAGGTTCGAAGTTTGCAGGAACAACTTGGTGAACCAAGCTATGACGATGATGTAAGTATCTTGTGGAAAACACAATCACTATGGATGTTGTATCTAACGACTCTTTTCTTATGTAGTCCTCCGAAGATGAATTGGCCTATTCGGTTCTTGGTAGATAATCACAACATCACCCTATCCAAGATACACTTGCTTCGTCCTTCCAACACTACCCATCCACGCATTCAGACCACAATGTTATACTCGCATCCAACTCCTTTTCTTTTGAAAAAGTACATAAATCCAATTGAATCAACAATGAAGGATGTATAAACTTGTCGTAAGAACAGCAACAGTATAGCGGGTGTATAAAAAGAGCTGCACTACAGTTTCCGGTTGTGTGATCCCGCAACATCCCTGATGAGAGATGCTTTGATGGCGACATTGACATCTTGTATCACACGAATAACAATTTTTACTTTATGCAAATTGGAACCTATGGTGATCTGTGGGCTCTTTCAATAAGCTCTGATTCCGTGTCAATGAATAGCTATGCATAAAAGGATGTGTGAGAGATGCCACGAAGCTTTTACATTGCATATATTTAGCAACGAACAACAAGGCCAACATTGTTTTGCATTCATGCACAGACAACTAAAAGGTCCGCTGCTTCACTATTTACATATTTGAAGTGTCACTTTTGCAACGATCGTCGATCCGCCTTTCTCATAAACATAGCAATTATACAATGCATAGAATGAATGTACATTTGTGATTACATTTCTTTTCTTCTCATTAAGCTTAAGAATGTTGATTATTGAAATAAAGAGACAAATGGCTCATTGTAGCCATTGATGGGCAACAATGCACCAGTCAGTATAGATGGGGGGAGGAGGTTTAAAGAGACCAAGGGCAGGTTTAAGGAGATGTGACATGTACCCCCCTCGAGGAGTTGCTTAACTCTTATCCAATACTGCCCGCTCTAATGATGGATGATGCATCAGAATTTTGCGCTTCGTAGAATGGCATTATTTATTGATTTCACCATATCCTTTCTCCATTGAACGGATGTTTCCCCTCTCATCCCTGTCTTCGACTTGATCCATGTCAGAAACCTCCAAAAAGAACACACATCATTCTACAAGTCATCAAAGAAACCACCATACCACATCATCGCATCATCACCACCATCACCATCCTACACCAACGATAGCGATTAAAGCGACGACATCGAGTATCAGTGATCGTTCCCCTTTTATCCAAATCTATAATCCAGCACACGACGCGATCCCCGTTAGCCGATATGTGCCATCCACCAGCATGCCTTTTATTACTAGTGCTACAACAACAACAACAACAACAACAACCGCAGCATCTATTACACCTTCGGTTCCTATAATTACGGATTCATCTAGCGGCAAGCAAGTGAATGATAATCTTGTTGGAACCATGCTAGGCACCTTGGGAGGATTTACTGTTTTGTTGATGGCGATCATTCTCTTTACAAGCGTAAAGCGTTCAAGACGTAGAGCACGTCAAAACAATAATCAACAAGGACGTGGTGTTGGTGGTGGTAAACGAGGATGGGGGATACGAGAAAGCTGGTACAGTGATACTTTATCCACATGTCCATCAACATTGCCGCCACCATACGACGTGGGATATGATGAACACGACAAAAAGGAGCAACCAACATCAGGGGCTGAATCGGGGAAGAACCAACAGCTGCTGCAACCACCTTCACCTACAGCAGCATGCACTACCAACAAGGCAGTACAATACGCACCTCAACTTGCTTATAGTCCAACGAGTTATAGTGCCTTTGATATGACAAAACATGATCTTGAAAAGCAGCAACCTTCACAACCTAATAGTGCAGTAACAGCATCTAATGTACGCAACTCGCTTCAATACGCGCCTCAGCTGGCATTTAGTCCTAGTTTCCACACAAGTAACTTGATAAGCGGTATCGACATGTCACAAGAAACGTTGCCACCTGTACCTTTTGTTAGCCGATCCACACCTTCAAATGAAAGAGGCGATGTGCAAGGTCAACAGCAACAACAACCATCACCAACAACGACTCAATCCACCCCACATTATTTACCGCAGTTGGCATTTAGCCGCCCTCTTCAAGATACTCTCAACAACCAAGAGTCTATGACGCCAACAACACACCATGTGGTGCAACAACCATCATCATCGGATACAAGCATCACTGTTGACGAGAATCAAGAACGCCACCTCCTATCGCAACAACGTTTACCGGAACTGCCACCAGCAACAGCAGCAGCATCATCACGGAGGACATCAACAGTATCGCTAGCAGCAACAGCAGCAGCAGCTGGTGCTGCAGCAACCCCTTCTCCTATTGTCGTACCACGGCCTTCACGTTCCACTGTACGATCCTATCATGCCCAGCTCAACATGGATTTATAATCCCTTTTTCTTCAACAATGTGTAGTACTCTATACAATTAAACAAAATAGTAATGTGTGCAATAAAATTCACTTTTGTGTAAAAAACAAGGGTAGTAGAATGATGTAATGGAATTGGGAATGTGATGTTGGAAACACAGGAGGTGAATTGAAATAAAGGGGGTTGTGAGAAAAGCAAAAGAGAGTGAGAGAGGTGTATGTACATGTAATCTAGACTTTGTTGCTGTTGCTGATGCTATTTGGCGAGCCATTTATCCATCTCGTGAGCATATAATGGCAAATGCTGCCGATCCAACTTTGCATAATACACTCGGCGGATCAACCTGGCTGCATTGGTAAGGTCGTCATAGGCTGTATCGAATAGCAACCACCATCCATCAGGAAGCTTGATTTCTTTTTCACAACAGGCCATCCAAATGGCTGCACAAGCAATGACAGGTGGATCATACGTTGCATATACCTTGGTGCGTAAACTTGATGGTATCATATCAGTAACATTCCTTCACTTTTCAATGAATGGTATAGCAGCTCACCCATCATTCAAATAATTCCATGCCCTACTGGCCACTGCTTGATTTTCTTCTTGTCCAAGGATACGCAGGTAGTTGATCAATACACCATATGGGAGTTGAACGTGGACATGGAAACCAAGGTGCTTTAAGATTTGCATCTCGCTGGCAACGATCATGTTTTTCAATTCATAGGCCCGCTAGATCCATGATGCATCCATCAGTCAATCAATCGACTTGAATCCAACCATGCCAAACCTACCTGTGAGAATTGATCAAGTGGTGGATACATTGGCTCATTCCGTGTTCGTCGTAAAAGATGATCGAATACAGTAACCACATAGGATAATCGAGTAAATGACTCTTCCACCTTGGCTGCAAGGAATACGGCACCCATAGCTATCTCCTAGTAGAGCACATACACATGTGAATGATCCTATACACCAACTGATTTGGATTCCCTATGCATACCAATATACCAAATTGCTTGAGACTCGCCATATAATAAAAGCGCTGAAACAGTACTTGTGCTGTACCCATAGCTACTTGTGGCCTAGCAACGCGTCAATGAGTGACCGATCGTTCTTCACTGATGTAAGAGCGTGTTCAAGGAAAGCTTACAACTTGAGTAGGATGCCGGCACTTTGAATCAATTCGCAGCCAAACAATCGAAGCTGTTCTTCCTGTTCTTCCGAGATGCCGTCCTTGCGTGAAGGTACATTCTCGAGCTGTTCCAATGTTGCAATGGCGTTCTGCATGGAGTGGGTGGGATCGCTGTACAGTTGTGTATACGAGACAAAAGACTTCTCCGTCGGCTGAGAGAAACCTCCAATTGACGATATCCGAGAATGACTATGCACACGCGCGCAAATACCCATTTCCTTGATACATCGCATCTATCAAAAACATGCTTAGCATTGGCACGAAAATGTGTCTAGGCTTTCCATTTTGACATGGCCCTGTATAGCATTCTTTCATCCACCCTCCTATCCATAAATCGAGTGAGCAATCAAATAAATGTCATATCAATGGCCTTTATGTATCAACAGCAAGTCTTTGTATTGATGTAAGACTGAAGTGAATGGGTGCAATGAGCACGTATGTGGGTGGTAGTCATAGAGTAGTACTAGCCATGGTAACAGGGTGGGACATGTCAATGTGCATAATGCTGACTTTTTAACCTCCTTGCTTCTCAATCCAACACCCATACTTGATATCCTTGGTTCTATTTGTAAACAGGTTCGATACTTTCTTTATTCTTTAACTCGTTCAAAAAACCTATGAAAACTGGTACTCCACTTGACAACGACATTCTAAAAGTACATCGAGCAGATTACCTCTTCTGGTGTGCAACTCATTCCAGCCTTCTTCCACCACAACCCCTCTTGAACACGAGTCGACAATCAGCATCAGCAATGGTATTGCAACTACCTCCTGAACTACTATTGGAGATATTTTCATATCTCATGGATTCTCAAGCGACGCTGTATGAGATATCGATGGTGTGTAGAAGTTGGATGGCATGTGTATCGCCCTTACTTTATCGACATGCAAAGATGGTGGATACTTACAGGTGGGCCACATTCATTGTCACGTTGACACGCACAAAGAAAATGCTCGATTATGGTGCACATGTACAAAGCGTGTGTTTATTTGTTCCAAGCAAATGCAGTGAGTTACTTTTTGATCCATTATCTTCTTGTTGTCTTCTTATTCTAATAGGCAATGGATAGATACGATTATACTACCGACACCGTTTCAACTTATGGAGCATGTTGGGGAATCAATGAATCAAAGAAGATCAATGGGACAAGAGAGTGCAATGACACGTAGAGAGGTGGTCCCCATGACCCACAACACCACCACAGAACATCGCCGAATAATGGGAGCAACTGCCGTACTCCTGACAACTTCATCACTGAGACAGCTCGCCTTGTCATGCAAGAATCTCACAAAACTTGACCTGGCATACACTACCCTTATCCATGACAACATGATTGCTGAAACCGGTGAATACGTATCGACATTGCAACACTATGCCATCCAGCGTGACCTTACTCAGATACCTATCACAATCGAATCGGTGATTGAGCTCTTGGGACTTGAATGCAGCCATCTAAAGGATATCAGTGTGCAGCGGTGTGAATGGGTAACAACCAAATTGATATGGCTTATGGTCATGCATTGCCCTGTCCTTGAACGTCTTGATGCCCGACGAGCTGACAAAGGTGTGGTTGTCAAGAAACTTACCCTGGATGTTCTGGAAAAGCCTCGATCTTCTTCTACGCAACGGCAACAACAAGAACAACAGCAACAGCATGAAAGTGATGATGACCTATCGCCACAACCTTTCGAGGAGGATCCATTTGTGCCCAATGAACAACCCAATGACGACGTTGCCAATCGTAAGTATTGTTCAAAAACAGTACGTCTTCAAATCATGATTATTTAAACATCATTTGTTGTAATCTAGCCATGGGGATTCAGATGATCGGCAGGCGTATCCCAGACTTCGAACGAAGGATGGTTCGGATAACATTGCGACTACCAACCTTCTATCCTCACACCTTAAACAACCATATTAATTTTCGACATGATATCAATCGTTTGTTACAGCATTATCGTCAACAACCCGTCCACATCAACAACACCGAACCAGAAGAAGAAGACATGCACACATCGCCGCCATATAGCTCAAACAGCGAATTCAATGAAAGCCAATCATTGAAGGATGTCGTCTATACCATCATCAAGGAAGCCAAGGAACTAGGAACAAGTGACCTTGACTGGTTCATCCCTTGACCAGAGGCATAGTTTGGATATCCCGCCCTAGCGTTCAATATTCCCATCATCAACCATTCCTTTCTTTGTACCCACATGTTGTTTTTGTATACAATTGGATAAAAACATGCTTACAGTAAGAGTCAGTCAGCTCAGGCGATGCATGATACTTGTACACTCTTTAGGAATAGTTCATAAGATGCCAGCTAATAACCCATTCCTCCCATCCACCTTTGTTGTCCAATACAATGCATATGAACGATTGTCCTGCTTCAGCCCAACATGCCCATCATTCAAGTTTCTTGATCCGAGAGGATTTTGACTGAAAAATGCTCAAACACAGAAGTATCATTCAAAATCAGAAAATTTTATCTGGTTAGTTATACGTAAACTGCTACTTGATAGCCCATTCCTCCCATTCATCTTTGTTTCCCAATCCAACGCATGTGAAAGATTCTCCTGCTCCAGCCCAGCATCTCCATCATTCAACTTTCTTGATTCGAGAGGATTTGACTGAAAAACGCTCAAACACAGAAGTATCATCCAATATCAGAAGAATCATTTTGCAAAGTTATTTGTAAACTGCCAGGTAGCAGCCCATTCCTCCCATTCACCTTTGTTGTCCAATACAATGCATGTGAACGATTCTTCTGCTCCAGCCCATCATTTAACTTTCATGATTCGAGCTAACCTGGTAGTATGACAACAATGGGTGTTGTTGGATTATCATTATCATGTAAAGTGTAAAATGACACACATCCTTTTGCTATACGGTTTCTTTTATTTACGCGTGCCTATTGCCTATCTTGAGGGCGATGAAGATGATGGGTGAGTTGTGTGTTTGGGTGGATGGTGTGTATAGAGTAATTGAGTGGCCTCAGTGTAATAGCAGTAGGGGATTAAAACTTGGGAACGGTAGCTCCGCGACTTGAGACAACGCTTCTCTTTCTCTTTGTCGCTCGTCTGCTTTTATCGCCTTCACGACATTCCAATCAAGGTAGGTAATGTGTTACCAAAGAGTGCTCTTGTTGACTGTGAGGTAACATGCATTGTCAAGGAGTGAGTGTGTGTCCAAGTGCCGAGGAATGAGCGTGGTGGGTGGGTTGGCTATTGCCATGGCGATACGGTTGCTTCCTCTTGTTCGTTGCTATTCCCGCCGTACGCTTGGTGTCAACTGGTACATTCAGAGTCGAATGTTGCAGCCGAACTGGTTCCATTGACGTGTTAGCTTGTATAGAGGGCAAGTTTGGTCTCAAGACGTTGGCTGGTTTTGTTTCGGCTCAACTACACTACTACACCATGGCTTTCGGTTTCCAGTAACCAACAACAAAGGGGTGGTTTGTGTATATGGAAAAGGCAAGTGCAATGAAACAAACAATGAAAAGGGTGTTTATTGTGTGTGTGAGTGTGTGCTAATAATGAATTGAATAGGTTTCTTTGGTCAGGCAATGCAACTTGGGGGCATCATCATCATCTCTTTGGGTTCAAGTCCCAGCCTGTATCAAGTGGCCGCTGCGTCGCTCTACACTAGCCAAGTGTGCTGGAAAAGCTTCTTGGAACGCGCCCAGGGCACTATAGACCTGCGTTTATTTGAGGATGGGTCGATGACGATGGATTTTTGGAAGAGCATGGTCACCGTGTTGAGGTAAAAGGGGATTTGCAACAGCTTGTGAATGTATTTAACCAACACGCTCTTCTCGTGATAGGCTCGTTCTTTCCCTTGAGGATTTCTTTTCATGAGGTGGGAAATGATTGGAAGGATTGCGGATCATTCTTTTTTTGGAGAGGATGAATGAGAACAACTATGAGCCTGGACTCTACGTAAGTGACGTCCTTCCTTGCCATGGATCGAACCGGCCTTGCTTGATTCGTGCATTGCTTTCTCAAGAACAAGGGATTGCCCGACGTTGCTCGTATGGTGGGTGATTTGTTTGTGAGTTCCTTCTGATTTGCTTTCTTCCTTGGAGAGGATCGCTTAGAGGTATACCAAATCATCATCATTCCCTGTATCAGGTGGTCTAACTTGGCTGCTTTTTACTTATAGAGACGACCGTTACGATGATTACGACATTCGCAACAATGACGATGATAACGATAACGAGATCCACAATGACAATTATGATGATCACCACATTCACAACAATGACAATGATAACGACAATGAGATTCAAAAGGAAGCCTGCAAGATCCCATTCGTTTCAACCTGTGTGGTTTTGGATATTGGGTGATGAGGAGGTTGACGAGTGCTCACGAGTACGAGTACGAGTACGAATGATGATGGACGACGACCACGACTACGACGATGGTGGTGGCAATGTAGCAAGATAGCTAGATAAATAAAAGCATTGTTTATTTATTGCAATCTTGGACTCTGCTAGCTTGTGGATTACATACTATTGCTTCGAAGATGGAATAATAAAGGCGGTTCGGTTATCGGCCATCAAGAAGTACATGGCTTTTGTGATACAATAAGGGGGAGGGGGAGTGGGATGAGCTTGAGAAGAGAAAAAGTGAAGAGATCCCTCCATTGAGTTTCAGGATGAGTGACTCATTCAATATGTATACGTATCTTTTTACATATACAAATCGGTTTATGCAGCTCGACCTTCTCCTACATGCAAATGTGATACATACCTTAAGCACACCTTCATGGTTGGATGCTGTTTTACTTACGTACACTTCTAAAAAATAATCCATCATCATCTCATCCATTTGTGGCAACAACCTGTCAGACGTGTCTGTGTAACCACCATACGTTTCACTCAGCTCTTCATCTTTCCATTCTTGACCGACACCATCCACTAGGAAAAAGCAACTCCCATCCGCTTACCTCATATGTAAAACATAAAGGCGCCTGTATCTCCAAACTTTACAATGAAACGTGGGGTTTTTTATTAGAGCAATGTGCTCGGCTTGACCAACAGCACCTTGTGTGAAAGTTTCGCGTTATCTGTCTCGCAAACAGCCCAAAAAAATATTTTTTGGCGTCGTTGTCGTGTCGAGGTCGACCCCTGGATCCAGTTTGGCTGGTGGCGACAATGTGGGAAATCTGGGATTAGCCACGACCGTTTCAGCTTTCTACAAGGTGCTGTTGGCCAGCCGACTTTGTTCTCTAATAAAAGCCCCACGTTTCATTGTAAAGTTCGGAGATACAGGCACACTATGTTTGTAAACGTGATGCTATATAATGAAATAGTCTTTGTTTAGTAAAGTATTTATGAGGCTTTTGGCCTCGTTTTATTAAGTGCATCAGTGGCACACGATCGGAACGATATAGAAAAACGTCACAAAGAATACGTATTGAAGGAGCTGGCCGGTGTTATAGTTTACTCGGTGGCGAGGGACTTCCCGAAAATGAGAGGATGGGGCAGAGGAGACAAAAGGTTGACTGATTTGGCTGATGATTCAACCAAGAAATTCAAGAGCGAAAAGGTGTCGGTGATGTGTTTGGCTTGGTCAGACATAGGGTAGGTATGGTGGATATGGCTAAGAAGGCTGGATGTGGATTGTGGTGTTGGCAAAGGCATGTTTTTATCAAAATCATCAGGTGTGTACTCGTTAATGATATTGTCATTATGGCTTTCAATAGGCGATAGATCAAGTTTTAACATGGAGATATCGGATGAGTGGCTGTTGAATTGAGACGAAGGTGAACGAGGCAAGGTGTGGTCGTGGGACTGCATGAATCAGGCTTGGATTTACGGTTGAAACACTTAGCGGCGCGATGACTTGTTTGGCCACATGACCAACAAACAAGAACAGGTATTTGATTAGGACATGCAGATGTAGCGTGACCAGCTTGGTGGCAATGAAGGCAATGGAGCGGCATTTCTGCCCACGTAACATGAAACAGATCATCTGAGTTGGGCCATGCAACTGTAGCGGCATGTCGTTGTATCGAGTTAGCGTAATCTCAAGTGGCGCAGCCTTCCCTTGAGGAACGGAATCGTGATCGCGAAGGATACCATAGTCAAGAACGTTGCCGTAGTCTGAAAGTGCTGTTTGGATACCTTTGATAGCTTGTCCCTTGTGGTAAAGGGAGTCATAGCTGAAGATGTACAAGGCGAGCATCAGGAGAAGAGGTGTCGAAGGCAAAATGCATTGGTTGTCAGGGAAGCTGATACCCATGAAATTGATTTTGCTGTAGTCTTTTATCGGCAATAAAGGAAATTGACAATGCGACGTGCGTAGTCAGAGTGGAGGCGTACCCCACAGTTGATGGGAAAGCTCTTGTTAATATGGCAAAGTATTTCTGAACGGTGTTCTGGACGAGAGGTGAAATCAAAAAAACAAGCTGGGACAAGAGGCTGGCGAGCCGCCTACTTTCCACACATTGGGAGTGGACGGCGTATTTACGATCTTTCAGTGTCAAAAGATACGAATAGGCGAAGGACTACGTGTAGCTTTGCTACAGCGAGAGACGTTGACGATTTTGTGTGCCTGTTTCGCTATCAGGCAATTTGGTTAAAATTCTGGAAGACATGTTTAATGTAAAGTAGCTAGACCCTGACAGAGCAAAAGATGCAGAGGGTCGTGTTGTGTAACACAGCTACATTGCATGAATGAGGTCAATGTATAATTACTTTATGGATCATCTAGGAACAGGCATGTGTTGCCGAAAACATAACTGGCCACTTTTATCCAATCATCATTGTTGCGAGATCCACTGCATGGGAACGATGCCCCTGCTCTAGACATTCATTTCCACTGATTAAAATAGGTTGATCCGAGCTGATTTGACTGAGCTGCGGTCAAGAGATTACATCACTCTGGACATAGAGCACGCTCGATATGGCTCAACCGATGTAATCTTGTGTGAGTGTAACTCCGCAAATCAGCTCGGATCAACCTACTTTAATCGGCTGCAAATGAATGTACGGAAGCAGGAGCATCGTCCGCCTACAATAGAATGCACAAAGGTTGGGAATGCACAAAAGTGGCTGTTAGCTGCCAATGTATGTAGTGGTTCAGGCACTACATCTCCGACGTGCTTGGTATAGGTGTAGCTCAAATTAGATTTATGATTCTTTGTTCTACTTTTCACGCAGCTTTCAGAACACCTACCGAGAGTCTCGCGTACTCATTAACGTTATCAATCACAACACGCACACACTCACACCTACACCAGCACATCTTTTACATGAATACTCTTTTCGTTATGTCCACTCCCAACAACTTAACATCAACAACAACAACAACGACATGAATGTCGACTTCGAGGGTGGTATTCCATCCAACAGCATTCCCGGTCTCATGCCTGAATGGGCACCTCTCAACGAGGAAGGCGCAACAACAACAAATCGAGTTGCTCCAACAGCAACTTGAACGTAGTGTTGCTCCAACAACAACAACAGCAACACGTTTTGCAGCAGCAGCAGCAACTTGAAGCATTGCAGCAGCAGCAGCAACAACAACAGCAAGCCTTGCAACAACAACAACAGCAGGCCTTGCAACAACAGCAACAACAGCAAGCTTTGCAGCAGCAACAGCAACAAGCTTTGCAGCAGCAACAACCACAAGCTTTGCAGCAGCAGCAAGCACAACAACAGGGTCCACAAACAATCCCTACCCAAAAAGGAAACGAGAGCCCTGGCTCAGAAAATGAAAACACGGGCCGATGTGCTTTATGCTGAGGCTTTCCAGCTCATGGCACAAGACGCTGACCAAGTGTTGGTGGATGCAGCCATGACCCAGTACGAAAAGCCCGCCAGGCTGCATGCGTAAGCAGGTGGCTCTTTTGAGGGTGAGAATTACAATAGTGATGTCCTTAACGATTTTGGACCAGAGGCTCTGACAAACAAACGTCACGAGATGATGTGTCATCCCAACCATCCCGATTGACGAGATCATCAGTGGATGTGCAACCTCGCGGTATTAAAGACAGCGACCTGCCGATGTTCAACATTGGTAACCAGCCTAATGGCATAAAACAAGGGCAAAATATCAGCTCTATGACTCTGCCAAAGAATGGCTCACAAACTTTAAAGTTTGTGTTCGTCACGAGGACATTGAAAGCAAGTGGGGAGATTGGTTGTCATATAGCATGGATGATTCTCAAATTCAGCAGCTGAGGAGCTGGATCAAATTGAGGTACCAACGGAAGGCCGTAGTAAGCATACTTGAACAGGTTCGCGGGGCGATCCTTAATACCTTTGACACACCAGTACAAAAGCGTCAAAGAAGACGTGCCCTTTTGAAGTGTAAGCAGCAGATGGGCGAGTCCCTCAAATCTTGTTCGTCGCTTTAGAACAGTGTTGCACGCGCTCTGAAGAACAACACAGGGATAATCCTTTGCTCGTGGATATCTTCTTAATGAACATGCACATAGCTGACAGAACGACTGCTGAAGCTTACTTGTCCATGAAAGGAGAATGGCCCAACAATGTGGTCAAGACCTTTAATGACATTGAAGGCCTCAACGTGCTTGAAAAAGAGTTTGGTGGTAATAACAACAAGCGCAAATTGCTCAGCAGCAAACAAGCCGCGTTGTACGTGCTAAGGCTTCTTTGGACAACGAGGAAGAAGAACCCACACCATGCTGGCATTGTGCAAAACACGGCGTCACGGTGGACTTCGACACCAATCACAAATGTCCCTACTACAAGAAGAAGAAATACCATCCCACTTCAACAACAAGCCTGCCTCTCACAAAGGCAATAACAATCAATACTCTGGCTCATCATCTCGCCACAACAACAATGGCCACAATGGTCAACGTTATCAACGTTCGGCCAAACGTATCGTCAACAAGGCTAACAGGCAGCCAAGCGTGGCAATAAGGCAACTAAAGCCCATCACCAACGCAACGCCTACAGCCAAGCGGTAATGGATCAGGATGCCGTTATCGATGCCGAAACGCGGCTTTGCAACAATCCTCTGGTCGTGGCACGTAATGCTTTTTACTCGCACGATCATGATGAAGAATTGACGCCGGCTTCCGAAAGCCAATTGTATGGTGATAACGATGAAGATGGTGACGCCTCTCAGAAGATGAACACATGGACGAAGCCTCTCAATGTAAGCATGCCAGAATGGCAAACAAGCACAATCCTCACATCAGTGACGAAATACTCATACCCATCACTCTCCAGAATCAACAAGTGCTCGCATTACTTGATAGTGGTGCAACATTTTCTTCTATTGACGTGAACTTTTTGTGATCGCATGAACTGGGGAATAGATTTGTACTTCGTTCAGTTACGTATAGCTAATTACGAAGGCCCATATATCGTTGAACGTAAAACGAAGGGTGGATCATACCGATTAAAGGACCTGGATGATGCAATTGAGAAAAGGGATTACACACCCCACGAACTCAAGCTGGCAATTCCACTAGAAGAATTACAAGAGAAACGTTACGTAGTCGATCACATTATTGATCCCTGCAGACCGACAAAAGACACAAACATCTTTACCGTGTAAGATGGAAAGGTTTCCCACCAAATGAGGACACTTGGGAACCAGCAACTCACTTTGACGATGTTGGCACAATCGTTAAATATTGGCGTCACTTGAAAAAGAATCCTCCAAGTAACTTACAAAAACGTAAACATGACAACATGGCACTTAGAGACCGCGAGCAAGCGTGTGGCGACTCGCAAGTCATAACAACAAAAACATTTATCATACTCCAGGCAGTATGCGCAGCTGCATTAATCGGCTATAGGAGCCTGGGGGAGGGAATTGATGTGGTGGTTCAGGCGCTACATCTCCGACGTGCTTGGTATAGGTGTAGCTCAAATTAGATTTATGATTCTTTGTTCTACTTTTCACATAAACTTTCAAAATTTTACCTACCGAGTCTCGCGTACTCATTAACGTTATCAATCACAACACACACACACACTCACACACCTACACCAGCACAATGTATGACATAAAGTGAGGGTTGCGTACCTTTCATGCATTGTCCCTGAAGTCCTGACTTTTTAGCTGAGTTACCCAAAGAGGTCCTTCTGCATCTTTTGCTCTGCCAGGGTCAGCTACTTACAATGAACAAAAACATGTCTTCCCAGAATTTAACCAAATTGCCTGATAAGGAAACAGGCACACAAAATCGTCAACGTCTCTCGTATGCTAAAGCTACACGTAGTCCTTCGCTCATTCGTGATTCTTTGAAGACACCGAAAGATCGTAAATACGCCGTCCACTCCAATGTGTGGAAAGTAGGCGGCTCGCCAGCCTCTTGTCCCAGCTTGTTTTTTGATTTCACCTCTCGTCCAGAACACCGTTCAGAAATACTTTGCCATATTAACAAGAGCTTTCCCAACAACTGTGGGGTACGCCTCCACTCTGATCACGCACGTCGCATTGTCGAACTCTTTATTGCCGATAAAAAAGACTACAGCAAAATCAATTTCATGGGTATCAGCTTCCCTGACAACCAATGCATTTTGCCTTCGACACCTCTTTCTCCTGATGCTCGCCTTGTACATCTTCAGCTAAGTGACCTTCCCTTTACCACAAGGGACAAGCTATCAAAAGGTATCCAAACAGCACTTTCAGACTACGGCAACGTTCTTGACTATGGTATCCTTCGCGATCACGATTCTCACCTTTTCATGGGAAAAGGCTATGCCACTCTGGAGATTAATAATGCCAACTCTGATACAATTCCATTACGCCACACAGTTGCATGGCCCAACTCAGATGATCTGTTTCATGTTACGTGGGCAGAAATGCCGCTCCATTGCCTTCATTGCCACCAAGCTGGTCACGCTACATCTGCATGTCCTAATCGTGCCACTCGTTCTCGTGTTTGTTGGTCATGTGGCCAAACAGGCCATCGCGCCGCTAAGTGTTTCAACCGTAAATCCAAGCCTGATTCATGCAGTCCCACGACCACACCTTTGCCTCGTTCACCTTCGTCTCAATCTGCCAACAGCCAATCGTCTGATATCTCCATGTTAAAACTTGATCTATCGCCTATTGAAAGCCATAATGACAATATCATTAACGAGTACACACCTGATGATTTCGATGAAAACATGCCTTTGCCAACACCACAATCCACATCCAGCCTTCTTAGCCATATCCACCATACCTACCCTATGTCTGACCAAGCCAAACACATCACCGCCTTCTTGACACCTTCTGCCCTTGAACTTCTTGCTGAATCACTTAAACAAAACGGTCAACCTTTTGTCTCCTCTGCCCCATCCTCTCATTTCTCGGGAAGTCCCTCGCCACCGAGGAACTATAGCCCGACTTAGTCATTCCTTCAATACGTATTCCTTGTACGTTTTTCTATATCGTTCCGATTTTGGGGTGCCACTCTTCGATGCACTCCCAATAAAACGAGGCCAAAAGCCTCCCTATAAATACTTTACATTAAACAAAGACCACTTGTCATATAGCATCACGCTTACAAACATAAAGGTGCCTGTATCTCCGAACTTTACAATGAAACGTGGGGTTTTTATTAGAGCATTGTGCTCGGCTTGGCCAACAGCACCTTGGGTGAAAGTTTCACGATCAAGCTTGCCAATCCCAGATTTCGCAATGTCGCTACCAGCCAAACTGGATCTGGGGGTCGACAACAATGGATCTTCCCGCTAAACCTAAAAAATCAGTGGGTGGGAAACCATCCCACGACCAACCATCATCGTATGCATCCCTTTTCAACAAGACTCGAGAATCCATCACCCTTTTTTCCCAACATCAGAACAGCCGCCAAGTGTGGCGACGTGCTGAAAACCCCCATTCCTTGCTGTTTGATATAACCCATTTGAAAATAACTGACGCTGAATTTCGGCTTGCAGTTGGTCACTCAACATTGCATAAGGGTGCCCATGGCATTGTTGTGCATCGAACACGCTCGTATACCATTGCTGAAGTCGCTTTCGAGACACAAGACCTCGCTGACAAAAACCTCGATCAACCAGTAGTCCTCGCTGATGGCACAAAAGTCTTTGGTTCCCAACCTATACCAGAAGAATGGGACGTTGTGAAAATCAACCTTACTCATATCCCATTGTATACACGCACAATTCTTTCCTCATCACTCTCTACAGCACTCAAACCTTTTGGTCAACTTCTTGAACTTGGTATCTACCTGGAACAAAACTTTTTCACAGGAAAAGGATACGCTTACATCAATACTACTCCCAAGTACGCCAACAACAGCAACAAAGTGTTTCATGTACCACCTCAACAGCTCGTGCATTCCATCACTGTATCACGTAATGATGGGTCCTACCCCACTCGTATGTTCGCCACATGGTCACAAATGCCTTTATACTGTCGTTATTGCCATCTTTCTGGACATACTCGCCTCCAGTGCAAGCAGAAACCTCAACCAAGATGTCATTTTTGTCAAGAACTCGGTCATATTCGTAAAGATTGCCAAATCCGACAAGGCAAGAAGCTTGCCCCTGAAACCAGAACCTCCGACCCTGCAAACTCTAATCAAGATACTCTCACATCGACATTCACCTTCCGAACAAATAGCAAACGCCAACGCAACGTCGCCCCTTCGAAGTCCACTCCTATGAACATTACTCCAACTCCCGACACCAATAACAATAGCCTTCCTGCTACAGTTTCTACCCCGCATGATCACCCACAGCAACAGCCCCCTCCGCATGATGGCCAACGGTCTGATGTCTCTCTTCCAAAAAGTGATACGGATGCGATGGAGACATAGTCACCATCATTCATCTAGATCTTTTTTGTGTCTCTGTATTGGCTCATGGCCCCTTTTAGTCCAATGGGACTTTTCTTTTAAGATTGTATCAAGTGTCATCTTTTGACACTACAATAAATACCGTTTACACACCAAAATCTGGGGGTCGACCTCTTCCACGACGACGACGACCAAAAAAATACTTTTTGGGCTAGTTGCGACACTGAACATGAAACTTTCACACAAGGTGCTGTTGGCCAAGCCGAGCCCATTGCTGTAATAAAAACCCCACGTTTCATTGTAAAGTTTGGAGAAACAGGCACCTTTATGTTTGTAAGCGTGATGCTATATGAGGAGTGGTCTTTGTTTAATGTAGAGTAGCTAGACCCTGACAGAGCAAAAGATGCAGAGGGTCGTGTTGTGTAACACAGCTACATTTGCATGAATGAAAGGGTCAATGTATAATTACTTTATGGATCATCTAGGAACAGGCATGTATTGCTAGCTAACGGCCACTTTTATCCAATCACCATTGTTGCGAGATCCACTGCATGGGAACGATGCCCCTGCTCTAGACATTCATTTCCATGATTAAAGTAGGTTGATCCGAGCTGATTTGACTGAGTTGCGGTCAAAGAGAGGTTACATCACTCTGGACATATAGCACGCTCGATGTAGCTCAACCGATGTAATCTTGTGTGAGTGTAACTCCACCAAATCAGCTCGGATCAACCTACTTTAATCATGGAAATGAATGTACAGAGCAGGAGCATCGTCCACCTACAATAGAATGCACAAAAGTTGGGAATGCACAAAAGTGGCTGTTAGCTGCCAATGTATGACATAAAGTGAGGGTTGCGTGTTGTATTCTGTAATTGTTTATGGATACGATATCTAGAAACATAGAATAGACCTTTCCACTACACATTCGAACGTTCCTTAGAAGCACATGACATGTCAACAACAACAATAGAATAGTATAAATAAGCATCCATCAAGCAGCTAGAAACCATCATCTTTCATCTTTTGATCTTTCATACATAAAGACATACACACGAGTCCTAAAGGATTTATCTTGTCTCTTCTCTTCTTTATTTGAAACATCACATTGCGTACCTTTCATGCATTGTCCCTGAAGTCCTGACTTTTTAGCTGAGTTACCCAAAGAGGTCCTTCTGCATCTTTTGCTCTGCCAGGGTCCAGCTACTTACAATGAACAAAGACCACTTGTCATATAGCATCACGCTTACAAACATAAAGGTGCCTGTATCTCCAAACTTTACAATCCAACGTGGGGTTTTTATTAGAGCAATGGGCTCGGCTTGGCCAACAGCACCTTGGGTGCAAGTTTCGCGTTCAATGTCGCAAACAGCCCAAAAAATATTTTTTGATCGTCGTCGTCGAAGAGGTCGACCCCCAGATCCAGTTTGGCTGGTAGTGACATTGCGAAATCTGGGATTGGCAAGCTTGATCGTGAAACTTTCACCCAAGGTGCTGTTGGCCAAGCCGAGCACAATGCTCTAATAAAAACCCCACGTTTCATTGTAAAGTTCGGAGATACAGGCACCTTTATGTTTGTAAGCGTGATGCTATATGACAAGTGGTCTTTGTTTAATGTAAAGTAGATAGACTCAGATAGAGCCAAAGATGCTGAAGGACTTGGTTGATGTGTCACAAAGCCGAGGTGGCAGGAGTTGAAGATTCGATCCTATTGGTGAAGCGTGCATGATCGATATTTACCTATTAGCTATAGTAATGTCCGCCCACGATAACCCGTATGGAATCATTTTCAAGTCCACACGGTATACTAGATAATAGGCCAAAACCGATCAATGCGTCCGAATGCATCTTGTGCGAAAGTAGATAAAGTGTGAGATGTGAAATTGTATTGTTGTGTCGGAAGACCAGCAGCAGGAATAGTTTTGACTGACGGCATAGAATAGTGGCCATCAATGTATCTCAAACATTAGTAGGCGTGAAACTTTGCCGATGCATAGACGCCTTAGTCCATTCCTGGAAGATCAATAATACCATGTATGATTCGTAATCTCGAGTTGGCACGGGTGATGTTCTTATTGGTGCTCATGGTGCATATGATGTGAGATGACACGATCCTTCGCTATACGTCGTGGTGGAGGGATGATTAAATTAACTTAACTAGTATGACGTGCAGAAGACGGTAGATGATACCATCCGTATCCACCATCAATTGTGCCGCGTAGAGTTGATGATGGCGCTAGTTGGTCACTGATATCATCGTATCACTCTATGTTGTCTATCTTGTCAAACTACTCTAGTGAGCATTTAATCGTTCAAGAAGTCGTCCATACATGCAGAATCCCCAAGCACATTAACAATAGTCTCCTTTTTTTATGTAATGATCCGAAGATTTATAGCTTGTATAAGCAGCCTTTTCATTTTTCCATGACGATGTAGGTCAATGGTTAAGGTACGAAGGGGAGACAAATACGTAGTCGAAGGTTTATAAAAAGAAAAGTTGTGAAGAGCATTGGAAACCTACTTCCTTCGCTCCTGCCTCATTTATTTATCTCACAAGGACCTCGTTCACCGAATGCAATGCAAGGAATAACCTAAACGTCTTCTTCGTGTAATCGATCAAGCGAGCTTAGACTCTGGTATACGTCCACATTGGTTGCTATGATACCTACTGTATAAATCATCACTTCCAGCAGGGTTGGGGAGACGCTGCCAATTGAAACTCCACGTCCTACAAGGAAAACATTGGCGAGATAAGTTGTTGGCACCTTCAACTTTGATAAGAGCTATCTATACACACACACACACACACACACACACACACACACACATACAATGTCAAAGTCAGTAAAGGAAGCCAAGATCTTGCTTGCACCTCTTGCGTTATACCGTCAAATATTGCGTACACATCGTTACATGCCACCTGCCATGCGTTCCATGGGAGACGACTACGTCAAGGCTGAATTCCGAAGACACCAAAACATTGACAATCCAGCACACATTGTGGGTTTCCTTTCTCAGTGGCAAGAGTAAGAAGAGCAGTGGTAGTATGAGGGTTATCTTTTATCTTACTTGGATCTGGTGAATAGTTACCTGGAGACGTTGCAAGGACAAACAGCACCACCCAGCAACAGTGATGAAAGTGTTGCCCCACAAGACGATCCTTTAGTACGCAGCTTCAACATGCCCGATGGTGGTTGGGGCAAGAAACTCGATAGCGAGCGATTGGATAAGCTTAGCGATGAACAACTTGGTCAATTATATGAACTACGCAACGAGCTTAAAAAGTCTCTAGGCATCAAAGAGGACAAATAAACGCATCGTGTATATATAAACATTCTCTACATTTACAATGTATCTCTAAGTAGACTTTATCTTATTCAATTCATAGTCTGGTACATCTCCACTAAAGGTCCATGCTCTTTGAGATCCTTCCTTCAAATGACCCGTTTCCGCATTCATCACCACATTCCAGCTACCATCCTCGTTTCGCACCAGCTTGGATACACTGCATGTAGCAGCCTTAATGGGATACTTGACATCATTCACCAATGAACGAACAGCGGCCACTACGGATGCAGCATGACCCGCCAATAATACACTTGTTGGCCCATCCACTTCGTTATCCAACTTTGCTACCAATGTCTTGATCGCTTTATCCACACGAATGTGACAATCTCCCACAGTTTCAGGACCTTGTACACATGGAATACTCGATTCATGCGTCGTGTCAATGGCAGGGAAATGTGATTTGAGTAGCTCCATAGATGCAGGTGGCAAGTACTCTGGATACGCTGTGCCATACCATTCGCTATGATATACACATTAGTTACCATCATCATCTCTACTCCCATCATAGTAAGGTTTCCTCTCTACCTCATACTAAAGTCAATATAAAGAGGGACATGAGTCTTTGCAATAAGGGGAGACACGGTCTGTAAAACTCGATAGAAAGGAGAGCTGTATACGCGCTGAATACCCTTGTCTTGAAGAAACTCGCCCAACTCTTCTGCTTGAGCAAGGCCGAGCTCTGAGAGTGGTGGATCGTGGCTCAATTGAGTGGGTAAATGAGGTGTAGGGGTGACCCAATCTTCACGGTAACCATGACGTGTAATCCAGATTTCTTTGAGCATGTCGACAAGAAAGGTTGCAAGGGACAAATGTGACGTAAATGGCCCTGTTTTGTGGGGCTAAAATGGAGCCATATGCCAATGTCATTGGCTGCTGGGCGGGGATAGCATGAACGAGGAACAACTTTTTGTGTCACCTGATCCATCTCGTACGTATAAAGGAAGCAATTATGGTTGATGTTGTTCACTTCCCTTATGAGGACATCTTTCAAGCCCATTTCTTTGTCTCGTTATTGAGCACTATACTACTACTACTACTACTACTATTTCTTCAAAGATGTGATGATGGCATTATGAAAAGAATGGCTTTTTAATTCTAAGGTTGTGACCAGAGCTGCTATTGGTAGCTTATCTTCCATCCTCCTCCTTTATCATGTTCCTTTACCCATCCCACACAACATACACATGCCCTATCAGCACCGATCAAGATCCACACATGCTATGACTAAGTTGATGATGATGATGATGACGATGTTTGATATGCGTGTGTAAAAATATAAGTGTGCTCTGTGTGAGTGTGAGTGTGAGTGAGTGAGTGAGTGAGTGTGAAGGATGTGAAATAGAGTGTATAGAATAGTGGATGAATGATGGTGTATCAAACACGGTGAAATAATGAAGGAAGATTGGGATGGGGGAATTGTAGTGTTTCATGAAAATGGGATCATGTATTGCAGTAAAGAAAAAAAAAGATGGAGATGATGTTGTTGTGGTTGATCAAAAGTCGTCGTACAACCGGCTCGTCGGGTTCATGAGATTGAAAGGCTTCATCTGCTGTGCAGCGGTCAATGGTTGCTGATCACCCACTTTAGCTGTCTTGGCTGATCTAGGATCTGTCACTGGAATAGCAATAGGATCAATGGGATATTTGATGTGAGGATCATGGAAATTGGTGGGTGCTGGATCAATGAATGCAGGTGGTGGTTGAGTGCTTGTTACTGGAATAGGATTCGTCATTCCTGCTGCTGATAGACCCTTTGTTTGTGAACGTAATCTACAATCAAAGAGCACATGGTTACTAAAAATGGACGGCTACGAGAAGGAATACAATCACTTACAATCGGCTACTGGATGAAGCTGAGGGTGGATTATCTCGCACAAGCATTCTACCACCGCCCGTTCCTGCATATGCATGGTTGCTAAGGTATGCATGGTCTTGTGGCAGCGTTTGTTGTAACATAGTTGGCCGACCATATTGACTTTGCATCAATTTTTGTTGTTGCTGGTGTTGATATTGAAGCATTACATCATCCAAACGTTTTGATGTCTCAGGTGATTTGTTCTCTGTACGATAAGGCTGAGCTACTGATGATCGATGAGGCAAGCCTGGTGTCGGTAATGCTGTAGTCATCATGGGTCGTCGTTGATGTGAAGGTAATGCTGGATCATAAGGAGCAGCCGAAGAACCGTACAATGATGTATCAAGTCGTGACGATGCTTGTGATTCAGCAGCCATCTTCTTTTCCTGCTGTGAGAGTAAATCCAATAGAATTAGTGAGATGAAAATCATGGATCTTCACGACACATACCATTTTTCTAACAGTCCAATCAAATACATAATCGTATTGAAAGCCTTCACGAACAAAGAGATCACGGAAGAGTTTGCGTAGATAGGTGTAATCAGGCTTGTCATCGAAACGCAATGATCGTACATAGTTGAGGTATATTGCAAATTCCTGACTCAGGTTGCGACAAAGGACATCTGCAGGCGTAGTCATCTTCTTTTCCATAATCTTGTCGTATTTCTCCTTTTTGGTGCGAGCTCGAATGCCTTGCCAAGGTAGTTGCCCTTTGCAAAAGTAAATCAATATATAGCCGAGAGATTCGAGGTCGTCACGTCGTGATTGCTCTAAATCATAAAGGCGTTAAGGATCACGTTCATGATACAATAATGATTCATCACATACCGATGCCCAAGTGTGTGTTGACGCTAGCATATCGGGGGGTACCGGTCAGATTCTTGTTTTCTCTGTAGGGTATATGCACATTGGTTCGAGGATCACGATATCGTTTTGCAAGTCCGAAATCGATCATGTTGACTTGATTGCCGCATCGTCCAATGCCCATCAGAAAATTGTCTGGTTTGATATCTCTGTGGATAAAGCCTAATATCTTCATTAGTCTACCTCGCTAGTTATATAGCAATCTTGATGATGCTTACCTTTGGAATGAATATACTCCACTCGAGAAAGCTAAAAGGGAAAAAACGGGGAAAAAGAGATGGAGTGTTAATAGATCGGCGGACAAAAGGATTAAACACACCACCTCCCTCAGCAGCACATGCGGACCATACATATCCCCCGCCCTTGGCTAGTGCATGCATGTCTACTTACCAATTGATCAGCGAGAAGGAGTACAGTCTTCAACGAAAAGCGCCGTTTGCAATAATTGAATAAATCCTCCATTGAAGGGCCCAAGAGATCCATAACAAGCACATTGTAATCGCCTTCTCTGCCATACCAGCGACAAAATGGGATGCCAACACCACCAGCTAATGTCTTGTATACTCGTGCTTCATATTCAAGCTGTGGATGGGGTGCCCGAACACTTTCAAGTTTTATGCCGATCTCTTCACCACTGGTAATGTTGGATCCTATACATAACAACAATGATGTAGATTAGCATCCATCTTGAACATGATAACATAGTTGTCACACACACGCACACAACACACACACAATGTCTCCTTCGTCCCCGCTCCCTCAACCAACCCCCCACGCACCACGCACCACGCACCCCAAAAACCCCTCAAACAACACAGATGAGTAAGCCGACAAGTCTCAATCGCAATCAGAAAAAGAGAGAGAAGGAAAGCATGCACACATACACACACTGCCCAATGCGTCCTGACATAATAAAATATCTCGAGTGTTGTCTTCAATGTCAAATTGACAAAGGATGCGGATGAGTGTGGCATTGTTCTTCATCTGGTCAAAAGGATACAGCAATTGAAAGGAAAGTGGATGGTACTTACCCAAGTAAATCTCTCCAAAAGAGCCAGCACCGATCTTTCTTCCAAGTTTGTACTTGCCACCGATAATGATGTTTCGACCTTCCAAGGACATAGTGGACAAGAAGAGTGGGTGCACAAAAGAGGGATAAGCTGAGGAGAAGAGAAGCGGAAAAAGAGAGAATAGCAAATGGAAAACAAAGATGGAGGTCGTATGTGTGTGTGTTTTTTTCTTTTCTCGAGATGGCGGATGAAAAGAACCAAAAAGAGCAGTTGCACTTGCCGCCCCCCCTTCACTTGCCGTTGCTCTCTTTCTTCAGTCACAATATCTCACCGGCATCATCCGCCGAATTGACATTAAAGGCAAATCAAAGGTGTTGCTTGATTATGTGCTGCATGCATAGCGAGGCACTCTTTTTCGGGCAATAACAACTTCAATCATCATTTTTACAAGAACACATCCATAATACCACGTTTGTTTTGGTTGCCATGGTGATGGGTACATAGGTAATCTCTATTCAATCTCATCGATGTCCTCGTTCATTTGGATGTGAACCAAGGCCTGGGTCGATTTTACATGGACTGGCATTTGTCCTAACGCCTAAACGCTGGATTCACCGATGGGTGGCAACAACTTGTATACAATGCTTGTTTGTTTGTACAGCCACGAAAAGGCTTTTATGCTGCAAACAACAACAGCCACCATCCACTACTACTACTTGCTATCATAAACGCCACCTGATCCTATCAAACTCCATCTATTTGTAGTCGTCCGGTAAAATGGCTGCTATATTGATCGGCTTTGTTGTCGGTCGTATAATACAAATATGTAAACACATTTCTCGGCATACTGCCGCTCAAGGAAAAAAAGTGCCTCACATGTCTCTAAGCATTTGCGCAGCAGCGGCATTTGCCTTTTGGGGTAAATATATAGTAGAGCTGCCCATCTCTTAACATCCACACGAGCCACATGCATCCCGATCACAGCGATACATATTCTTCCCACCCACATTGCTACTTTTACTTGGGCTTTTGTATTACCTTTGCTCGCGCTTTTATAGAGGCGAGTCCTCTTTGGCGTCATGAAATCACTTTTTTTGTCGATGCGTACAAATCATTGCGATGTATACAATACACGCTGCTAGAACGAAACATGTTGTTCCTTCTTGTTTCTAGGAAAAAGTCGTTATCATGCTCAAACCGATATAGCATCATCTTAATGTTTGGTGGAAAGTGCATGACTATGGAAAGTAACATGGAGGATACGCCATCCATTAGCATCATGTTACAAGGTCAATTCGCTTTGCAAGCTTTAAACCCTTGCAATGTGGTAGGAAGGGTACAGGAACCGTGAGAAGCATTGTGCAACATGATGGTGTAGCAAGCAAGGTTAAGGGCCACTAATAGTATGGTTTGGAGATGTCAGCTTACAACATACTACTTTAACCCAAGGAGGCTTACACACCGTGCGACGTGTAGGTGTGTGATTAATTTACCATTCCTCCCTTGTACCTAAGGACCACTCTATCGTACCACCAACTACGCATTGCACATGCAATGATTACGTATACATCAAAGCGCACGAAAATTCTTTGTTTTCATTTATACATCATTAACCTAGCCAAAAATGAGAAGGTGAAGGAAAACCCCAATCTTGTGGACAATGAATGTGTGTTTTATTATTCATCCTCATTACCTGTATTCACTCCTGAAGCATGTAACGAGGTACATTTCAAACCTAATGTTGTTAATGCGCGCCAATCCATGACGATACCGCGCTCCTAAGTATTCAAGGTACCACAAAAACGTAACGATTCATCTCGGTCTTCGGATTTCTCATTACTCTATCTCGATCTTTTAAATCCCGACCCCGTAGTCCGCGCGCCCCGAGTTGGTGAGATGTACCAGAGCAATGGAACAGTTTATGCAGATTTTATTTCTGACACGATTACTTGGACACATAAATAGCCGGCTACGCACGTTGAAATACCATACTGTGAGTTGGCATCGAAAATCTAATCATAGCTTTGCTATCCATACGTCATCTAAAATCCATATAAGCTATAGGCAATACACCCTGTCATGGCTTTGGTAAGGAAACATGTCATCTCACCCATAATCCATCCTTGTAGACTCAGCGCACCGCAAATCAGGTGCAACAGTGACACAAGTGCAACACGTGTTTTTGGCTGATTTTGACATGTTGATATGAAACGACAAGCACTTTACAGCAAACGCAGAGATTTTTTATCCAGCAATAGCGAACAATAATCAATGTCAACATAGGATGGTTACTTATCATTACATAAATAAAGAAAACTAAAAAGGAAGATGGCGCTTTTTTTTGTTGGGGGGAAGAGTGGGGGTTTGTAATTGGAAGGAGAGAGAGTGAGATAGAGCAAGAAAATAGGGAATCAGGACACAAGGAAAAAAAAAAGTCAGGTATACAGTGAAAAAGGTGGAGGATGCAATGGAGTCATTTAAGCAGTTTCAGGTTTCTGGCCATGACAACGATACCAACGAATGTACGTGCCGTGTTCTTTGCACTCTTGCTTGGTCTCTGACAAAAACTTTGTATAATACTCTTGGTCTGCCATCTCTGGATAATATCTGACAATGATCGCATGCATCGTGTTGAAGACATCCCAAAAGTCGTCCCTAAGAAAAAAAAGAGTTTGTGGGTGTGCACCACAATAAGATTAGCCAACCGGGTGCTTTATTTTCGATATCCTATACTCCCTTTCTCTCACACACCGCTTTACCAAGCCCTTTCATTCCTTTGTTTACACCCTTCTTACCATAAAAGATCACCGAGCTTGCCACCGTGGCCGATCGGGATAGGTACTTCACGGAACACCAGATTGACGCAACCCGCTTTTCGCATCAAATCTTCCATCTCGTGCGGAATGTCAGGGTTCAACCCCTTCTCTCGGGCGTATTTTGCGACTGGATATAAACAAAGGAGCTATCAGATGATGACAACATCCATATACGTATATATACAACATACCGGAATGCATAAGCAAAGTACATTTGGGACCAGCATTCATGAGCTGTGGGAAGGATACCTAAAAGATGATAGGAGTTGTTGATGATGAGATCACTAGAAACAAATGGAAAGAAAAAGAGTATGATGGTACTCACCTCCAGGAGCTCTAGCCAACCACCAGGCTTTAGTACGCGTAAGAGATCATCGATCACCTAATAAGCTCTTTGTCAGCTCACATGTCAAAAGTCATCCCACATCCTCTTATTTTATTACCTTGACCCAGTCGGTGGCTAAAAGACCAAGAACCAGTAGACGTTGATGCACATAGCCAAATGTGTTGTCCGGGAATGGCGCTGGGTCGATTATGTTGTGTAGATGGAATTGACAATTGGATGGCTTGATGGCTTCAGGAAACCTCGGTGAAATGTCGGTGCCATGGAAGTTCGAATTCGGGTATTGTTCAGACATCTCGAGTGTCCAAGTAGCAGGACCTTGACATTGGTAGCATAGTATGATAGTGAGTGATAGGGACAAATGAAAGAAGGTTCATTGTCAATAAATTAAACAATGCATGCATACCACATCCCGAATCGAGCACTTCGATGCCCTGTGCAAGCGCCTCTTCGATTGGCGAGTCAAAATTGCCACCAAAGGCTACTCTCATCATCCAATGCTGTTGGTGAACACGATCATTCTCTATGTTGGAAATAAAGGAATCAGCAAGGAAGAAGGATAAAAGTGTTGGCGGTCGTAGGAAGAATAGTAATCAATATCGGGTGATTGGTTGGGTACACATTTATGGGTCTGTTGTATGAACATGATGCTGGTTGACCCTTGTCTCGGGAATAATAATAAATGCTGAAGGGGGGTGGGTTGGGTTGCAAGGCGAATAGGATGTACCTTCTTCATCGTTTGGGAGTATGTATGCTACGTCGTCTCTGTTGTGATAACGGCGGTTGCCTTCGTAACGATAAGCCGATGCCTCGGATGAGTTGGTGCTATTCTTTGACGTAATCTCTTCGGTAGGTTGCTTTGATCTTATGGATGCAGAGGCTGTTTTACGTGATCGTCTGAAAAATCGAAAAAAGCGAAAACTCATTGCGAGAAGGAAAGGCTGTAAAAGAGAGAAAAAGAGTGGGTGTGTGAGAGATGAAAAGAAGAGGAAGATGTTGGTGATGCTGGCTAGAAAACAAAAAGCTGACTGATTATCGTTTGCAAAACCCCGCCCACGAGCAAAGCAAAAGGAATGATGATTATGATGAACAAAAGGGAGGAGACAAGAGCGGGGAAAGTGCCCTTTACACACTAAACGCTATTCAACATCAGCTTTTTCTTTCGGCTCTTGCTTTTGGTTCCCCTTGAGGAGAGGATAGCAAAAACCCATGTCCAGGCCTTGGGAAGCGGATACCATTGGTGGAAATCAGCAAATGTCCAATTAGTGTTAGTGAATAGTAATCAGACCACTTGTGTCACCATTATGGTGTGTCGAACAAAAGAACCTTGTTCTGCTCAAGAGCTAATTTTTGCTTTCCCCTTTGCACATCCAACACGCGTCGTATGATCTCGTGCTCTATCTCGATATGGTGGATAATGCCCCCTATGGATAATTCATCTCTCTCGTTGATAACATGATGCTTGTCAATCACCAAACAGCGATAGCGTTTCATTCATCATAGCGTACATGATAACCTTTAGTCTGACAATTGACAAGTTCGGTTTCCAAAAGAGAACAACACGCTTTTAATTTGACATGTGGATTTCTTTTTTTATGTTTGCCCATAACACAAACGGTTTTGGTTTGTATACCTTTCATCGGAAAGGGGTGACATGATATGAGCTTGAGGATATGCATTACAATGCAAGGGATTTAAGGGCTTACATTTTATACTTGCAGATTTGTTTATAGAAATGGTAAATGACGACGGCAGTACAAGGGAGGGCGTGCACAGCTGGAAGAATAATCTGCCACGGGATTGCCACACAAAGCAAGATCTATGCACGAGGCAAGCTGTAAAACCCAGGATCAAACTCACTCGTTGACAACAAATCATTTAGGCTATCCCACTATGCCATGTTACATTCCTCCCTTTACTCCTATTACATTATAAACAACACGCTACCCCAATACGTTTCATGGGTGAACGGCAATGAGTGGGAACCAGTAAGCAAACAAACTACGTTACGCGTTGCATGTGTATTGCACTCAATTCCAAAAATAGCATCGGCTAACCGGCTCCCCGAGTACCTGTTGTTCAGGATGTTGATGCATAAACGGTCAACTCAAGTAAAGAAGCCTTCCTTGGCAGGTAATGGCAACCAGCATCATGCTGCCTTATTCGTCGCGCACATAAACATCCGCACAATATCGCTGATTTATTATTATCTCCCTTTTTCAAATGATGTCACGAGAAAATGCCACCGATGCCAAGGCCAACAACTATATAATAAGAACCTCTTGACCCATTCTTGTTGCCAACCTACCTTTTCTTCTTTTTCTCCCCTCAAACACAAATCTTTTCAAGATGATGCAACAAGAAGGAAGTCTCACTATTGTCGCCCACGCTGCCATGGAAATGCCTAACGTTGAGACGTTCGGCAAGCAAGATCCCTATCTTCAGTTTTCTTTGAACCTGAATGACAAGTCGTCATGGCAAAAGTCCCATACCCAAAAGGATGCTGGAAAGAATGCCACATGGAACCAGAGTTTTGAGATCCCCTTGCGTGGTGAACCCGAATTGTATGTGGAAGTCATGGATGAAGAAACTGGTGTTGACGAGTTGATTGGTTTTGCTGCTATTCCAATTGCACCTGTGGCACAAGCACCTGGTGGCTACGTTAATGGTCTCTTTGATTTGTATACTGTCAAGGGCAAGAGCGGTGGTGTTTTGCATCTCAGCTTGACAGTGCGTGGTTTCAACAGCCCTCCACCTGCTTATGGTCAATACGATCAGCCTGTGCGTGGCCATTCCTATGTCAACGAAGAACATCTCAACCGTTGCAAGTCCTTACGTAACAAGGCCATTGCTGGTGATATCGGTACTGCTGTTTTGGGTGGTGCTCTTGCAATTGGTGCTGGTTTCCTTGGTCACAAATTATACCAAGAACATGAACGTAGAGAGCAAGAAGAAGAAGAAATGGAACTTGAGAAGCAGCGTATGGAAGAAGAACGTGAACGAATGGAACGTGAACGTGAAGAAATGGAGCGAGAACGTGAAGAAATGGAACGTCGTCGACAAGAAGAAGAGGAACAACAAGAGGAGGAAGAGCGAGAAGAAGAGCATCATTGTCATCACGAAGAAGAAGATGGTGGTTACGGTGGCTATGGAGACGCTGCTGAATGGGATCCAATTGGCACCTATGCACCTGGTGATCGTGTTGAATATCATGGCCACACTTACATTTGTCTCCAGGGTCATACTTCCAATCCTACTTGGATGCCAGGTGCTGCTCACTCTCTTTGGCAACCAGAGTAGTAAACATGTTGCATTGTTCTCATTCCCCCTTTTCATTCAACTACCTCATTGCATCATCAATAAACATTAAAGCATACAAATTCTTTGTTCTGCATTTGTCCATAGCAATCCCAAAACGGTAACCAATATGTACATGCATATAGCTATAAAATATAGGCGACCTCGTGCTCGCGCCACAACGAGATCTTGGGTTTATTCATCTTGATATCTAGGTAACCAATGTGCATAGAGATTCTAAGCCATGCGTATCCCGTGACAACCTGCATAAAGATGCTAAGCCAAATGCTGTGACACATGTTGATTGTTTATATGTTAGCAATCAATTGAATCATGGGGCATGATAGATAAGACGACGCCATCTGAGTCAAGAAGGTTGTTATCAACAAGGGCATAGTTGCATGATGAGGCTGATGATGTAAGAATTCTGATGGAATGTGTTGTTTATGTATTTGGGACAATCGATTGATCAATGCAGGGTATTCTTTTATGCGATTGATGTACAAATCGTTTGAACGATAACAGCGTACAGGGTGAATTCCTATTTTCTGCACCAGCGAAACCTCATCCATTGGTCGGCGTCAATGTAACGTTCGGAAGGATTCTGAGTATAAGAAAGTGTGTTGACACAAGGAGCATTACGCGTGTATCTTCCCTCTCATACATATCATGTCGTCTCCCGTATTGGTCATCACTGGTGCTTCCCGAGGCATTGGCAAGGCTGCTGTTCTTCATGCCGTTGGTCGCAATGCACGCGTGGTGGCTGTCGCTCGCAATGCCGATTTGTTGAATCAACTCAAGCAAGAAGTTGCAGATAAGGGAAAACAAGATAACTTGCTCTTAGTCGCCGGCGATGTCACCGATTCCAAGGTTGTGGACAAGATCGTTGATGATGCCGTTTCCAAATGGGGTCAAATCGACTCGGTTGTTGCTAACGCTGGGTAAGTGGTGTGGTGTGGTGTGGTGTAGTGATGGTGCCATAACAAGTCAGCTGACTCCTTCTGATAGTGTTATTGAGCCAATTGCTACCGTTGCCACCGGTTCAATTGAAGAATGGAAGCGGTAAGTTTGACCGAGTGAGTTTGAAAACGATGATCGACTGTATCCTAAATCCATCACAGTGCCTACGATATCAACTTCTTCTCCATCATTGAATTGGTCCAAAAGACCCTTCCTCATGTTCGCAAGGCCCGTGGTTCTTATATCATGGTCTCTTCTGGTGCCGCTTCAAAGGGTTATCGCGCATGGGGCGCCTATGGCTCGTAAGTTAAATGTTTATTCATCCTCTTGCTGATCATGTTTACTGACAAAGAAGTTAAAAGGTCTAAGGCTGCTCTCAACCACTTGACTGCTACTCTCGCAAATGAAGAGCCAGAAATCACCAGCATTGCCATTCGTCCTGGTATTGTTGACACAAGCATGCAAAAGACCATTCGTGAACAGGGCAAGGAGTCTATGCAAGATGAGCACCAAAAGTTCGTTGACTTACATGAGGCTGGCCAGCTCGTAACCCCTGAACAATCCGGCAGCGTATTGGTCAACCTTGCCATCAAGCCCCCACAGCATCTCTCGGGTAAATTCCACAGCTGGGATGACGAAGAACTCAAGGAGTACCAGTAGATTAGACGCCTATAGACATTATTTAGAAAAGATGTTATGTAAATTATGCGTAATGGCTCAATACAAGGGTCTCCAATTGAAAGATGAGAATGTCTTTATTGTGATTACTATGCGAATGGATATGCTATTTATCGGCTTTGAACCTAAACAAAGAGTCAATGTCAATACACATGCCATCCACCAGATAACAATCCAACTTACCAAATCATCAATCTTAAGAATCATCTTGACAGTTTCAGCCGCAAGCTCCATAGCACTTGTTGACACCAAGAGAGGCTGGATGACATTTTCTTCGAGGATATTGGTGATGGTACCCTTCTTGACATTGATACCAGCAGTAATCTCACCACGTGCATGTCGATTTCTAAGCTCGGTTACGATCTTGATGGGATTGAGACCAGCATTTTCTGCCAAGGTGGTTGGAATAACTTCAAGAGCTTCAGCAAATGCTTGGAAACAATATTGCTCCATGCCCTTCAGAGTCTTTGCATAATCCATCAACTTTTGGGAGACTTGAATTTCAGGTGCACCACCACCAGCAATCAATGCTCTATAAAAATAACAATGGTTGGCCATTGTTGCCTTTGCTCATCCATTATACATACCTCTTCTTCACCAAGCAGCGTACAACACACAATGCATCGTGGAGTGAGCGATGTGATTCTTCCAACACAAGCGAGTTTGCACCACGGCACAACACTGATACGGTCTTGCCGGCGTGCTTCATGCCAGTGATCTTGACAACCTTGGAGCCTGAAGAATCGGATTCTTCGATCAAATCGGCATAACCCAACTTATCATCGGTGAATGATTCAACATCAGCCACAGGCTTGCATCCAAGAGACTACATCATTCAAAGCATTAGTAAGAGTACAACTAAGGTCAGCCCCAAACAATTATTACCTTGGCAATGAACTCAATTTCATCACGTTCGATATCCTTGACAACCATAATCTTGAGCTTGGCCAAAAAGTGGAGAGCAAGGTCGCTGACAGCATCACGAAGAATTGACTTTTGAATGAGAAGAACGTTGCAGCCTGACTTTTTGATCTTTTTGCACATGTTCAGGAGGTATTGACGTTCTTCTTTGAGGATGCGATCCATTTGACGGTAATCATTGACCACGATTTGGTTATCCATCTAAAATGTAACAATGAATATAGGCTGCCGTGAACCCTAATCCAACCAACACTTACATCAGGCTTGGGTGGTGACAATTGGAATTGGATCAAACCAATTTTAGCCTTCTCCATGCGAGTGGGGCCACCAGCGCTTTTGACCACGTTTTGATTAAGCACAAGACCATCCACCAACTCTGTATCATCGATGGTACCGCCAACCTTCTTGACGACACGGATATCTTTAATGTTGACGTTATCGGCAATGGCAGGATCAATGACACGAGTGACAGCATCAACAGCAATGGGAGCGAGCAAGGATGAGTATTGGGAGACAATCTTCAAAAGAAAACATGATCAGCCAACTGCATGTTGATGGGTAAATCCCAATCCTTCACCAAATAGCACAAACCTTGGAATTCAATGAAGTAGATGCAGCACGAAGAAGCGATTCACGATCGGATAAATCAATAGCAGTTGCCATCTCGGCCAAGAATTCCACAGACTTTTGTGCAGCACGTTGGAAGGATTCGGCAATGGTTGTAGGGTGAATACCTATAATGATGATGATGATGATACAATGTCAATTAACTTGAATTGAACATCCTTCCAATTACTTGCCTTTGTTCAACATTTTCTCGGCAGCAGAAAGCATTGAGCTGCACAAGACGACAACTGAAGTAGTACCATCACCTGCTTCCACATCTTGTGCTGCAGACAAATCAACGAGCTATCGAATGGCACGCGTTATTATCATTTGTCAATACATATACACCCTCATTTACCATCTTTGCTGCAGGATGAAGCACGGCCATATGCTTGAGAATAGTAGCACCATCATTGGTAATAACAACTTCACCGTTGCTTGTTTGAATCTGAAAGAAAAGAAAAGAAGAGCGGACGTGTCAAAAGCTGATCTGCAATGGAATACGTTGTAGTGTAGTGCATCGTACCATCTTATCCATGCCACGAGGACCAAGCGATGTGCGAATAGCGTCGCCAACAGCTGTACAAGATGAAGGTCGTATTTAGCTTAGAGTCGAGATCCGATTCCCAATGTGTACGCGTGTCTTGTATCCAAGATCCCTGATACGAATAAAATGGATCGTCCTGTTTACCTTTGGCAGCAAGGATATTGCTTAGACGAACCTCGGTAGGCTTGTCTTTGTCTTGGAAGGCTCCGGCTTTAGATGATGCTGGTGCTGGTGCTTTTGCTGTTTCTGCCATGATGAAGAAATGTGTGTGTTGAGTGGAAAGGGAGGAGGAGCGGGTATTTGACAAGCGAGAGTAAAAGCAGTAAAGCCTTCGTGCAACACGCGGCAGACTAAATCCCAGCTGCCACGAGGGAGTAGCGATTTGACACATTCCTTTTCTTTACTTCAAAGTATGGGATATCTTTATTCAACATCGTGAACGGCATATACTAACTACCGTACGCTGCTCATGACCAAGATCGAGATTAAATGTATGTCCACTGCTGTTGTTATTAGGCCGTATCATGGTCACAAACCGTGGCATCCGCCTATGATCAAGATCCACGCTAATATTGGCTGCTGCCTGCAAATGCTCAATCCATGAAACCATGTCCTTGATATCATTCGACCTTAGTAGAAATTGCTCGCCATTAGGGATCCATAAACGTAGCACTCTTGGTCGCCTCTTGTACTCCGTTGCCATGCCAGCATCCACTCGTTGCATAGATACTGTCAATATTGGCGGCGTTCGATTGTCGATGCATTCGGCTTTACTTCTATATACATAAAGCACAGTGCCCCATAGCCTTAAATATCGCTTTCTAATAGTATAGATAATGTCAATGGTGGTCTTGCATGAAGAATAAATACAACTACTTACCTCCAAGGGCATTGCTTAATCCTCTCTCCACGCGCACCAGATTCTTGCTTTATGCGGACATACCCCATCTTGTACACGGTACAGCTATAGGGTGGTAATTGTTCTAGACAATGATACTCTCTTCTCATGAAAGTGGTATCATGGCAAACGCGCTGTTCACCTCGCCTTCGATAACATCTTGTTTGTGTATTTGAGTAGGGATCGCTATTCACCAGCGTTGCTGGGATGTCAATGACTGGGTCGCCTGCTGCATATTCATACGTCGGTAGATCATCCGAGTGGCGTTTCCTTTTGGATCGTTGTTGTTGTGCTGATGATGATAATGGTGGTGGTGGCGGTACATGCTGTTGATGGATCATGGATTCTTTCCTTCTTTTACGGTTGCCATTGCCAAAGCTGTGTAATAAATCCGAGCATAAGGTGATCCATGATTCATTTTGATACTTTGGGGATATACGAAGAAATTCCATCGAATAGTTGCATAGATACACAAACGTCGTGGCAAAAAGAGATGATTACAAAACGCTGCATAAAAACCCATTCCCCATAATCCCTTAGCTACTATAGGCAGGGGTAGTCATACTCCCTTGTGTTTGATCCATATTAGGAATTTTTGAAACTTGGCGTCTGTGGTTATTGCATAGCTAATATAATGATGGCGATCGCTAAGAAAAGACCTCTGTAGATGCATGAATGAACAAATGACATAATTGGCCACACGTAGTATTACTATGGCGTGCTCTCCAATCTCAACCTTGTTTACATCCCGAGCACGAGAGATTATCGACACCATTCTCCCATCCACTTCACAAATCTCCTTCGTAAACTTTAAAACGCTTCATGTGTTTCCCCCATTTCGCCACCCAATACCGTATGGCTTTTTTCAGCTATCCATAAATCCTAGCAATAGTACATAGTATTCCTGGATCCATTTTCAGTTATCAATCACAACAGGCCTATACCATATACATACAACGTGTGGATTGCAAGGATCACTACTTTAATGATACGGCGGGGTGATCAATGCTTGTATTCATTATGTATGTAATATCTATACTACGAATGCCGTATATGTCCCTCTCCCTTAAGCGTATGTTGAATTTCATCACCTTGACAAGGATCCATATCTTAAATCAAGAATCATCATGTCTAGGTCATTGAGGAGAGCGTGAATTGCCAACATTTAATGGGGGCACGACCTTTGTCGGATGTACAAATGGTAATTCAAATGTGGCGTGCATGCCATGGATGGTATGACAAGGTGTGAATGCTGGATTAAATGATGCACGAACCTCCCCTTTTCTTTATTTCCCTTTCTTTATACAGCATATGGTTGCCAGTGCACTAGCCGCTCTCAGATGATGCTATGATTACATTCAAGAGTAAGGTAGAGGGGCCTTGGGCTATGATTTGATGACGCCACAAGTTGTTCGAGTCAGCTGTTATTAGGATGATCAACAAGTTTGTTGAAGAGCTCTATAGGAAGGAAGGCTTATAAGTGTGCGGGAAGATACTTAGGCATCTGAAAAAAGGAAAGGAGAAAGGAAAGGAGAGAGATCGGGTTATCCATAGCTGTCCGCTGCTGCTGAATGATCATCATGAAATCGATTTACCAACAATCATTGTTAAGGTTTATGCCATTGTCGTAATTGGTTGAAGCCACCAACAACGTCATTGCTAATGATAGAACTTGAATACAGTACACGTTTGCAAAAAGCGAAGGCCTAGAAACAAAGCCTGTGTTCATGCCTTAAGCAATTCCCAAATTGGAAGTGACCGCCTGCATGAAAACGTAAATGGCAAGTGAACAGACAACCCGTATTAAGAAAACGACCGAGCGGCTGCAATACATTGATGGACCTTGTACAGATATGAAGGAGGAGCACGTGTTTACGACGACACCACATTCACCTTTTTATGTACACCTCTGCACAACTTGTCAAATGAATTCAAGACGTCATTTTGTATGGATTCAGTTGTTGTCTGCTCTATGTTGTAATCGTAGGGGTCGATGATTTCCAAAACTTATTATCGGCATCAATTACCATAGCAACGTCCCAAACAACAAATAGCATTAATGGGGATGAGTTATTGTTGTCATGGATACACGCACAATGGGCCACCTGGTATTACAGGAAACAAAACCCGTGCGTCATGGTAAACTTTAAGATAGGCAGGTGCCTGCCCTTATTATACCATCAAAAAAAGAGGCAATACCAGTGCACTACTCCTTTTCACCATAGCTTTAAATATAACAAATATCCTACATGAAGCAGTTCTCGGCTCCAACACCCCGTATTACATGGCCTGCTTATTCGAAGGAGAAGCAACACTAGTTGTAGCGCATCTTTTTTGACGTTTGGATGATGTATGTGAGAGGATGGGGGGAGAAGGTATACAACCTGTGTGTGCTGGATACGTACGCATATACACATACATCATCAGCATTGATGCATACAAAAATCGTAATAGAACCACCTCTCCTCAATACCACAATTGCTCCCTGGAAACAACAGAGCCATGAAAGAATGTGCACGATCCCACATCATCAGCACATGTAATGAGGCAAAAATATGAATAGGTGTTGTAATATAAAAGGAAAGCGACAATGATGTGGTTGTGAATGATGGTAGTAAAAGCCCACATGATTGCGTTTCATGAAGGTGCAGTGGGGCAATCATGTATCCGCCAATTCTTGATTTATGGATCTGCATAAAGTGTGAGAAGACATAAGATTTTGCTTTCAGTACCCTCATTATTATCCAGAAACTGTATGTGCAAGCGTGCAGATCATACACGAACCCAACAGCACCCTCGCATTTTAAATATTAAGGAGCATCGAGGGGAAAGGGTCATAGAGAAAAGTGGGGGAGTGCAAGAAGGAGAGTGGTTATGTGATAGTAAATGTCTCATCAGCTAAAGTTGGTCACTTGTGGTGGGTGTAATCAACATGCTGGTTGGCCATTACATTGCGTAGCATGTGTAACGGTTTGAATACGCACCCATTGATAACGATGATGTCAATCCATCATGGTAACCAACGACAAGAGAGATATGTATGCTTGTGGAGAGCGATGGTGTGACACAAAAAGTGCATGATTGTGAGTACTAGATTGGTTGTCAGGGATCATAAGCAGAAATCGATATGGCGATTGGTTCCATGTGATGTGGATGCTCATTTATCTGAGAAGCTATGCAATGGAGCTATCGTTGCTAAACCAACCCCAGCCAGCCATCATCACCTGCTTTGTCGGCCACCCAAAGTAATTTGATCTCCATCGTGAGGCGGTAACCATGATGATGCAGTTGTTGGTGTGTATGTCAATGCTGTGCCACAACTTTATGCATGACATAGCATAAGGATGTGTCCGCTAAGACATTATGATGGCTTCCTACCAAGGGTCTTTTACACCCGTAAAAGGTATAGAAAGGGTCATTAGGTTGCTCTTTGGTAAAAAGTGGATCGAGTAAAAACCCTGCTGGTGGGGAGACTCAAACAAAGAGTGCGATAAAAAACAAGAGAATGAGTTGTAGGCAAACGGAGCTCTTTCTCAAGGAGAGGTATGCAGGCAATAGCAAGATGGTGTGGCGACAAGTCAAACACAGTAAGGCAGCGAGAGATCCATTTATTAGTATAGGAGCCTTTGTGACCCAAAAAAGCAAGGTAGAGTGTGAGTGGGGGTTGAGTGGAGGAGAATCCACGTTTGCCATGACCACATGCAAAGGGAGGTTTAAGCTTGCTGTCCATTTGCTTTTTTCATAACGGTGTCTTTGGACATGATGGGCATCAACAACTTTTTGCTCCATTGTCTGAGTCTGCTTTTAGAACACAACGGGGCACCTAGGGGGTCAACAAATGAGGGGCATATTGGGCGAGGGGGTTGTGTGTGTGTGTGTGTGTGTGTGTGTATGATGAAGTGCGAATGTGCTGTGTGCTGTGCGCTTTGCCTAGATGGTAAGGAAAAGATGCTGGTGCTGGTAATGATAGGTTCGCCACCCCTTCCTGCATTTACTTATTTTGACTCTAGCAAACGGACCCTGGTACCAAAACATATAAATTCACGCCCTTACTCACAAATCTTGCATCCTTTTCCTTCCCCATTCACCGTGCTATCTTAAATTTTTACACTTAATCTGCACACTTCTTTTACCCCACCCACTCTTTTATATTACAACCATCTAATTTTATTTAATCGCTCGTCTTTATTAATCATCATCATGTACAAAACGATCTACCGATTCAGGTAAATCACATTCATGTCATCTTTGTTGAATAGCCTTCACCAATACTTATAGTACTTGTATGTGGCAACGATAGAGTACGTGTCGAAGGAAAGTCATTCAGCTTTCCCTTACACCTGTGCATATACCAAAATACAACACCAAGTTTTGCTGAGCTCATACAGCGGATGCGGCGTGCCGCTTCCCAACAGGTAAGCAATGCATAGTAGGTTTTGTTTATGCAGCACCATCGGCTGACACGCATCATCTGGCAGAATCAGGATCTCGATCTCGATGACTATCTTATTACGGTGGATGACAGCCACAAACAACATCACAACAGCTGCAGCAACGTGATTCTGCATGACGATCATTCGCTGCAAGTTGCATTAAAAACCATGTCCGAGCGCCATTATCTTGAGCTTGTATTGCAGCATAAACGAGCACGCACCTTGTCACCACCAACTAGTTATTTTCGACGAACCACTCCTCCACCAGGTAAGCAACTACTATTAACGACCTTATGTGTTACACCATGCACGTCTACTCACTACCGCCATATAACGCATGCAGCTGTTGCACCATCGGATCCAGTGCCGTTGATTAAGCCGACCGTAATTAGATGGTCACCTGGTCATAACGACAACATGCGATTTCCATTTCCTAGCAGCCGTAGCAGTAGCATCGACCACGAGGCTATTCGAAAGGACTCAGGCATCTCGCTTGATGATGACGATGATGATGAATATGAAAAACATCAAAGCAAAAAACAACGTGTCATGTCTGGTGGTGGCGATCTTGTGACACGAAAGCTCCCTGAACCATATTCTCCTCCAACAGCACCGACAGCATTCTCGTATCATCACCGACCCTCCTTGTTCGAGTCACCGCCTATCATTCATCCGCTTGATTTTCGTCGTCCTTCTACAGCTCCTCCATCACCAGCAACTCAATCATCATCAGCACCATCGCCTGTGGTAAAGTTACCAGCCATAAGCTCTTTCACATCACCGCCGCTGCATGATCACATCCGCTCACCTCCGCAAACACCTTGTTCGATTCCTGCATCATCTCCACCACCCTCATCAGTCCCTGTTGCTGCTAACACTACCACCAACATCTCCTCTTGTGATACCCCTGCTCTTGTACCTCGTAGAGCATCTTCTATCAAGCCATCTACTACAACACAATCCTCATCTAATCATCACCAACATAATCGAGGACCAGGCCAATTTCTTTGTGAACATGTCATTGATGCTGCCACAGGCCGAGTTTGTGGACAAACGTTTCGTCGATCATATGATTTATCGCGACATCAATCGATTCACATGAAAAATCGCCCCTTTTGTTACTGCTCCCAGTGTGGCAAGAAATTCACCCGTATGGATGCATTGCGTCGCCACGAACGAGTGCAGGGTCATATTACTGCAAAGCGTTCTTATAATCGTTATCCTTTGCCAACAATGGATCGTGCTCAGCAGGCTAGAGTACAATGACCCATATACATTTATCCCACATTTATTCTCTTTTGTACAAAGCCCATCTTTTTCCTTCTTAGTCATTCTTGCAAGAGTATTCTTTTCCCTTCTCCATCACCACCACCACCACTACCCCTTACATATCTTTGTCTTTTCAAGTAGTAGGCAGAGAGCAAATATCACATGAAGGTTTTCAATAATAGATTTTGGTTTTCTTCTTTGCATCCATAAAGATCACCCATCCTCTCTCTCCTCTTTATTAACATGCTAAATCGAAAAATGAAACATGTGTTTTGGTTGATGTCTGTTTTATGATAGCTCGTGGTATTGATAATGGCAAGAAAATAGGAGGCATTGGTTGGAGAGAATAGCAGCAGTGTCATATGAGAAAGAGCGCAAGGTTATTGCCCAGATTTGTACAAAACGGGAGGTCGATGTTGGTGGCTGCTCATTGTTGTAATAATACGGATCCTTACACACGACCTATTTCCTCTTGATCCTTGTAAACGTGATATCTATTGTTGTTGTCGATCATTCATCCAACCTGTTGTTCATGCACCAGGAGTAACGGCAATGAAAACTTTGATATCGTGCAACAATGTTCATTCATTCATCCATCCATCCATCCCTGTTGACTGATGTTGTGGTACTCCTCAAAACAATGAGCGATTCATCCAACACATACATCCTTGACCCAACCCCCTTGCTGACGCGTTCCATAATATCATCCTTTGCTCCCAATTGAGAAATCTTGTCAGGTTGTTTATTGCCGTATCCATCATTAACGTCTTCCTCTACCACGACCACGTCCTCGAACAGGGCCACCACGACCACGTCCTCGTCCTGCTGGTCCTGTAAATATGGATGAAAAACACAAGGTCAGCTTTCATCACTACATCGAGATGATCACCAATCCCTCTCAACTTGCCTTCCTTCTTTTTAGCCTTTGCTTTGGGTGTATCATCAATCAACAATGTATCGAGTGGTAAGCTGTCGGGCAAAATCACACATCGGATATTGTTGCCTCGAATGCTAAGCGAATCCAAGCTGGTGGGATCACGATTCTTTACAGTCATCTTCACCGTTTTCAAATGCGTGTTCATGCTCATATCAACACCTAACATGTACAAATGAGCATACAATGTCATAGCCTTGATGATGCTGCATAGTTACCAGTGATAGTGCCATGGACAACTGTGCCGTTCTTCAACTCAACGCTCACCGTTTCATTGTTCAACTTCATCAAAAACCTACAACGTATCCACAGTTAACATGTGCACTGACGCATGGACAAGGGAACAAGGAAATATAGCTGGATCGTGGTATGCGATGGTTGCGATCAATTGACGCGTGTTGGATATTCACAAGGTGTAAACAACGCATTCGAAAGAGCAACCGGTCAAGACGATTGTTGAAAGGTGGAATGGACGAGGGGAAAGCGATGAGGATAGGGAAAAAGAGCATCTTTGTTACCTGACCAACTTCATTGTGAATGTGTGTATTGGAGTGAGAGCGCAGCCTGGAGACGAGCGGCAGAGGTGTCTGCAGCTGCCTTCATCTAAGCCATTGGCTCATCTCATGGCGGAGTACGTTATCCCACCACCTTTTCCTATATCCACCTCGCTGTTGCATGACAACGTTGTATCCATTACATGGCATAATAAACAATGCTACAACTATTTACTTTAACATTGGTGATCATCATCAGGTGAGAGTGGCAATTGAGTTTAAGGTGTCCTACAACAAATGATGATGTCCTTGTGCTCCTGGATGACGATGATCATGATGTAAATGACATGTGCCAGCGGCAACCATCACAAATAGTTCATCATATGGGTTGTTGGTGTGGATGAGAAGAGTGTAATTGAATTGAATTGGCATGTTGTGGTTGTATGGCAAAGTGATGGAGGGCAAAACTGACGGCCCGATAAAAATCTAAAGCATCCTCCTCGGTATCCATGCCAACAACGGCAAGTTGACACGCATCTCCTTTTTTGCAGCTTATGGCCGAACACGCCCATTACACTTCATTCCTCATCACTTTTGTTGAGAGATTTGTAATATGCACATTGCGTGGATGATGATTGTGGCGCTCCCAGTCCAACGATCTAAGCCAGGGTACCCTGGGCGATATGAATTTTCTCTTTCGAAGGTCATGCGACAAAGCGGGTGTATGTGTGTGAGCTGACCAAAACTGCATATGCACAATCAAGTTCTTGATCTCATCTTTTATCTTTGCAAGTGTACGTACGCACGCACACACCTGTTGTTTTGATTCATTTATGCGCATCATTCATTGTTGTATGTGTTGTTCTCCCGATTAAGCCGACGGAACGAAATCCGGGAGGAGAACAAAGCGTTTTAGAAATGAGACACACAATCAACGCCCACCCAAAACTCAAAACAAGGAAAAAAACAAAGGTGTCTTTGTCAAGTGCGGATAATGCGGCCCGTCTCGGGAACACTTTTTAATGATGCTCAGACATCACGGTGTGGTAATTCATCCGCATCTTAATGTACGTTTCATGTGAACAGCACATACACTTTAGACGTTTCATCAAAGGGTGACGAATGATGCAAGTAGAGTGGACCCCTTATTGTGTACCGTAACGCTACAGCCGAGCACTCTTGTCTTCTACAAAGAATAGAAAGTTACAAACAACAAGGCAGGTAATGTGCAACATCGCGGTGCTATCTCGGAAGGGCGGCAAGTGAAGTTGGTGGAACGTGCCTTTGCACGTTTTGCGTTCATTTTTCCACACACACGCACACACAATCCACCATTATTTATTGCCTGTCATCCGCCTTTTCTTGCTTTCTTTCTTCTTTTTCACACACACATCTTTACCCAGCACTGTATATACCACTTGCAACCTACGCATCATATCATCTATGCCTTTTGCCACTTTTTTCCAATCGGCTGCCTCAAAGAAGCGGGCTTCTCTTTCGGTCGATACCAACACTCATGGATTGCCACCTTCACCTTCATCTCCAAAAGCAGCTCCCAACACCAGACGTTGGAGTAACGCAATCCCATCTCCATCCACTGATGCTTCTTCTTCTCCATCAACACGTCGTATGCGTCAACGATTTTCGAGTCTGCTGAGCAGCAATGGCAGCCGTAAAAGTTTCAGCGTCTTATCTTTTGACTCCCTTACATCGGGTAGTGTTGATGACAATGATCATCAACCACGTTATTCCTCATCTTCGGATGAGTCTTTTCATCAACCACCTACGCCACCTGCTCACACCGATACCACTGCTATAACATCATCCTCGTATCTAATGGCCAAGGGCAACAACATCCACCCTGCAACTATCGAGGAGGAACCTTTGACAGCATTCACATCGCTTGCAGAGCAAGTGCGTGTGGTGCTTGGATCCGCTTTGGATGAGGTGGATGAAGAAATTGAACTTGAATGGGAAGGTCATCGCAAGAACCTACGTCAATCTTTACTCGAGCCTAAGCGTCATTTGTCCCTGCCATTGCAACTCTAGAGATATTTACCATCATCATCAAATCATACCCCATGTACATTCGTTTTTATTAGCCTATAATTTATACTCACTACTATCCTTTCACCCTCTCTTTTAATACTCCAATATATCCATCCGCACATTTACACTTGCCTGGTTCTCTTGAAGAGACTCCTACTGGCATGCATGCGATGATGTAATTGTTTCCGATATACTTCAATGTGTGTGTATGTGTGTACGTATGCCATGGGTGATGAATGAATAATGGATGGGGCTAGCGTGATACAATTCAGACTTTTACCGGTTCCACAAACTGTTCCTATGATATCATGATATATGCGGTAGGTATAAATTATCTCATGTGCTGACAAAGCTGTGTGCGGAAAAGATTCCCAAACACGCTTACCATTTAGTACCCTGGTGACCTATGTACGTATGCGTCTTTGAGTTCACACACGCATAGATTCTACAACATGCAAACCCGTATAATACAATCGCTGCCGCTGTAGTCAAAGAAAAATGGAATTTATATAGGCGGTTACACCAGGCCTTCATTGGTCCACCGCCACGAACCCAATGCACCACTCTCGTTGTTTGTTTCTACCCAGCATCATGACAGCGCAAGATAACGCAATCATCTACGTGATATGGTAGCCTTGACAACATGATTCATAACGTAGCATAGCAACAACACGTCATGTTTTTTTTGACCACCAATTGATGTCCTTTCATTCACTTTTGCAAGTACCATTCACTTGCTACGATTAACATACACACCGTGGTGGTGGTTATAGTAGTAGTAGTAGTATTAGCGTCGGTGTGATACATAAGTTCATATAGGTAGATTGCTGATGTAAATGTGCTGAGGATTCCCACACACCAGCACCCCCTTAACCTCCGTTGAGAAGCATAAAAAGAAAACTTGCCGACGCTTCCCGCCAAACTTTGATCTGGATTGTTTCCCCACGCTATTACCAACATTTATTCAGGGTGCGTGGGCTGTTGTTGTGGTGTGTGCGTGTGTGTATGGGAACATGAAATGGTAACCTCTCGTTTCTCTCACGCGTTATTTCTTGTCTTTCATAGGAAGTTACATGTCTACTATGGGTGATGGCGTGTGATCCTGTAAAAGCATCTCATTGCATGAATACAGTTTTCGGATCATAGCCGGGATATGAAACACCAATGGAGCCGATAACGAGTGGGGATTTTGATTTGGTCATCAGCATGTAGCAAACACATTTATATAGCCAAGTTCAGTTACAAGCAATGGCTCTATAGCCATTCATAGTCGAAAGAAGATGAACAAATCTTATGCTTCAGGCTTCTGTTTGCTTTTGTCAACTCTATTTCAAGCAATGGATAATGGCATGTGTAGTCACGTGACATGTATGCTCCCTCTCTAGACACATGTACCTTTCTTTTTCTTTCTTTGGAGGATCTCTGGTGTTATTGAAAACTTGCAAATGAGCATGTGATACAATTGCATGGGACATTGGTTATTGGAAAGTTCTCTGGCTTTTACACTTGTAGATGGAATGCTTTGGGATAGGCGTAATTGGCAACAGGAAGCTTTATTATTTGGTAGCAAACAAGTACTCATCAGCAGTGGGTATCTCATACATAATCAAGCCTCCTACACTATCAATTTAAACAGTATATTTATCAAAGGGATAAGGTGGATGGTTTAAAGAGTCAGCAAGCAGGCTGCTGTTGAATCCTTTTTGAGCGCAATCAACGGGTGTCGCAGCTCCGTCACTTCTTGTTCTTGTTCACTATCACCGCACGTAATGTCAATTTACAACACGTCGCATTCAAGGCGAGCAGGAGCAGCTCGATCACCCAATACCCAGCATGCCGGTGCTCTCCCACCGAGGTTAATACAAAGACGACCACCACCTCCTCGTCAGCAACAACAACCCATCAACATTCCATACAATGACTTTCAGCTAATGTCTTGCAAAAAGCGAGGAAAGCACCACGTCATGGACTTTAAGACGAATAAGCCTGTGGATTTCAACACCTTTGCACGACCCGTCAAACTACAACGTAAAGACAACAACAATCATGGGTTTGGACGTATGCATCGAATGGCAAATGGCGGCAACGGTACGCCGAATGCCAGTCAAGGCAGCAGCAGCAATAGTGCAGCAGGAAGTAGTCAGGATGCAGCAGGCTCTTCTTCACAACAGCAACAACAACACCAGCAGCAGCATGGACCCAAGACAGGTGCCGATACCTCTTTGATTGCACCTCTTGGTGGCGCTACTCGCAACAAACAAATGTTATTCAAGAAGCGTACAAAGCAGATTTATTTGGCAAAGGAGGATGCACGAGAGCTCAAGGAACAAGAACACAAGCCATGGATTCTCGAAGATTATGATGGCCAAAACAGCTACACAGGATCTTATGAAGGAAGTCAACGATCTGATTATGTGTTCTTTGTTGTATCGGTACGTAGACATTTGAAATCATCCAACGATCCTTTCACTCTTACATGACGATGGATTAGGGCAATGACTTTAAGGTGGTGCCTGTCGATCGGTGGTACAAGTTTCAACAAAAGCGTAATGTGGCAACATTTACATTGGAGGAGGCTGAAGAACAGGTTAGTAACGAGCGAGATGATATGCAATTCGTTTTCGATGATTGACTTGGGAAACTAGTTGAAAAATCTTCAAAAGCGTGAACAAAGTCGATGGATGATGTTGGACCGCAACAAAGCCATGGCAGATGCTGAAACGCAATCACAAAGTAGTCAAGGAGCCAAATCTCGATTCAAAAAGACAGATCATGGAGAATCATTTGGAGGTGGCTCAGATGATGAAGGAGGAGGAAGTGGACGTCGTGATCGACATGATTCAGATATCGATGATCTTGATTTCGACGATGTCTTCCAAGATGATGAGGAAGGTGGTGGTGAACATGAAATGGAGGATGAAGATACGAGAGAAAGCAAGGTAGGCAATACTTTATCATGGTATGCTATAGGGTACTAATTCGCATGTTTATTTATATAGGAACGATTGAAGCGTGAAACAAAGGGTTATGCACCAGGAGGTGATGAAGAAGCTGTGGAAACAATGGATGATGATTCGAATCGATTAACATCGGAGGGCAAGGTAAAGGTCGACTTTTTACAAGCACTTCCAAGTACTTAGATGTTATTGTATAGCAAATCCGGAAGCTTGTTCGCACATTGGAGAAGAATGGTGCCTATGAGAGTGATGAAGATAAGGATCCATATGCATCCAGTGTAAGTATTGCATATGTGATGGTTACGCTTTCGTTTCACCAACATGTACATTAGGAGGAGGAAATGGAATCTGATGCTGAAAAGGAAGAATCCAAATCAGAAGCGGAGAACTCTCAACAGAAAAAGACGCTCGTGCCTCCAAAGAAGAAGGGACCTGCTCCATCTTCAAAGACTGCAGCAGCCAAAAAGAGTCATGCATCCAAAATCAAAAAGGAGGGATTATCACGACCCATTGGTCGACCTGGTTCGCCATCGTTACAGCAAGGAAAGGCATCACCTCCTCCTGCTCAACGAGCCACATCACCAATACATCAACGTATGCGCGAAATCAGTCCTGGTGCTGCACCTGTCAAGAAACGTAAATCGGATGAAGGTGATCATGGAGAAACAAAGCGTCCCAAAAGCACTACTACTGCACCACCTGCACCTGCATCGGCTGCATCACCTGGCGGTGGCGATGATAGCTTGATTACCGAGGATGAAGTCATTCAGACATTACGTGGCAAAAAGTTGACAACCAAGGAGTTCTTGATGCACTTCCGCAAGAGAATCAAAAAGAATGAAAAGAACCGTGAAATCATTACCGGCTTGCTCAAGAAGGTCGCTCGTCATAATACATCTGAACAAGATCCCACAAAACGTGTATTGGAATTGCGCCCTGATCTTCAGTAAACCCCCACACTCTCATATCAAATAAATGCCCATCATTCTTGCTCTGAAAAGTTTATGCACGACTTGGTTCATTGATTGAAAAAGACTAGACTTAATCCCTCCATAAGCTCAAATAAACATTGTTTGTGTTAACCGAAATCCCAATGAGCGCTGTCCACTATAAACAAGAATGTTGTCATCTCCAAAACCCAAGTTGATGCGAGTATCTTAGTGAATAGTCCTTTATGTAAGCGATCCGTTTGCTACATAGTTGATGATAAATAAAGTGTTGGATATCTTGGCATAAGTAGGGGTGGTATAATCATTGTTGTCAATGGGATGGGGAGGGGATTTTTATCATGTCAAGGATGCCTGGTCTAAGTTTCTCGGCTTGTGCAAGGACAATCATAAAGTCTGCATAATCTTGTAAGCCGAGAGCGTTCCTTAAAAGCGGTACATCCGTGCTAATAAGGGTGTATTGTGTAAGCCCCAACCACGCTCCATGTATGTATACAATGTTTCTTTACCTCTCTTTTTTGATGAATTTAACGAATGCTACCGCACGCCGAACCAACAATCGTCGCCATTGTTGTACGTATGCTTCTCGAAGTCTTGCTGGGATATCTCTCACATCATCCAATAATGCGCGTACCATCGGTGCCACTGTTTCGGTTCGAGTCAAGACGGTGGGACGTTTTCTGCATCATTGTTAATGATTACCCAAATGCACAATTGCTTTATATGCTCATTTTTACCTTTTATCGTTAATCCCAGGTCGATCGGGTGATTGCACAAAGTTCAACAATTCCTCTTCCACGCGTGCCGATTTCCAATCTCGATATTCCTGTTGTCTTTTTTTGTATGCTGGGACGAGTGGTGTTTGCTTCACAGTGAGCCGGCTCATGTTGACAAATGTAGATGGCACCATCGATTGCAGAATAACCGTTTCCAAGTCCTCGGCATCTTGAGCGAGTAATCCTTGTAGATAGAGATCGGGTATGTATTTCATATTCTTCCTTGCATGGCTCGATCGATTCCTTTCCTCGGGTGAAAGAAAAGGGCTAAGTGTATTGATCATCTGAAATACGAATTAGTCAACCCTACTTCCCATGATGATGTTGTAGCTTGACTCATACCGTGTTGATGGTGGATAAGCTGTTTCCCACAAGCACTGTGGATCCAAATGTTTCCAAATGCGATGTCACAAGCCTATGATCAAAATGGATGTTACTTTTGTTACGTGTAATGCGAATAGAAGGGATCTTTACCTTGCGAAGAAAGGAGAATCAAAGAGCTGTTTGGAGTCTTGATCGAGTAGGCTATAGTTGACCTATTATAAAACGTTACAACGTATTACTCGCAAGGATGATCAAGACATGCTTACCTTGCTGCAAGGAAGAGAGACCGATTCGATGCGCATGATGGCGTGTATAAAGGGGGCAAGTCGACGACGTGCGAAAAAATCCAGTGCCATGTCCCATTTCTAACATCAGCATGTTGTTAAAAAACTTGCCTATTTCCATGGAAACCAATTACTTGCCAGGTTGCGACGACGACAGACTTTGCGTAGATGCTGGAGGGGTTCGACCAACATGCGAGGCACACGATCTCTGAAGATGGCAAAGTAGGACGAAAAGTTGCGTAGGTAACGTACTGGCAAGACAAAGACCAAGGCACACAAGGATCGGGCTGTCGGATCGTTGTACAAGAATGCAGCACATAGGATAGCTTGGCGATGTAATGCAATCCATTTAAGTTCAACAACAGGAATGTCTCGTCCCATCTCGCCATTCAAAACCTGCCGCCCAATAAGTGCTTGCATCTTGGTATCCAGGGTTGCTTCATCGGATGATGACCACACTTTTTCAGTCTTGGGACCCACCACATTGGACCATTGTAATAAAATGACACCCGAAAAGAAGCATGATTCGAATAGCTGATCGAGCGATGTATCCATATCTTCTTCACTTGTTTGTGTCTTTTTCCCATCAGCATCTTCACTCTTTGTCGTTGATTCTATTATGCATCATCCCGTTAATGTATTGTATACTCTTTTGCACGCTTGATCCTATACCATTGGCGGCATCCTGCAAGGCAACAACAGCCTCTGATGGAATAGTGGATGATTTAGCTGGGGGTGGTAGAGTGGGGAATGTGATTGCCTCAGCGTTGGGTGATGGTGGAAGCAATGGAGATACTGAATTATCGGGTGTAAATACTGGAGACTTGACATGATGTCGATGCTGCGACTGCTTACGACGAGCATCTTGACGCTTTGGTTGTTGTTGTTGTTGCTGCTGCTGCTGTTGCTGTTGCTGTTGCTGTTGTTGCTGTTGATGCTGTTGTTGATGAGGCTGCTTCTGCTGCTTCTGCTGCTGTTGTTGTTGCACTGGTGGTGCTTGTTGATATTGTTGTAAACGTTCTACACTGCTATGTGTACCATCCATTAAACTGGTGCTTCCCGTATTCTCTTCTGGTGTGGTGACAACAGCTGTCATTGTGATTTCCAACGGCTGAATGGCGGCAGTTGAAGCTGTTGCCTTTGTCAATCGTGATCGTGGCTGCTTTGATTCGGGTTGTTGTTCATGGGATTGTTGCATGTAGAGCGACACAAGGGAAGGTGGGAAAACGGCATTGTTGAAACGACGCGGTCGATCAAACTTTCAGGTGACCTCAGCAGACACATCCATCCATCCACCACCCTGTATGTGAGTGTGAGTGAGTGATTAAAGGAGAGCATGTGATCAATTGAATTTGGGAACCCATATCATCACCATCCTCATCATCCATGTTTCCCACATGTTGGATCTTGATTCATTGCTTTGCTATTTAGGTACTCCTTCTTGGATAGAATACATACCTCTTCTTCCCATTTGTATATCTCTTTTACTCATATCGCAGTAATTTCCTATCCATCGTTATCGCTCTCTCTATCTCTATCTCTTGCAATATCATGTGAAAATCAATTTGCGAGGAGAATACTGTATCTTTGCATGAGCATCATCCAAGACTCTGTAAGCCTGTGACACTCTTTGACGACCTTGTGCCCATTCCACTGGAGACTTTCTGTACACACACCTTCTTTTGTACCTCCTTCCTTATTAATCAACATTGTCAATTGTTGGATGGGAAAGTTAGTATATTTGTTTGCTGCTTTGAAAGTTATGTGCTTATGACATGCATAATAAAAAAAGGCGAGACAAGGGGTTTTCTTGAATGTACGATAGGAAAGGGGTGGGGGTGGATAAGAATGTCATGCATGAGCTTGTGTGCGGGAAGGTAGCTACATACATACTACCGAGAGGGGTTGAAGTCAACTATACTACATTGTATACCAACAAAGGTGATATCAAGAACAAGGGTGAGAAGGGTAATAGGGATGATAGCGGGTGGTGTGGTGGAGAGACAAAAGCAAGAAAACTATATATACGTAATAAAGGTATGTAGGCACTCACAGCTCATCTACTTTTTCTGGGGCCAGTAGGGTTGCTGTTGTGTAGGTGATGGCATATAGGGATGATTTGAGCCATAATAGTTGGGCTGTGGTGGGTGATGTGCATATCCTGTGGGTGTCCCATTATAGGTAGGCTGTGATGTTGCTTGTTGGTATGCTGTGTCATATCCAGGATAACTTGTCATTGGTACGCTACCATATGGAGCAGGTCTGGGCTACATGTCGATGAACAAAAGAAGAACAAAAGGTTAAAAAACGGTATGCAGCACACACTCATACACACATCCATTTGTGCCATGACCATCGATATCCTTTTCTCTATCACTTTTTTCCCCTTCTTCCTTTACCCAACAAACCACTTATCCAAACAAGCAATAGCTGTAACCTACCTTTCGGTCAGCTTGTCCGTAAATATCTCCCGGTGTTGCATCTTGTGGATAAGGATTCCCGTGCACCGATTTACCCACGGCGGCGTTTGTTGCCCCTGTGTTACTTTGTGTCGTGTGGTTCGAATGAACCGACTGAGGCTATAAGCGAAAAATTGGGGGTTAACCAGAGTCAAAAAGTGCCGGATAAGCGAGATCAGCATCAACATGTATATCCCAAATAGCCGACTTTTTTTACTTACGGATGAAGAAGGTCCTTCAGCTACTGGATCAGGTGCATTAAGACATGCTTGAATGAGGTTCTTGCCCTCTGGCTTAGTAACGAGTGGTTGAAGCTTGGGGGTAGTAAAAGTGTACACGAGGCCTGTTTCCGATACGACAAGTAGCAAAACCTGGGTCCCAGTTAACGTGCTTAACTCATAAGCCTGGATGAGGTAATAATAAAAAAACGAGTGAGTTGGTCATTATCGGATGATGAAGATGGATAAAATGTGTTTGCTGGATAATGAAGTTACCTTTTTCATGATGCCTGCTTTGCGCTTAGAAAAGGTAATATGCCGTCTCGATTTGTCTTCGATAAACTCGATCTTGATCTTGCGTCTACCTGATCGTTTTTCAGGCTTGCTCTCACTATCGGAATCATCCTCGATATTGTTCTGGTTGATGATGGGTCGATCATTAGCTGCAAGGGCTCCTGGGCCTGTTGATTGTTGAAATGGTTGTTGTTGCCTAGGCATTTGATGTTGTCCCAATCCGGTCGGCTGTTGCAAAGAGCCTAAATTGTTCATAGTATGTATCCTTGTGTTTGTGTTTGGAACGAGAGGCAATTATCAGAACGAGGAATGGGTATTATCTGTAGGTGAGGGAAAGGGGTGCGATCTTGTTGGTATGATTGTACAAGTTCGCTGTGGTAAAGAAGTGTGGAAAAGAGAGACAAGAAGCGAAAGAAAACGCAGCAATCTGAAATAAACTTTTTTCACTTGTCGATTGTGCGTGCACGCGTTCTAAGAGCACCTTTACTCACGCCATAGAAGAATGTATTTGTTTGAGACGATAATTACAATCTCAATCACTTTCTTTTATTTTGCTTTCTTTCTTTGCTTATGCAATGCTACGCAACATCCTGATCAGTATATGCGGAAGACTTCCTTTGTCGCCATTTTTCCCAAAAGGAACAATCAATGCTGCAAGACAATGGGGGACGCCTCATCTTTTTGGGACTTTCCCAAGAACGGGAACCGATCTGGTTGTTTCTTCTCATATGTTCAAGGTTGCACCACGCTTGCACTACCAAAAAGCACAAAACAACCCATGCCACACTTTTTACTCGCTCGTCGGGGTCAGGACGTCAGTCCATGTTGCACAACAGACACCATACAGCATTTCTCTTTTTCTCACAGGCAACCAAAGAATAACGATTGTTGAATCACCTCCAGATGGTGGCTATCTATCTAAGATCCTTCACTCCAAAAACAGGGTTTTCTCCAAACTCTCATTATGAAGCACCGTTGGCTCATTGTTTGTGATGTCCCTTGATATGCTAGGGAGAAAGAAGATGGTGGAGCATTGTTGTTCTTATATTAGCAACAAAGACTCCACCCTCATGTGGATCAAAATATAAGGGTACGAGTCCCCACATCTTTTTCATTGTGTGGTATTCCACCACTCACCAAAGTCATAAGGAAACAAGGAAAGAAAAAGAGAAAGGAAAATAAAGCATACTTGGGTTATACGTCGATTTCTCATTGTTCTTGGTTTCCGTATATCTCCGAGCGATATTCATTTTGACAGTTGGGCTGAGTGAGTAGGTGTCTAGAGAGTACTTTTCAGAGGATACGACCTATATTTCTCTTTAGCTTCGTTACAACCATTTAGACAAAGATAAGGTAAAAGACCGTGCGCTCTCCTTGCATGGGTTTCACACCCCAGGAGCCCAGCCTCACTTTTTCACACTGCCACACCAACATCACACACACACACTACACCGGAGACTAAGTATGCCAGATCCGCGCAATCAGGGTCAAATGATAAAAACACACACACACCTCACACCAGCATTATGATATCCACACGAACGTCAAAAACCACCTGACGATAAGTCATCGGCCCATTTCCCTTGCCGTTGTTACCATTGCCCACTTTTTGCTGATAGCTCAACCACATACATAGATAGATAAAAGGATTGCACCCGTTGTATTATATAAAGCCCAATGTACAAAAGGTCTATTACGTCAATGTACCAAATATCTGGTTCGTTGCTTCAGCGGATGTACCGGCCCGCGGTTTCCGTACGCCTGCAAATCCTCTTCTATCGCCCTTGGTCATCATGATTTTCCAATTGGCCTTGAGACTCGATAGTACACGTTCAATTTCTTCATTATGGTCGGGTGCTGATGCGAGTAAAGATGTCATCTGGAGCATTTTTGCTGCTGTGGCTGCAGGGTTTTGGGATGATCCAAAATCTGTAAACAACTTTGCAAAGACATCTAAAGGGGTATTAGCTTTGTGTGGTGATGTCCCATTTGCTCCCATCTTTACCTTCGAGTCGCTTTGTTTGAAGTAAAATCACATTATCTCGAAAGCTCCTCAATGCCATGTTGCGTACATTCCACATTTCAGCCTCATCCAGGGACCGGTATCGTACATCCGTTCTCAATGGAAGGAACACAGCCTCGAAATAGGGTAGAGCATACGTGAAGAAAAAAGACCATTGTTCCACTAGTCGATCCAGCAACTTTTCATCGGTGACACCAAGCATTTTGGCATTCAATGTAAACATCCCATCTCGTAACAAGGATTCGATATCGCGATAAAGCTGTGGAGATACTGGATCTGTCAAACATCGCCTATGAACCAGTTTATGAATACCTCTTTTTTTCATCCATTTTTCCATCTTACCTTAATAGCTCATTAAGATCTTCAATGTTGCCTTTGACGCCTTCACCATTGAATAAAGGTAGGACTCGTACACATAATGATTGCCATACGTCGCCTTGTGGATTGCCGATAGGTGGCGGTGGATTCACAATAGTTTGAGTGGATGGTGCAATGGAAGGTGTAGGGTTGACGGTAGTTGTTTGCATGCTGATACTGCTCACGCTCCCTTGACGCATATAAGGTGTTGGATGATGTGGATGTGATGAAGGAATAGGTGGTGGAGGTGGTGCTCCTGCGGCTGCGGCTGCGGCTGCTGCAGCGGCAGCTGATGCTGTAGATGGATGGTGACGATGATGATAGGGTCCAGCATTGGAATTATTGGTGTTGTTTGCATTGGAGAAATAGAACCCTGAAGGATTGATGCTTGCAGTGGGTGAAGATGGAGAAGTAATCATATCATCCCTGTATTGACTCGTTCGCTCAATGTCACGTGTAATGGATTTGGCATCAAGGGCATTCAATGATTTGTGGATGCTGGGAGAAGTAATGGGTGATGTGGGTCGTTGTTGATAGGAAGATGTAGACGCATTGTTGCCTTGTGTGGATATAGTGCGTTCAAGAGGTTGACTAGATGATTGCTGTTGTTGACCCGTTGATGTTGTTGGATTGTTGTTATTGCTGCTACTATGACTACTAGCAAACGATCCTTGACGAGGGATATGCTGCAACGGTGGTGGTGGTGGTGACCTTAGACTATGCCGCTTCGTTTGACTACTTCCACCACTTGGTGGTGCTCGCATAGTGGGTGTCGTTGCAGAATAGGACCGTGATGGAGTAGGGAAAACTGTTTGCGAACCTGTTGATGCTGGTAACGCTGATGGTGGGCTTGTGCTAATGGGGAAATGAAGCGATGTGGGAGTCGTGTGTTCAATGTAGTTCGACATGGCTGACGAGGAATCGGAAGAAGCTGAAAGAGGTGAAGCCATTTTCGAAGAGGACACTGGAGGGTCTTCATCACCGGCAGATTGCTGTTCTGGATGGTGGTTCGTATACGATGCTGATGACATGTATATGCAAGGGACAACTGGAAGAAAAGAAAAGTGTGCAGGAACAGCAAACCAACCTCCGTAATTCCATAACTTGACAGTTGTGACACATGACGAGCAACCTTCATTGTGATCCTCTAATAAACTAATGCCTCTCGTTGCACTGCCTTTTTGTCACGTTACATCATGTTGGATGATTCATTAGATGGGGGCTTATTGATGCCATATGAAATGACAATAAACGTATATCCAAACTTCTCTTATCCTGCCATCACATCCACCTTAACCCCATAATAGAAGTATGCGTGTGCTTCATGAAACATTTATTACGCTGTACTATTATGTCTTCTTTTCATTTACCATGTATTGACGACCATCAAACATCCATTCGTCGCCATCGATACGCTGGATACCATTTTGTGCTGGTTTATCTTCTTGTGATCGTTGATCATCCAAAGGGTCCAAACTAAATGCCATCGATTCTGCTTTTGCACGTTCACGTTGACGCTCTTCCAATTCGGATTTACGCATAGCATGTTCAAGTTCATCACCCAAGGATCCCGGTGTCCTCATGACAGCTTCTCTTTCTTCCTTATCTTCTTGTGCCAAGCTCATCAGCTTTTCTGTGATCCGTCGTGGTCGAGGCCAATATTCATCATCTTCCTCTTCCTCCCAATTTGTATATGTAACTGGAGTGCGTGTTGTGTATGATGAGCTGGGTCCACGCGATGCGCGTCGTGCTGATGATGTTGCATCACGCCGTATGGGTGTGGTATTTGAGTCTTGTTGATGTGCCTTGGCAGCTTGAATTTCCTCCCAGAATGGATTTCGGATATTGGTACCACTGGCCCTCCTTTGTGAATCCAATAACATCATATTAATACTTGGCAAAGGATACATGTAGCTATGTATCGTTACCTGTAAGTCGCTGTGGGTCTTAATTTGGCCTTGGTGATATCACTTAGAACATTGCGATAAAGTTGATTGGGAGTGTCGTTGCCACGAGACCGGGTAGTACTAGTATTCGTAGGCCTCTAATTGAGTTAAATGTTAAGTACAGTATAATGGAACCATTCAAGTGGCATTGCTACAAACCTTTATGGGGCTTGATGCTTTGTTTTCAGACATCTTTTGTGAAAGTGGTGTCGATCGTGCAGCAACAGAGGCATAGGATGGTCGAGACAATGGGGTGGGTGATTCATGCATAGGTGTCATGTTACGTGTTGATTGCAAAGGCGATGATATAGGAGAAGTCAATGTGAAGGGCTCGTATTCCTCTGGACGAGATGGTCGTTCTTCTTCTGTTGCCATAGTGGATCGTCGTGAAGACCATCGTCTGGGCGTAGCAATAGCGTGGTCATCCAAGATCCTTCTCTGTTTGGATGATGATTCAATGGATGGTGAAGCTCTCTTGGAGGATCTGATTTCATTAGCTGCATCTCGGGTCACAACGGCCAATTCAGATGACTAGAGGAGAGAACAATGAAATTTAGTAAAATAGTGCTAAGAATAGAATAGTGACATCAAGCTTACCACTTGTTGGATTGTATCAAGTCTTCTTTGTAGCTGATCAAGCCGGTGAATTTCATCGTCGAGACGACCTCGATTTAATGTATCTGAATAACGTTTGACTGAATCGAATGATGAAGATGCTCGTCGCATAACATGTCGTTTATAAGATGAAGCCCTTGATCGGGATGAGATGCTTCTTGATGGTGACCGATAAGCCATGGATACATGTTCTTCATCATCTTCATATGGGCGTAGATGTTGACTTGTTGCATCTTCAACTATGGATGCGGAACGTGTGGAGCTTGGTGTAAGAGAAGAAGGAGGTAAAAGAGAGCTGCGATCAAGGGATGGTGTTGAAGCTGCAGCTGAAATGACTGAACGCTGTGGCGATCCAAAAAGTGATTCACGGTATTGTACAGGTGGACGTTGCTGCTGCTGCTGCTGCTGCTCACGATATCGACTATGGCTAGCTGCTGTTATGGAATGACGCTCAAGATCAGGTGTAAGAGAAGTGCTGCTCTCTGCTGCATCTGTAAAGGAATCTTGCTCTTTGGTCATGCTTGTATCTGATCGTTGAGATCGCTGGCGTTGTTCCTATTCACGCGCATACACAATGGTAAGTATACAAGTGTATTTACAATAGACAGCCATGTACCTGACGCTCAGAAGAATAGGGTTGCGTCCATTGAGAAAAAGATCCAAGCATACGGTGCCAATCTCTCGTTCCTTCTTTGGTGGCATGACGGACAGCATCAGCAATGGGTGAAAGAGCATTCAAGGGCGATGAAGACCCTCTGGGTGTAGCAGGCGTGTTGGCTGCGTGATTCTGATAGTCTCCAGGACGTCGTAAGGGAGAGAACATGGGAAACAAAGCAACAAAAACGATACGCGTGATGATCGTATCTCAGCGACGCGACTACAACAAATTTGCACTGCATGCGTCACATGCTTCCCAATGGCCATGGATACATGATGGAATACTCCTTTTGTTTGTAATGGCGGTAGCCTGATCAACAACGATAGTATTATGAGCTCTTCTCTTTTCCTTGTATCGCTTACATAGCCATCCCTATATTACAACGGATAAAGACCCCATAACGTGTGAATCATGGCATAGATCTACATTGATAGTTTAAATCTTGATGGCTTATTGATGCCGTATACCATGTTGCAATTTTCATAAAAGCATGGATGCTTGCTTGCTGTGACGACAAGAGAGCAATATGCATGGTGTTTTAAGGTCTAAATCCTAATCCTCTAAGAGGTATGTGCCACAAAACTGCCTGTAGCACCTTACCATGTGGGATGTTTTCTCAACTTGCTGCTGCTGTGTGAGCTTGTTTAGCCTCCTCTTTGGAACATGGGGGACATGTCTGTTTGGCGTCCCATGATACCTGTCATGCAACGCACCAGCGTGTTTTTACATTTGTGCATATTGTCATCTCGTTTCCAACTATTACCAACAGCAGCTGCATATGGATCAATCGAGACCAAAACGTTCTATTAGCTCATACATTTGAGATGGGCAATGGTCAAGAATTTGGAAACGCGAGTTCTCCCGCTGCTCACATGGCTGGCTGTATTCATGTTGTGCTCACTTTTTCATGGTGATACTATACACGTATTCCACTGACGTACCCCCCCACCAATGTGCATGAGTCATTTCATATGCATCATGTATGGAATATAGGCCCTGCTAACAGTACCTTGTATTTGGTCTCCACCATATTAGTTGTTGTCGTGGGGTGGTCTTACAAGGTTTGATTGTATACCTGCCACCTACGTTACCTAATGAATTGCTACGTCGGGATGTATAGCTATGTTTCAAAGCTGGGTCGAGTTCCCAGGATCTCGGTTCGATCATCAGGGATGCATTATTTTATCCAGGCGATCTTTCTTGAATGAGAAGATTTTTGTGTCCTATTTTTACCACCATCCGTCGCTCATTATTTTCAAGCCTTCCTTCCTCTTTCTCCTTATACATCAACTTTCTTTCTCTATAAAAGAACGGCACCTCATGGCAAGCCTTGTTGCGGACGCTGATTGCCACTCGATTATGCAACCATCGCTATCTTCTTTTCCTTGGTACGATACATTGACCCATGTCTCTAAACTTGTGCATCCATTGTTTTCTTTATCTGATGAATGGCATCAGGCGTTATCAACTAGTAATCCTTGAGCAGCCTATTCATTCACGCATGTGTGGCGTCGGGGAAAGAGGTATGCTATCTTTCAAGGTAGACGTTATAGATTCTAACTAAATTTGTGTATGTGTGTGTTCTAGTTGATCGAAGACCCATTGATCCTCCACCAATCGTACAGCTCAAGATCCTCGGCAATGACTACAGTGAAGCAATGAATCGGTGGGTATCAGTAAATCAGGAAAGGCTCAATGCACCCATTGGGTGAAGAATTTACTTACATGGTAAAACCGATTTTGGTCACCATGACGACCATCACTAGTTTACATGCCATCTCGCCTCACATTTTCCTGGCCGCCATGTTGGTCCCTGCCAATGAATTACATGAAGGATCCTTTCAACCAAAAAGTAACGTCGATACCACATTCCACAATAAGCTCACCATTGGAAGCAACGTATCATCAATGCACATGTTACGCGGACTAGATGGCAAGGAAGGTGCTTATTTTGTGTTTCCCGACATGTCGGTTCGTGATGAGGGAATATATAGATTGAACATGTGCCTTTTCGAAATCCAGCAGTAAGCTATTCTCAGCGTGCCTTTTAACGATCCAAAGAACCATGGAAGAATTCACGTATCCTTTTCAAAAAGATCCTCGGTAACGTTTCTCCAATCCACCGTATCTGATTCATTTGCAGTGTATTCGGCAAAGAAGGTAAGAAAACCAATACTAGACTATATTTGAGAGTAATTGAATAATATCAAATATACGCTCACATGCAATGATGTACCTGCTGTAGTTTCCAGGAATGCACATGTCATGTGCTCTTGCATGTCATTTTGCTGAGCAAGGCTTAAAAATCCGCATACGTAAAGAATCGAGGAAACGGTCAGCAGCACAAAAGTTTAGGAGACTTGATGAATCAACATCGGGGATGGACCATAAACTTGGTAAGCATTTTTGACAAGTAGTGGCAGGAGGACCCAGTGGAATGGGAAACTTATTTACATGCATCGTATTCTTTGTGTTTACGTTGGCACGTGACATGTAGTACAACAACAAGCAACGGATGAAGATTATAGCATGGAGGATGTTAGCCAGCTTGACGTGACCATGATGGGTATGGTTGGGCAACGAGGTCAAGTTTATAATAACAAAATGTGAGGTATATCAAAGGAGTGCTTGCTGAGCTGGTGTTGGTCATAAAAACATAGTCCCAGTGTCCAATGTGGAATCTGGCTTTCTTGTTTCTTCTGAGAAGACTAGTTCGGGGGTATCAGAAAGTAAGTTAATGTTGGTATATATGTTTCCTGTATAGTTGGCATACAGTAGTTTGACAGGGCGTGGCTTCCTCCTCCTTCTCAGAACTTCCAGTATCTTCCGACATGCTGCACAAGGTCGCACCAAGTGATCACCGCATATACAACCTAGGGACACATGCATCTTCACCGCCACCTGCATCCGCCCACTGGAGCACAAATGCGTGGCATGCAGCACCTGACCTTGAGAAACGCTTGCCAGGTATACGGATCGCGACAACAACAACATCCATGGACCGCCCCGATCACCATTACATACCCAGCATAACAGTATTACCAAATCCAACTCAGATGAATGATGCGCATGAATCCTGGAAATCGGTAGCATGGCAACCACGACCACCACCACAACAACAACCCCAAGATCCATCCTTGCAATGGGGAAATGAGGTACAATCAAAAAAGGTCTCTGAAGACCCTGCTACTACTACTGTATACGGTAACATCTTGCACCAGCAAACAAATTTACCATCATCGATGAGCCATCAAGTACAAATGGAATCATACGATGATTATCATCTTCATCATCATCATCAAGGCGCCAAGCAACAACATCATCCAACAGGACAAGACATGCCGCCTATGTTACCATCACTTAGGGAGCAACTCAAAAGCATTGGCGTGTCGTCTTCTTTTCAAACAACAAGAAGCAGGTGATTGATTTGCCAATCAACCAATACATTTAAACGATCGCTTAGACCCATTTTTGATGAAGAGCTCAGATAGACTAAAAGGTCACCAAGATAAATTTCATGATGCGACTTGTTATCATTGCTTTTATGGACGCATTTTCTCGCATACTCTAACAGGGGTTTATATATGTGGTGGATAAGGAAGAGGTTGAAGGATGCAAAAGAACGTTAATGGTAAGCATGTACATAAGCGGAGCATTTGTTCAGGTCATGCACGAGACAAGCGTTTTGTGTCACATGAACGTTTCACCAGCGCCGAAGGTATGTATGTGCGTTCTCATGCGTAATCCACGGCCACACCCTTAAATGTGATAGCATTTATTGTATATAGCTATTCATGCTTTGTGTGTTCATTCATCCAAGTTAAATGACTACGGAAGATGGCTTTTGTTACTATAGCCGCGACGACCCGGCATTGTCCGCTGTGGCATGTTTCAGTGACCACCACGATGCCACCATTTTCAACGTATTTGACATAAAGCCATTTAAGAACATCTTTACAATGATCCCAATCTTTGATAACATCCTTTTCATAATGATTGGTAGATGCATGTGTGTGTGGGAATAGTTGACCTGTGCCTTGTTCAAAATTCATGCAGCGATATTTGATGCGTGACCTTAATCATCCCTCTCCTTCTCCCATTCCTTATTCACGCTCCCACACACGCTTTATCATCATGGACACGCTTAAAACAGTTGCACACGACGACAAGTTACTCATTCCCAGCACATTACAACTCTTTCGAACAGCATTGCCTTCTGAACTTCTTTGTAACATCTTTGCTCATTTGTCCCAGTCCGATTGCTACGAATGCATTCTCGTTTGCAAGTTATGGTATCAACTCGTGCCTCAATACGCAACAGGAGTATGGCGTACGCTCGTGCTAAGAAGCGCAACCAGTCGACAACGAATAACGCACTTTGTTGGGAGGCATGTCAAAGAAGTGAGGCTACACTCGTACCACGAATCCAAAGTGCTGGCTGATCTTGCATGGCTTCGACGTTATGGCGCAACACAAGTATCAACTTTATGTAAGTGAATGATGGGACCACTTGAGCATTTAATCAACTAATAGCAATGAGGTCATCCTAGCTATCAGCTATACCGTAGGAGGAGGAGGAGGAGGATGGGATGGTGGTGACAAGGGCAGCATTCATCAATGGATTCCTGCACTACCGCTCAATCATTTGACACACCTTACGTTACGTATTGGAAAACCAGGCATCGACATCATACGCATTGTGGAAGCATGTTCAAAACTTGTTCATTTGTCATATGAACTTGCTGATAATGGAACCGGCACTTTGACACCCGATTTGCAGATGGACTTTATACGATATTGCAGCCAACAACTTTCATTCAGCACGATCTTATCCCTTCGCTCATTGTGCGTCAAATCATCATTACTTGATCATTACGAGAAACGCCTCCTATCAACATTAATACGACATAGCCCTGATCTTCGGGTCATATCACTTTTGGGATTATGGCCATTTGATATCCGCATCATCCATGACATGATTCAGCCTCTCAACAATCTCGAATACCTTGCATGCAATGTGGATCGATGCTCATGGCTCCTTGATGATACCATTCTTCTCAATCGTCGCTCCACTTCATCCAGCAGTAAGATCCGACAAGGATTACGAGGTCTTATCCTTCAAGGTTCACCTGATTGTTCACCTGAAATACTCTCCTTTATTCGAGAGCACCAACACACATTACAGCATTTGAATTTGACGCTTGGTTTCCATCCTCGATATGATCACGTTGTTTGTGGGTTGCTAGGGCAACTGGATATGGATAAGCTTGAGACATTGCATTGGTCTGGTTGTAGCAGCAATCGTTATGGCGCCGCACTTGGATCCATGCTTGGTCATTGTCAACGTTTGCAAAAGATAGAGCTTCCAAATCTGGATGGTGCTGATCGGCAATGGACACATGCGTTGGCGAGTTTGAAGGATCTACATACATTATCTCTTGGAATTGACGACCCATGGCAAGATACCAATACAGTCATGGCTCCACCACCACCCCATTCAGCCACCACCACTGAAGAAGAAGAAGATGATGATGATGCTACTCCCACAGTCGATGTTGTGCTTGGTGAATTGTTTTCCGTGTTCGCTCGACAAGGCGATAGCTGTCGATTACAAAACCTATCACTCAAATTGAGGTTAGGAGAGGGTGCCATGTGTCTTTCGCTATTATCCAACATACGCTCGCTCAAGAAACTTGCCATTTGGGGCCTTGCTTTGGCAGATGACCATGCTGTGAGTCAAATCACCAACCATATCAGCGCTAGTAAGCAGATGGAAAGGCTCTGTCTTGTCTCGTTTCGATCACTTGGTCGTGATGCTCTTGAACATTTGAGTCACCTACAGCACCTTCGATGTCTCGCAATCATTTGCTGCAATCAATTAAGCGTCATTGGATTGGAACAACTCGTACAAACATGTCCACAACTCGAAAATGTCACTGTGGGTCAAGTTCATCAAGTCGATGGCGATGTAACTACTTGGCAATCAATCAAGAAACGACTCGGCATGGATCCTCGATCTCATCCCCTGTATCCATCAGTCATCCTATCCTAGCTATTATCATTTGTGTAAATCAATCAACAATATTATGTACATGTTTGGAAATACGGCATGCATTAAATAAGTTACCAGGGTTCTCAAATGTTTGTGCTGTTGTTCTTCTCTTTCTTATGTAAGCTTTGTTGCGCAGGATCACTCGATGCAACATGTATGGAGCTTATTACCTAATCATATGAAGAGAACACAAGGTTTATCAAACCAAGTAGTGACATAGATATCGTCGTTGTATCCCTCTAATTTAACCCGCCATTCCGATTCTTTCATTATTCATCATCACACAATGTGCCATTTCTTTGTGCTGTGCGCGGTACTTGTAGTTCATGTACACCTTGTACCTGCATGTTTGCGTAATCGGTGGGTGGTCTTCCCACGCAATGTTACAAGCTGCTAAACATGGACAACGGATGTGGATGGGAGATGTGGTATTACCTCGGGATGTTTGCATGTGCCTCTGAATGAAGACTACCCGATCTTTTCCGTATTGGCTAAACCACCAAATGGTAGCACATTTTAACAATTTGGATGAATTTGCCCGCATAATCGAGATATGGATGCTTTTGCTGTTATGGTTTTGTTTGGTAAATCCTCCGGTAGTGGTCAATCAAGAAAAAGAGCCGGCTGGATGGCTGATGCTGGTGGTATGTAGGGTCACACTTTTCGACATATGGGGCTTCCCAACATCATTGGGTGCTCATCCCATTTTTGTCAACACCAGCTACTAGCTTTTTTTAAAGTAAACTTTTGGATAGCTGCATGCATGAGTTCCCCATTCTTTGGCTTTTAAAGGTGATATGCATCATCCCTTTTGGGAAACAAGGGCTCATTTTTTCTTTGTGATTCTTGAAAGCTGCTTCTCTTATATCTGGGATAATCCGGTATTGAATGTAAAAGCAGCTACAGAACGTCCCGTGCCTACGCACGAGTCTTTTAATTACATCATTTTTCAGCAGATACGGTGGATCCAGCTGGATAGGTGTCCTTTATTGCGGGGTAAAATATGCTGTGTGGATTTGGTGTAGCAACAAAGCACTTTGTAGTAGCATGGGAAATGATACTTGCTATATTACAAACATCACATCTAAGCGCTTACGCAAACTTGGGTTGGACTTGAAAGGGTCAGGAGAGGCAAGGTGCCATTGGTTGGGATACATGTCGTCGACGTTGTGTGGGGATGCTTTGTGTGACATGTTTCGACCTGGGGTAATAAGTGGACCCAGCCACCCAACCGATATCGACCCATCCGCTTTTTTTTACCTTTTTTTTGGCATCCTTGGCAAGGATTACAAACACCGTACGACTGTTTCTTCCTTTCTTCCCTGCATCAATCTTCAAAAGTAATATCTAGATCAGAAAAACGACGTCGATTGTACATACCTTTTGGCTGAAACATGACAGCTGCATCAACAACCCCTTCTTCCCCTCCGCAGGACACTCTTCACCCCACAATGATTGATGAGCTGTGTCCGACGCATTATAATACACAACGACCACCGCTAGAAGATAAACATGCAATATGGTCATCATCCTATATAAATCAAGGCAATCCAACATCATCGGCTGGTTCCATGTTTTGGATGCCAAACAACAACATTTACCATAAGCAAGATGACGTTCAAGAAGCAACAGCAAATGAAACGTGTGCAACAAAACAATACGACAATGAAGACACTATATCGCTTGACCTATTTACTTTCAACATGCAACAACACCAAAGTTACAATCCCAGCTTTACTATTCATGAGGAGCAGGCTCCTTCTCATGCTGGATTGAATCGTACCTTGTACCAAGTAGGCGATGGTAACGATGCTGTCGCTACTGCACTACGCACAGACAAGAGCACATCTGCTAGTAACGCCGATCCAAATACGCCTTCATCAACAACAAGCTTAATAGCACCGATAAGCAAAGTAGAGCGAGATGATGATCGTTCCATTTACGACAACAATAGTAACATGATGCCAACGTTACATCAGCACAACGATAAAAGCAACGGCTCGAATGACCGATCATACCTTCTTTGTTCAAAGTTACAGGTTACTGATTACGGGAACGTCCAACGAGAGGAGAATGAGCAACATCACCAGTCATTTGCTATACCATCATCATCATCGCCTCACAATGAACACGCCTTGTCACCACTTCACCCATCATCTGTATCATCATCATGGTGGGCGACCATGTCTCCTCTTGCATCATCATCATCCCCTTCTTTAAAACGACATCCACAGCAACCAGCTTCGTTATCATTTAGTGATTCTGACGCTGTCTTAAATTTTTTGCAATCCGAGAGCGATCCTTTTCCAGTTAAGTTTAGAAAAAAAAAACATGTGTTGTATGGTGCATGTGTTAACTCTGTAACAAATACAACGCCCAACTTGATCCTACAGCAGCCTAATGCACCACCGGATACGCAACAATGGATGCCACCACCTGATGAAAGATCAATGGTATCACAACATAGCGCCTTTAATCAGCAGCAGCATCATGAAGGATCATCGTATGCTATGATGCCAAGTAATGGTGGTAGCATTGACACTGGGAATCATCAACTTTTAATCGACAATGTGAAGCAATGGCTCCGATCTCATTTACGAAACTATCTTTTGGCGCCAAATCCCGTGGCCATGGGAGAAAGGACCATTGTAATCTTAACAGGCAAAGTCGCACAAAAAAGCTATGGCACTGAAAAAAGGTAAAATAACAACCCAGAATGATTTACATGCATGTTGTTATGTGTTCAAACATTCATGTATACATACAATGAATCATGTAGATTTCTTTGTCCTCCACCCACGGTGATTTTAAGTGGGAGTACTTGGTGGTCGGCTAGCAACAATGAAGGAGGAGGGGGCAAAGTGCTACCGCCTATACTCAAGGTGGTCATGTCGACTGAAACATCCGAGATTCAAGAGGGGCAGGTTGATTGGTATTCTACATCGGGTGCCTTGGTGGGTCAAACAGGCTTTCCACCACCGCCTCCTCCTCCTTCCCCTGCATTACACGTTGCACAGCAACCTTCATCTTGTTTATCAGGACGAAATTCCCATGGTCGTATTAGAGCAAGCTTTGATAGAAGCACTATTAGCACCACAGATCGAGATTGGTATCGAATTCCTAAAGGAGATCCTTTGGTGGGCGGCAAGTGTGTCCTCAAGCAATTGTATGTCAATGATGTCGAAGAAGGAAGGCGTAAACAAGTTGAATGCTTAGCCCGTATCCACTTGGCTGATGGTACCATGGTTGGCACGCTGGCGAGTCGATCTATCAAGGTTATCAGCAAACCAAGCAAAAAGCGGCATAATTCAGCAAACTTGGATTGTAAGCAAGACGTTTATTACTTAATGGCATGCGTTGACATTTTTACAACTTTAGCTTGCATTCGTCACGGCACGCTTGTTTCTCTGTTTAATCGTATACGATCGCAAACGGTGTCGACAAAGTACTTGGGTGTATCAGCATCACCTTGTCAATCCAATTCTTCAGCCACCACGCTACCATTTATTTACCCTGGCCAATGTCATGGTGATCAACCACCACCATCCAAAGACAAATGCTTTAGTGCACGCACTGGAAGCTGGGAACCATTTGTCATTTGGTTAGTAGACACTCAATGGAAACCAGAGCAACATCCAAATAATGGACATAGCGCTCAAAGACAGCAAGCAAGTGGAAGACAAGATGACATTGCTGACGAGTATATTGGTGCCAATTGTGCATCAACATTACGAGGAGGAGTACCCTATCCTTCACCACCTGCTATAGCCATCAAGAATCGAACACACCAACCGTTAACGATTCACTATAATCAACATGTCGTTCTTCAATGTCTTACCACTGGTTTGGTGAGCCCTGTAATGATTATTCGCAAGGTCGATCGTGCATCCAATGCTGTTTTCGGTGGTGCTAGTATAAGGCATTGCTATCCACACGCAAGTAAAAGCATGTATGGTGGCGAGTTTGGTGACGAGGTCCTTGGTGAACCTGTATCGCAGTTGCACAAGGTTGCATTTCAAATGGTTACCGAGGATGTATCAGCATCTGGAAATCGACATCATCAGAACGATTCAATGCCACAGTGTGGGGGATCATCAACCTATTTGGCATGTTTCCATGATACCGTTGGCATGCATCGCACCAGCAATACTCGTAAACCCATGCCACATGCAGCCCAACAACATCACGATTTGGATACACGTCTTCCAACACGTCGTCGAATAGCATCAATGGGTGGCAATAGTGCTTACATTGGCGTTCCTCATCTACCTACTACTACGGCAAATGGTTATCATCAACAACAAGATTTGAAAGCTGAGCCTCGATCTTTTCAAAAACGTAGCCGATCGATCAGCGGTGGTGAAGGCAACATACGATTTTCCTCGTCAGCTGGTGTCTTGGATCCTACGAGTTGGACCGAGCTTGGGGCTTATTGGTCTGAAAAAGTACCCGATTCAACTATTTGGACCATTGTTGGCACAGGTAAATTATCCGTGATACGTAATAGCAACCTTTTATTCATTAATGTGTATATACCAAAAGAGTGCGCAAAGTATACAATATGGCAACCTTCACCACAAGCATCATCGGACAATCCACAGCATATGATCCCTCGCGTCTTTAGTTACTCTCGCTCTCCTTCTAGCACGGCTCAAAAAGACATCAGTGATCCCGATTCATCGCAAGAGCACGATTATATAAGCCTATATGGGGAGCATTTTTCAGATCAACTTGATGTTTGGTTTGGTGATGTACGATCCAGCCGTTGCGAACATGTGGGTCGTGGACAAATTGTATGCAAGGTACCTCCAAAGAATACATTAATCAACGCGGTAGGCGTTATATGGAAAAACGAACGCCTATGCAGAATCCCTCTACTATTAGCCACCAAAGATGGCAAAGCCGTATACAAGGCCAACAAGCATTATGCATTCTCACCCTAAGTCTCTTTCATCTCCTTCATGTGCCAAAATATGTTGTATCTATATACCCATGCATCATCGTTATGTAAATCATTCATCAACATCTCTCTCTCACACACACTAAGGTAGAACGAATTCCGTATTATTATGTTTGTCTAGCAAAAAAAAGCAACATGTATAAAAGATGAATATAAAAGGATGCGCAAAAGTGGGAGTAATGAAGAACCTATGCATGTGGATCTATAGTAAAGGTTTCTTGAGGAATTGGTGAGGGAGGAAGGATAAAGGGTTGATGCTGTTGATAAAAAGATGGGTCGAGTGTGTTGTATAATATAAAACGTCTAGTCGCTGTCGGTGTCGGGTTCACGTTCACCACCTTCAATGAGCCATTTGAGTTTACGAGCACGACGACGAGCATCTTGATCCTTGATTTCTTTTCTAGTCTTCTTTTTCTTCTTGCTGATCTTGGCAATGACCTTCTCATCATCCACTTGGGCTTCATCTTCCACAGCGGATTTGCCATCCTTGGTCACGTGGCCACCTTCAACACGCCATGTTTCAGGGCACAAGGCTGATGTAAATTCTTCCGAGTGAGAAATCATGACAACGGCACCTTCCCAAGACTGGATAGCCTTTGCCAAACCACCAAGAGCATCACGATCCAAAAAGTTGGTAGGTTCGTCAAGCACCAACATGTGTGAGTTGTTCCACATAGCAGCAGCAATGACAACCTTGACCTTTTGACCACCACTAAGCTGACCAATCTTGCTGTATTGTGCAATCTCAGGATCCAAGCCAATATCTATTACATCATGTAACAATTAGCATGTGCCATTCGATATCCTCTTCCATTGCAAAGACTTACCCTTAAAGTGTTGACGGATGGCATCGACTGTCAAATCACGGTACAAAAGACCTTCACGGGATGCTTCCTTGTCATCGAATTCCTGAACAAGCTTTTGGAAACCAAGCTCAAGCAACTTTTCACGACCCATCCATGTGTTGAACTTGTGTCGCATACCACGCCACTTGATCTCGTATTGGAAGGTCTTCTTCAACTTGGCACGACCAAGCAAGCACTATAGCGTATAACTCCTATGTCAGTGATCCATCATCTTGCCAAATCCATTTGCATACATACCTCAATTTGGCGTTTTTGTCCATCCACTTCGATATGCTTTTCCATTTGCTTGGCCTCATCCTCGGTCCATTGGCGAGTTTCCTTCATGGATACTTCCTTATCTTCACCAGTCTCATAACGCCATCTCAAATATTCCATAGGAGTGCTTTCCAAATGCTGTTCAAGATGGTGGAATGCGTGCTGAGCAACGTAACCAATACGCAAAGCAGGATGGCGCCATACAACACCCGTTTGAGGAATAGCTTCACCAGTCAAAAGCTTGATAAGGGTGGATTTACCAGCACCATTGGGACCAATGACTGAGACACGGGAGGACAACGAAAGTGAGATGGTAGCGTTGTACAACGAAGGAGTAGATCGGCTAGGATATTGGTAGGTACAATCGGTGGCCTTGAGAATGGCTTTGGTGTTGCTGCGTACGCCTTGCAACATGGTGGGCTTGGGGAAAGAGAAGCTGACTGAAGACGAGTCGAGGGTATAATAATTGGCAGCTGGTGGATACTTCTCGACAAACTTGGAGAGATTGCCTGGGTATAGGCGCAACTTTTTTCTGTCATAGTGCAAAATGTGGGTACACACAGCATCCAAGAAACCAGGGTCGTGGGATACAATCAAACACGTGACATTGGTTTGGCTGACAAGATAATCTTCAAGCCACTTGACATTGGTCTGATCCAAGTGATTGGTGGGTTCGTCCAAAAGCAAAATGTCGGCCTTAGAAAGCACCGCACGGGCCAATTCCAATTTCATCTTCCAACCACCAGATAAAGTGCTCACAGCGACTTCCAAACGGGCATCATCAAAGCCAACAGATTCAAGACCAGCCTTGATTTCCTCACGAGTCAAGTTGGAGAGGTTCTTGTCTTCGCAAGTGTAATCGAGAACATTCAACGAGGTGTCGGCACCTTGAGCAGCATAATCCACAAAAGCGGTCTTGACTTCATCTTGAGAGGGGAACTCTTCAACCTTGCCTTGATGAATGGATCGCATCAAAGTAGACTTGCCGGCACCATTCTCACCACACAAACCATAACGCTGACCACGATGAAGCTTGAGCTTGGTGTGATTCAATAGCAAACGAGTACCATAAGCAAGTGAAAAGTCTTCAATGCGGCACAACTCCTCGCCTTCTTGTTCCTCAAATCCATCATCAACATTGCCGCCACTTTCTTGGTACAACTTGTAATAGTGATCAAACACCTTGTCACACATGCTGGGAATGTCTCTTGCCATAAGCACAGGCGTCATGCTGATAGAGATACCCTTGGTCCATGTATCCTTGACGAAGAGCTCTTGACGCACCCAATCAGAGATCAAAGCACCAACATAGGTGATGTAGGGGCTGAAGAATGAATCGAGGAAGCCTTGGATCTTGGTAGCTTCACCACGCACAAACTTGGTAGCATCATCCATGGATACGGTCAATACACCATTGTTGTTATCATCCTTGGATTCACTGTTGACACCAGCATCCAAAAGGGTCTTTTTAGCTTGGCCACCAATTTCACGAATCTCTGGGAAAGCAGCACCTTCAGCTTGATGATCGACACCAGGATAGAGTTGAGGCAAGAATTGAGCAGCAGTGCGTGGGTCACGAACGAGCTTACACAAGTTGTCGATAATGATGAGCGTTTGGCGGATCAACAAAGTGGAACGTTCATTCAATGCACGAGTAAGCAATGGCACCATGATAGCAAGCGTAGGGCCATTCACTTCAGCGACAAAGGTGGTGCATGCAAGTTTCTCGATGGTGTTTGGTACATGCGTGGGATCACCCATACACAACACAAGATCCTTGAGATGGCGTGCGATATCAGGGTTGCCACCAACGGAGCATACGGTCATCATGGTCTTTTGTGCTTGAACAGCCACCTCGTTCTTTGTATCAGCAAGACAATTGGACACCATAGGAATGATTTCTGGAAGGCATTCACCAATCTGTTCAGCAGCACGGCCCGTAAACTTGTCAAGCAACTTCAAAGCACCCAACTTGGTTTGCCATTTCTTGGATCCATTGGCACCCATACCATCAAACAAGCGAGGCAACAAGACTTGAGTAGCTTCAGGACGCACATGGCTCACCAATGTCTCGGCTGCCATTTGTGCTGCTTCTTGAACAACGCTGCCTTTATCCGCATACAACTCCAAGAACAAATCCAGGTACGATAAGAGGACTGGGACACCAAGTTCGCCAAGGATCTCGGCCAAAGCATTGAATCCAATCAAACCACCTTCTCTTTCCAAGCCAGACTTTTTGTTGCGTGCTGCCTTATTCAACTTGTCAAGGATCCCATGATGTTTGAGCAAAATCAGACCACCGTCCTTTACGATCGTCGCAAGCTCACGAGCTGCCTGGTCGCATTCCTCGCTGGTGGGTGCAGTGTTGATCTGCTTCAAAAGATCGCCAATCTTGGTACTAACGTCCATGGCTGCTGCTGTTGGTTCTGCGACAGGCATATGAGAACGTCAAGCAAAAGGAAGAAAGAAAAAAGAGTGACAAGGATAGCTCTTCAAGGTAACCACCGAAATAGGGGTTTATTTGGAAACTTTTTTTTCTAACGCAGCAACCAGTCGCCTTAGGTATAAGGATTAAGCGATCCGATCAACAAGCATGGAACTTGAGTGCCGCTGGGAAGTTGCGATTGGTCCTCACTTGCTGCTGGTAACTGCAATAACCCATTTGCTTGCAAAAGGCTAAGCATGCGACTACTCCTTTGGCCACCAGTGGATTCAGCCACAAATTCTCCTTTGGGTGTCACCGATACTCGTACGCGATGATATTCAGGCCGAGGATCCAAGTAGACTTGTTCAGTAATCTAATAGAAATAATAATCCATTGTTGATAAGAAGCCTTGTATTAAACCCCACCCCCATCTCTTTCTTTACCTTCACTGGAATAATCGGATTGGTAAATTGTGCATATCCTGCAATCTTTTTCAATGCTGGGAGTACAAACAAATAAAACGTCACTGTAGCCGATGCTGGGTTGCCTGGTAATGCAAAGATAAGCTTGCCAGTATCAGGGATTGAAGCAAACGTTGTTGGTTTTCTATACACATATATAACATATCGAATGAGATTACAGCATACGTATTAATTTATCCACACATACCCAGGCTTCATTTTGACACGTCCAAAATGAATCGTAGCTCCGAGCTTTTGTTCCAGAACGGGTTTCATGAAATCAGCTTCGCCCATCGATACGCCACCGGTGGTGATCAATACATCCACTTTATCCAATGCATCCCGTAATCGAGTCTCCAGATCATCCACAGTATCCTTGATAATCCCCAAATCCATCGCTTCAAATCCTGCTCCTCGTATAGCACCCAACAACGTGATTCGGTTCGTATCACGTATTTCACCTCGCTTGAGCTGCTTGGTTGCCAAATGATCCACTACTTCATTGCCCGTAGATAACACGCCCACTGTAGGTTTGCGATAGACCTTGACGTTTTGAATCCCTGCAGATGCTAATGCACCCAACTCGCCTCCCACAGGTGAAATCACTTGTCCTTTGTAGCCGACAATGGTTCCCGTTTGACAATCACTGCCTATCGCTCGTATATTGTCACCCGCTTCCACTTTGGCCATGATTTCCACTTGCAATTCTTCCTTTCCATCATCGGACATTTTCACCAATCGTGTATCCTCCACCATCACCACTGCATCCATGCAATCAGGCACAAGTCCACCCGTAGCCGTACGCACGATCTCATCCTCGCTTACAGTAGTGGTCGATGTGCTATCAGATGCAAGGGATACTGATCCCACAGTGTATATGCCTGGTCCTTTGGATGCTACATTGATACCTTATTAGTATTGAGAAGAGAATGAATATGCGTATGCATACATACCACGCACAGCGTAACCATCAACAATGGATGCTCTGTAACCTGGCACAGGTTCCACCGAAACGGCGTCTTCAGCTAGCACGTGCCCGATAAGGTTCTCAGAGACTTGCATGGAGATAGGGTCATTGGCAATGATCTGTTGTCGAGTAGTCGAATGTTTTCTGACAAGGGCTTCAGCTTCGCTCATAGGGATGATGGGATAAGGAGATGTACGAGCTCGGAGTGCAACTGTGAATGAAACGTTTTAGTTTTTCTTTGCCCGAAAACAATTTTGCATGAATTAACCTTATTACCTGGAGTATCCAATGATGCCGAAAGACCCTTATGTTCGCCATGATCATCCGAATGATGCTTACAACGATGTCCTCCCACTTTGTGATGATGATGATGATGGTGCTGATGCTGATGATGAACAGGATGTTGCCTTGATGTGTCACCACGTAAAAGATCCAAGCCATGTGGCACAATGTCCTTGATAGCATCCCAGTTTTCTTTGCATGCCTTTGGTTTGCCAGGGAAAGTGATGATCAAGGTATTATGTCGAATACCCGTGACTGGACGAGATAAGGCTGCAAAAGGTGTCACAGCTGTTGAAGTTGCAAGTAGCACATGCGTCAATCCTGGAGTGTGCTTTGATAAAAGAGGATCGATTGCCTTTTTACATCACATGTTAATCGATGCTGCAGGAACATGATCATGACGTTACCTACTTCAGGTGTCGTATCGCGTGCTGAGAATCCCGTACCACCCGTGACTAGAACAAGGTCAACTTTGACTTGATCGCACCAGTGCTTGACAGTTGCTTGGATAGCATCAATATCATCGGCAACGATAGCTTGTTGTTGGACGCTGTATGCATTGGCTTCCTTCAATAGATCCACTAAGAGAGGTCCACTCTTATCTTGAGTCGAGTCTTGAGACGCCGTGTCGCTCACTAATCGCACTGTAAGTCAAAGAAGACATGGTGATGAGCACATGTAAAAGGTACCTGTCAATACACCCGCTTTGTATAGCATGTTGACTAAAGGGAGAGCAATGCAATGGTTAATTGAGACATTGAATAAAGTAGAGTGGTCGAACTTACACACGTGAGTGAGAAAGAACAAGGCACACAGCACCCGCCCATTCAGCAAAGCGCGGCGTCCTCTTTCAGCTCAACTACGCAGCAGGCTCTCTTTTCTCTTTTCCCTTTCTCTTTACACTCTCTCTCTTAGCCCGCTATGATCTCCATCTTTGCAGCCATTGTGACCACAGTGTTAATTCTCATTCCCTCTGTGCCATTGTTCATCTATGTGGTTGGTCTACTACTTCCCGAGGAACACACCGTCTCTCGTTCGGCGACTTTGCATACGACAGCTGACAAGATATGGTCGCTTCTCACTCATGTCCAAGATTACCCCTCATGGCAACCTGCTTTGGACCGTCTAGAATGCACTCGAGAGGAAAACGTAGCAGAGCAGCAAGTGGTCTTTGTCGAATACACCAAACGCAACAAGCGTATCACTACTGTGGTGGATGCAGCTGGACACCGAATCCTATCCCGCATGACAGAGGAAGATAGCACCACCACCAACACCAACACCGCCACAGCCCACAACAGCAACAACAACAACGCCTTGAAACACAAGCCCACATTTATTGGTACTTGGACATTCGATATCACTGAAAACAAGGAGGAAGATGGCCATATTACCACCATTACAATCACTGAGAAAGGTGTTATCACAAGACCCATGGTACGACTATTGCATATGACATTATTGGGCTTCCATCGCCGTATCGATCGTTTCTTGAAGGATTTGGAAAACAAGATTCATCACGATGCTATCATGCAGGAACCAGTGGTCGATGATAAGGATGAACCCCATGTGGATGAAGAGCAATTATCCAATGCAATCAATCAAGATGTTACCGAGAACAACAAGGAGGAGATGTTATCACAAGAATCAATCACACCATCCACCACAAGAAGCAACGACTCGTCACCTACCGTTGACAAGGAATGGGATCTAATGAGTGAAATCTATGAGCGACCCAATGCACACGCCTGATCACCTATATATATATATCACCACCTGCTTCCTTCCATCCGCTTGTACATATTTCTCTCTTTGCTGATATACCACTTTTGATAATACAAAGAACGTTGATGCTATATATAAGAATGGGAGGGAGGGAGGGAGGGAGATTGATATGATACATAATACTAAGGGCTGATGCTAGTATGCGATCATTCCTGCTTTAGTTGTCTTGTTTTCCTAAGCAAAAACCATGTTGACGCTTGCCGATATGCATACAAAGAGATGTCAAATAGGATAGCGGATAAGACAGGGGCTATGACAACAATGGCGAGATAGTGCGGCAACCGGGAGATGACTTCAAGTATCATTCCAACAAAAGAGCGTGCGTGTGTTTTTGTCTTTGAGAGAGAGAGAAAGGTAAAAAGGAATGAAAGAAAGAGTGTGATGATACATGAATTGAGCTTTTGGGACTTTTGCTGGGGAGAACTAATCGGCTAGGACATGAGAAATCAAATGAACGTGACACCAAGTGTGATGTGTGAGTGTGGCTCATGCGTTACAAAGGCGTGCATATAGAAAATCATTTCCTTTACGCACACGTGTACCATTATTGTAGGTGATCTTTGGATGGATACTGGTTTTATTACTACTACTACTATTTCCTAACAAGCCTATGAGATTTATCGGCGGTCTGTATTTTACCATTACAACTGCTGTCTCCAACGTTTAGTCCACCAAGGAAACGATTAGACTTGTCCCTGAAATTTCGAGCTCAGAATTGAAAACGCTCGACGATCTCAAGTATCCCAACACCCACCATCAATGGCTGATCTTGTTTTATCATTTCAATGCTGATGGATGTAAATGAAAACTTTATTATGCGGTCATGTTTACTGATCACCATGGTAGCTGTCAGCCTTAGACCTCGCTTGAAACGCTTCCAACTCATCCTGCGTTATGTCACTGAGCAAAGCTAATGCCCTGAATTCGTCACAAAAGTTCTCGTCACATTGCGGTGCATTGTATGATGATCGTCCGTTTGTGTTGGTGGGCGGATGTTGGGTGGTATCAGGAAGCGTTGGGTTGTTGACGGTTGAGCTAATGTCGGCGAGCCATTGGTCCAGGATCGTGTGTGGTTGTGGTTGTTGTGCGTTGGCATTGTCGTTTTCATAGGTGGATGTGCTGCATGATTGATTGGGAGATTCGCATATCAAGATAGGATCAATGAATTCTCCATCTTTTCCTTGATGATGCTGATGCTGATGCGTGGTGCTGTTATTATTATGATGCAAATCCAAGGTATTAAATAGGTCATCGAAAAGGGAGATGGTTGGGATGTTGTTTGACGATGGATCATGTGATGATGAAAAGGAAATAGGTACAGGTGGTGGCGGTGCAGGTTCTCGTGGGCTCTTTTTGCTGCATATCCTTTTTCGATTGCATTTGCCGGTTGGGCATGATTTCTTATCGCAGCGAGTATGATCATCGTCATTATCGTTTGCTTGCTGTAATCGGATTCGTTTGAGTGACGTGTTTTCTTTTTTGAGTCGTTCAAGTTCTTCCATTAGAGATGCATTCTCTTTGACGAGCGAGCTTTCATCCTTAGCATTCAGCCTTCGTTGTTCTTCAAGCTGCTGTATACGTTCTTGCAATCCACCAACAAGTTGTTCACGTCGTTCTCGAAAGGCTCGTTGTGCTGCCCTATTCTGTGCCTTACGCTTTGTGCTTGTGTCGATCTTTTGAAGAAGCATAACGGTGAGGAACGTCAATGTCACCGAATTTATGCGTTAAAACGTTTGTGAAACATACCTTATTGTAGCTGGGTTCAATGTCATCGCCTATTGTTGCTCCTACGACCGGTCAGCGGAAAAATTCACCCCGTTCAACCCATTGATTAATAAGCGGCCATGAATTTGGCAACTTCCCCGCTTACCTTGGCTTGCTTTGTTGGATCTTGCACTTCTGTTAGGTAATACTCTTTTGCGTAATTGATCCTCGTTATTGTTTTCTTCTTCCTCTACACGTTTTTTGATATCATCGCAACAATATCGAAAACGTATCCGGGATCGTCGTTTTGAGGAAATGGTTCCAGTAGACATCAAGATGAGAAGGTGTGGGGGGGGGGGTTGGTAAGTGAAAGGATGCAAAGGCCGTTTCGTCGATAGTAAAAACACCGGGGTTTATAAGTGATTTATTGCTTACACATCAAGTGGCCATAGCACCCCCAGTGTATGGTTTCTTTCGGTTTTCACCCAGCGAATGTTCCTTTTTTTGCAAATATAGCATCTTGGTCCAACAACGATCGCTTTTGATATTGTTGCTCTCATTGAGGAGGTGTGCTCTTTTTCCCATTGTTGCTGGGGATCATTACCCCGCTCTATCAACCATGGTGTCTTTGTTCTCAGTACCTTCGGACACTTGACTCCGTGTTTTTTGTTGAATGACGCCATGAGGCTGAGCAATGGTGCTTGTCTCTGCCATGCTGACAAATTACCTTGGATGTGGCAAATATCGTGGAGCAAACAAGTCATGGGGATAAATATGTATTGTATTGGATAATAGTAATGATAATAATAATGCATGGTATCTACTATATATCAATGCATAAAGATTGCATGGGTATGATGATGAGTATTTACATAAAAAAGGGAGCAGTGTTGATCCTTAAAAGAATGATGCAAAGGATAGACCCAAAAAGCTGCTAGAAGAGGCTTCAGCATTCTAAAATGATCGACAGCGCTAGTAAGTAACGATTGCTTTTTAGCATGCAAACCAGTATTTACCTGTTCCAAGATGCATTGACGTGCATGTATGTTTGAAACATTGGAGACCGCCTTGTGCAAAAGATCTACCAGGGATGTACGTTGGACATCTACGGCATCATCTGTGATAAGGACCAAGTCGCCTGCAAGTTTGTGTGCTTGTGTTTGTTGTCGTTGAAGCTAAATCATGATTCAGGTGATGAGTTGATCTGCGTGATTTGTATGTGTGTATGTGTGTGTATCACTAGTACTCACCTTGCGGCATTCTTCGGTAGCAATGCCGACACGCTTTCGAGTATGCTTGTGCTCCTCAACGGCTTTATCCAATGTTGCCTGGATACCACGTCGTCGCTCGATTTCTCTTCCAAGACGATCCTTCACCACTTGAAGTTCGCCTTGTAATCTCACATGCTCAGCTTGTCGTGCCGATGCTGCTTTTTCAACACGAGTCTCCCAATGTTTGCGGATAGCTAACTGGTCCTTGGACATGGATGCTTCCAAATCATTCACTTTTTGTTGCCATTGTTGCTCACATGATGTGATAGCGCGTTCCAAATCTTCCTCATGCTCTCTTTCTCGCTCGGCCAAAGCAGCCTGGTGCTCGATACGTAGGACTTCAACCTCGTTCTCATGCTCATCCTTCATTTCTTGGATCATGTGCTGGTGTTCAGAAACAAGGTTTTGTACTCGTGCCTCATGTTGCATAGCCACTTGTTGAGATTCAAACAAGAAACGATCCTTCATGGCTGCCAAGTCACCACGATAGCTTTCCTTGATTTGACGTGTCTTTTGCTCGTACTTTTGTTCCATGGATTGTAATCGCTTCTCATACACTTGTTGAGCACCCTTCAAGTAGTACTCATTGGGTGATGATGATGGTGGTTGTGATGGTTGTGGTTGTTGATTGGTATCTTTTAGCTGCTTGAGTTGGTCACGCAATTGCTGCAGCTCACACTGTTGTGCATCAAGTTGTGCTTGCCATTCCCGTTTTTCCTGCTCATGCACAGTTTGCAAGCTGATAAGGCGTTCTTGCAGTAGCCGGATCGTTGATTCTTCTTCACTATCGCCTTGTGATGATGCGCTGTCAAGTGATGTGGGTGATGGCGGGTATGCAAGGTGTTGATGATGTGTTGGTGGTGGTGGTGAACATGCCTGGAAACGGATATTGCTCTCAACAAGTTGTGCGTATTCAGAGGTCTTGGCATTCAACCGTTGCTGGAATCCTGATATACGTCGTTCATGCTTCTTTTGTTCAGTCTGCAACAGCAACTCGTAATGGTCGCGTAGATCTTTGACGTGGTCCTCATGTTCCTTCTTCTCTTGTTCGAGCACCAGCTGCATGCAATGGATCTACAACCAAGGGCAATGAGCATCGGTCATGTGCTCCCATGTTTCGAAAGAGAACACGTTACCTGCTCCAGGAACTCCTGTTCCATGTCTCGGATTCTTTTCTCAGCCAAGCTATCCTTGAGTTTGACCTCTCGCAACAACTAAAGCAAACATGTAAGATTGAATGCCGTACTGTATCTGGGTTTGTACTTACGCTTAATCGATGCTTATCGTACATCTTCTTGTCACCTTCTGCCTTCTTTTCAAGCAATTCAACCCGCTCTTGATAATGTGCAAGTTGGCTCAATGTCTATATGCAACATGTCAATGATACCTTGTATGGCAGCAACATCCAATATCAGTATATACATTACATACCATGACCCGTTCCAATTCCCAATCTTGTATAGCGGTAGAAGGTCCCATTGTGTTGTTCCTTTGAATAGTATGCCGAGTAGAGACTTGAGTCGACATGATCAATAGAATTGGGAATAAAAGAAGAACAAAGAAATCGGTGATCAAACATCCCATGTGGCGATTGAGATGGTTATTTATATAGACAATGCACAACGCTATGCATGGATTGGGACAGATCAGGACCAAATGGCTAAAAAGGAAAACTAAGTTAGCCTCCGGAATAACTATGAAAGGAGGACATCAACTGCAAGGGCATGCAGTACAGGAGACATCACACATGCAACATCATCTCGCTTTCCGTTACCGATTCTCTCTTTTATCATTTCGTGGATGGATTGGATATAAAAGCAATAGAGTAGCATTCTTTACAGTTTAAGAGCAGCCAGCTAGCAGCGGTAAGACCACGTATACAAGTCGATCCTTTCGCCACATAAGCTTACGATAGCTGCTGCATTTGTTCATTGTTTCCACATAAAAGGGAAACAATAATAGTCTACGAAAGCGGTGGTCTTGTACAACCACCACCTTGGCACTCTATACTCCCCACGTTTTTGCCAAACCCCAGGATACTCCTTCTCTTTTATTACTGTTATGAGATTCAATGCGTGGCATGTTTCAAAAGATGCTACTTGCAGATGCTAAAGGACGATGGTCATGGTTGACGCAAGAAAACAAAGCAAGTGCTCAAAACATATACTGCACTCTGTCATCGTTTGTTTATACACACAAACAATGACATACTGCAGGTCCCTTAAGATGACCGTGTCCCGCTTCATAGCCCCCACCTCCTTCTTTCAAGATAACCCATGACATTATACATTTTACTTCCGTTGGTTTTGTTATAAGCTGTGTACTAGTCGTCCACACCAGAATCTTCGTTCACACATGTGTTGCCCCTGTATGGAATAGAATGAAACATCCATATGTAATGAAAAGATTAAGAGAACGTGCCAAGAGCAAGAGGTATTGAAACAAAAACAAGCGTGTCAGAACAAGGACGCACACATTGGGGAAGGTGAGACAAGGGCTTGGCTATGATTTGTGCGTGAAAGGAGCAGTGTCGTGGTCGTCTTTCCGGACAAGTCATCTGATTAACCCCATCGTCATACCAATCACCAGCTTGGCAGATGCATCTCAAGCTATGTGCAACAATCCCAGATGCAGCAACTCACCTTTACCTTTGCAAGATGAAAATGGCAACCTGCTGCTAGTTGTATGCGTATGAGAGTGAAATGGTGCAGCATACTATATCATGTATTGCAGTGCTGTGAATCACAACCTCTTTTTGGTGTATCATGGATGACCCAAAAAGTAGGTGGTGAGAAGCAACAAGGAACAAGATCATGCTTTTTGTGATGAGATAGCTCTTGCCATATATCTCTTGGATGGCGATGTTGATGATCAATGATAGGTGTTACAGCTTTCATCATCATCTTTGAATATGATTGAATGCACAAACTTCTTCACAGAGCAAGGTAGGATTGCAAGAAGGTTACTATTAATAAGTTTTGAACATAACCAAAGAAGCGTGATACATAGAGACCACATCGGTGGCATTACAAGTACTCTAGTTTTATTGATTGCTTCTTTGTCTGGATCTCAAAAGGCGATCTTTGTCGCACAACGATTGGTGATAAACCCGTGATATGATCTTGCATGAATCACCCTCCAAAGCAAGCATACTTGTTTTTCTTCCATCATATGCTCACTTTTTCATCCACATGGCCGTCATTTTCGTTCACACACACAAACACCAGTAAGAGATCTTAAACTAAATTGTATTTGATATAGACAAGCAAGGGTAACAGGGAAAAGGAAAAAGGGAGATGGGGGGGGGAAATCTGTCCAATTGTACACCAATGGCAACAAGGATGAGGGGAAAAAGAAAAACCAATAACACCAAAAAGAAAAAAAAGTATCGATGACGACAATAAAAGAGAGGGTTTCATGTAAGATTCGGCTTTTGTAAAGGTGGCGTATTGTTGTTGTTGTTGTTGTATCGTATTTACGAGAGGAGCGGAGGAGAAGGATGATGATGATGTTGATGATAAATGAGGAAAAATCGTTGTATCAAGCCTGTTTCGAATCTTCAATGTGGAGATTGCCGAATTGTTGTCGGATTTGTAATGATTCTGTACGTTCATGCCTTGAAGGATTCTTATCATGGTTGATCTTTTGGTCAGCCGGGTTTCCACCTCCATTATTTCCACCATTACCCATTCTGGCAGCCTCGATCATGTCTTCCAATTGCTTCACACGTTCCTTGTATTGAGTAAGTGTCTCCTGCAATTCCTTGATGTGGTCAACGGAAAGCTTCAGGATGGTGCCCTTGTTGATGGCTTTGGCTGTAGCGCCAAGTTGGCTGCTAGTGGATATCGACATGACATTGGAAGTAGTGGGTGCATTCTCCAACAAGTGTTCTGGTAGCAAAGTCGATAACTCTAATTGGGTTGGTTGGTTGGTTGGGGGGGAAGTAGTAGAAGAAGAATGAGTACATTATATACAACATACAAAGAAAGAGAGCAAGGGTCATCGGGCTAACCCAATGGCGTCATTCATAACAACATACCATGGATACGTTCATTGATGTTGTCCCGTCGACGTCTTTCAACGGCATTATGCGATTCACGTCGTCGTCGTCGCTTCTCAAACATTTCTTGCAAGCTAGAGAAAGATAGATCCAATTGTTGGTCACACAACATCTTTATATCCACACACGCACACACACGCACACACAACACCACAATGCTTCTTCCTTACTTTCGTTGTTGAATTTCATCATCTTCTGTTCCTGCAGGATAGCCATCCAAATGACCGGTAGATGTTGATGGCGACACCATGCCACCAAAGATAGGTGATTGACCAAACGACGATCCTGTAGAATCTAAGCTTGTACCAAACCAATTTTGGGCATTCGGGTCACCAAATGAGAGGGGTCGACCAGCAGCAACAGCTGCAGAAGGCGGGCTCATAGCAAGTGATGCTGCTCCAAAGCTGCTGTGTCGTTGATGTAGCTGATAGCTATTGCTGGCGTTGAATACACCCCGAGGATTTCGTACTGGCATAGCGTCAACCGTTGTATGAGGTGTACCCATTGATACAAGCCCTCCAGGAGCTGCAAACTGTTCTCCTGATTCGAGTAATTCTTGCTGTGTAGGTGAATACATGAGGTGTCAATGGAGATGGCAGAAAGGGAAAAAAGTGAAATGAAGAAGAGAGAAAGAGTGAGAGAGAAGTGAGAGAGTGAGAGAGGGAAAGAAAGAGGCGTGTGTGCGTTATACGTGTTGAGACACACAAAGATGAAAAGGCGCCTTTGAGAAAACGACTGCTGACCCGCGAAAAGTTGCACAACTTACGGGTCATGTGCCGAGATGCTTCTGCCCCATGCGCACTGCGCAACAACAATACTGAGCAACAGGGGGGAATATACACTTTACCCCTTATACACACACATACACCACCACCACCAAGCCCGCCTCCTTGTTCTCTACTTGGGAACTCTATAAACAAGTCGTTTAATTAACTTACCTACCTTGGCCCACAATCCCCTTTGTCCCTTATCCACTTTCGTAATAGCTCTTGGGTGCACGGTCTGCTGCATATCAATCGACAACTCAGCTTCAGGTACCCGCCAACCCTATACAATTCCCGCCCCTCTTATGATAAAGCTGCTGCATAATCAATGATAAATGAGCGATGTATTCAACATCCATATATTTACAAGTGATATCACTATCAATAAAAAGCTACATTATCTTCTCGTCTACATGCACAGAGCCATTTTCAGTTGAGCTGGGATCCGACTTGGGTGCTATCGAATCACCATCGTCGTCTCCAAGTACCACTTCTCGACCATCAATGACACGAACAGGTCCCGTAAACCAATGCCTGGCCGAAAAGTAAAAGAACAAACTTGAACATCCCATGATAAATGCAAAAGGAGCAATGGCATAATTCATATTGTCGGCTGTAACAGGTGCTTCGGTAGGCAAAATGAAGAGCACACAAGTAAACTACAACATTGTATCGATGGCGTTAATGTTCATTGTCGTATGATACACCTATTACCTTTACTTACTAAGAGCCAGCAGCAAGACAATACACCACAGATTGTCGAGAACCTTCCCAAAGACCAAGGGCCTAAAAATCATGGTAAGTCCTGTAATCCATTAATACCACATCCACACTATACAATACCAGGTTTGAATGTCTTCCTTGATACCGTAATTCTCAATAGGATCGGGATGAAATACGATGATTGGGCACCAATAGTGTTGACAGAGACAATGGCTTCAAAAGCTGTGCTATTAATCATATACAATACTCCAACAATCACTGGCAAGTCTCCGATGAGTCCGCTTTGTACATAACACAGCACGTGATTAGGAAAATACAACGTACCTGCAACAGCAATGTTGAACCAAACGGCAAGTACGGGGTTATTGGTACGTTTCTCGAGGCTATGCAAGTGTTTTGACCATGGCATAGCGCGGTCTCTAGAAAAAGCGTACACCATCCTTGATGCTGCAAGCGTCAGAGCGCTACCACAAAAAAAGATTGATAGCATAATAAAAATGACAAACACAAGCGTAAGTGATGGCCCAACGGCGTCAAGGAAGACCTGCACCATGGCAGGCTTAATTGCCTCATCACTCAAGATTTGACGATCATAGTCCTTCACCATAAAGCTCACGGCAACCAAAAAGAGAAAACCTGTAATAGCATTGGCCAACACAGCTGTAAGAATACCAAATGGCGAGCCATGTTGCGAGTTTTTGGTTTCTAAAGATCATTCTATTAGACATGGATTGTATAGAAGTCATTTTAATTAGCATACCTTCTGCCATATGGGCAGCACCGTCATAGCTAGAGAGCGTATACTGTGATTGAAGAATAACGAGGAGGAAGGCATACCCATTGTTTCCGAAGCCGGAGCCATTGTAGAATTCACCAAACTTGGTACAATAGTGTGTGAGTAAAAGGACATGTCAAGTTATTTGTAGACCTACCACAAAGCTGCCAGTGTTCAAAGGTTTTGTGAGAGCTAAGCCAACGATAACAATGAGAAGGATGCCAATCATGTTGATGTAGACTGTGATACGATTACGATTAGCCATTTGCCAAGAAGCTGTATTAGAAGCATGTAAATGGATATACGTTACTTACAGGCTGCTTGGTTGATAAGGCCATTGAGTTTGACAGCAACGGAGTTGATGATTCCATATAGGAGGCAAATGCCCACGAAAATGGCATATTGCACGTAAACCGAGGTATCTGTTTCTGGTTGCCTAGCAACGAAAAGTAAGAGAATGTTTGGTTTAAAATTACAAGCGCTTGTCACCCTACCAAATACGAATGATTCCAGCAATGAATTGGCTACAACCCAGGGCAATGCTGCTGATGCCGACTATGGTAATACGTACATGGTCATAGTGAATAAGCGAGAACGGGTGGATACGGTGATGGGATCATAACTTAGCTATATCAACTTACATGAATACGATATCCAGTTGAACCAACCGGTCAACCAACATGCTAAAGGCATCCAACTTGAATCGGCAAGACGACTAACCCAAAAGTATAGGCCACCCGTTGTAGGAAAGGCACTGCAAATCTCTGCAAGCGACATGGCAACCAGGGTTGTAAAGAATGCAGTGATCGTCCAACCCCAAATGACGCTTAGCTATAGAGTAAAGTTTAGCGTATCTTTTCGTCTATGATGGAATAGGATGGCTGCTAATATACTTACACTTCCTGCGTCAACCATGGCATCTCCCCATAGCTATTAAAAAAAGGATCACGCTTATCATGAATATCATCTCTATGAAAAAACAACGCTTGTTTTCATTACCGGTGTGAGCCCGCTCAACACGGAGCAACAAGAGAAGGCAATGGCAAAGTTTGAAAATCCAGAGATAGAGCGGCTCAAATCCTATAATAGTGTCAATTGCTGTACGCAAACTCGATCAAGGGAATGGGATAACGGACCTGCTTGTAGCCAAGTTCACGAAGCAATTGCTCATCCCGATCAATCTCAGGCTCGCCAGCTTCGATTTGATTTTCAGTCGGTTCTTTTTTACTTCCCAATCCAAAGACCATTGCGATTGTGATTCGATAAAGGATAATATCAAAGTGAAAATGCGGCGGTTTTATATGTCAATCGAACAAGATACCCCACCTTGTGCGTCCATCGATAGAAAAGGCATATTCATGTCAATGATATCCATTCCCACAGACAATGCACATTCACGAAACATCATGTGTGATACGTACTTCAAAGATCTCACGGCTGTTTTCGGACATCTTTTACTATCATAGATAACGTCTCCTGGATACCCTGAATGTATTGATACGCGATAATGGATACAATAACATCGCCAAAAGATGAGCTGATCATGTTCCAAATCCCCGGATTAGAGCATTACATAAAGCGATTACATGTTAGCGGTCATCCAAAAGCAACAAGCACTAGTATGATGGGTCCTCACTCTTATGCTTCCTCTCTCACGATGAATGCCACATACGATACAAAGTTCTTGGTGCTGTAACGTGTATTTGTCATCGACGCCGTGTAATTGGCTTGTTGGTCTTTGAAATGTACGTATATGGACAAAGGCGACTGCTTTGTCTCACGATGCTTTTCATGTTATCTTATCCTTATGTGTCAAAATCCTGGTTTGACAGACGAAAGGTTTCCTGAGAATTAATAGATACAGGTACACTAATCACCAAAACCAATCATAGGGCTTCAACAATCTTCCCAAACAAAGGTAGACCCAGTGTCCTGGAAAATGGTAATAGCTCAATAGTGATGATGCGAAGAGTGCATTCCCAAATTCTGTATTGCTCATTACATTTGGTCCGGTGTCCCATCTTGTTGTGCTCACCTCCATGTGGTGCATGGTAGACGTTGCTGTTACTACTATCTACAGTGTCTCATGTCACAAGTTCCTTATCCCACACACCCTATACCTGATGACTTTCCACGCGAACCTTATGAAGTATATATACCAGATATTAGCGGTCGGCAATGTATCTCCGAACGATACAGGCCGAATTGCAGGTGGATATCACAAGCATTTTGTGGGGTTTGAGCATTGCCGCGCATATCAGGAAATTTGATCCGCTCACTGCTTTGTGCCACGTCTTGACCATATAAAGTAAAAGTACTCCATATGGTGCCAACATGCCCAATTCTTCCTTTCAAGCATTCCACTCAATCTATAAAAGCCTTTTGGTATACCTTGTATTCTTCCTGGTAGTCACGATTCATCATGCAGGTCTTTGTTTCCATGATAATTTGCCCTCATATAAACGTCAACATCGTGATTGATTGTGTGGATATGACCTGCTGCTTCAACATGCATCCACAAGCTTGTGCGCTGAATGTGGCATCATGTATGTACTTTTGCGTAAGGCACATCCATTGCTCATTGCTCATTGCTAAAGGTAGACCAGCATAGGCTTAACAACCAAAAGTACCGAGATACCCCTGATCAATTTCATTGTGATGTTTTATGCATGATGTACGAATCCTTTTGGTTAAATTGGCCAAGACTCATTGGCACCATTATACGAGCAATGGGCATAGCTAATAATTCAAGGCGAACAAGGGCCACTATTATTGCTATGTTAAGAGTGGTTGGTGCCTAAAATGGGTTTGAGCATGGTCACATGTCACAAAGCATCAGGTTATGGATATCCAAAGTTGCCAATGCAAACAATCAATTTCATTAAATGGTGGCCAACATGTTGCCGATTACAGGATCCCAAGGTTTAAGCGCATTTGTCTCTCGCAGTTTTTTGCTGAGTTCGCGATAGGAGCACGGGCCGTTCATGCGACGAATTACGCAAGAGGCGCAGTGATGTTGGGCTTAGACGATGTACAATGATGATGGCTAGAGAACTATTATGAGCATTAACAGTTCATAAGTTGTAATGAGTCAACGATGCCCTATTTAAGGTTATGGTGTCCCTATGGTGTCAGGTGTCCATCCATCGCATTGGCGAAGTGGTGTTTGGCTGGGACAGAATTGCGGGAACCAAACTCAGTCCTCCAGCCAGCAAATCTTTTCTGTTGCACTTTCTTTCTCTCCACAATTGATCTCGATCACCAAACGGCTCATTCTCAAAGCAAGTTACCCTTTTATTATTGCAACAACAGCACCCGTTATCAGTGCAGCATTTTCTCGATTCACGACTACAAGTCTTGATATCTCTTTACATAATGAGCAAGTTGCCGTCGACGGCATCGTCAGTGCCACCAACCACCACTTCACCATCAGCCAACATTAGCACCCCAGCACCAATGGCTTTGCCTAGCATGTTGCCGTCATCTAACACTGGCCTCAATGCTACTTCTGTGGATGGGACAAAGGCAGTGGTCAACCCCAACCAGCTCCAAAGAACCAAAATGCAGAATGTACCAGCTTTTTTGAACAAGTTATACAAGTATGTTATTGATGATGGCCATTGAGGTGGAATTGGATACTAATGTTGTGTATATGATGTAGTATGGTGGATGATCCAAGTTCGGATGATCTTATCCGCTGGGCGGATGATGGCATGTCATTTCTGGTTTTGCGACACGAAGACTTTGCAAAGCGCGTTCTACCCCGGTTCTTCAAGCACAGCAACTTTTCATCATTTGTTCGGCAACTCAACATGTACGGCTTCCATAAGGTGCCTCATCTTCAACAAGGCGTATTGCATGCTGATAGTGATGCGGAGCGATGGGAGTTTAGCAATCCACATTTTCAACGCAATCAGCCTGATCTGCTACTGTTGGTGACTCGTAAAAAGGGCAGGGATACAGAGGAAAAGGAAACAGGCAATATTGACATGCACAACATCTTGGATGAGATTGCTGCCATCAAGAAGCACCAAATGAGTATCAGTGCGGATTTGAAGGGGATTCAAAGGGACAATCAGGTGCTATGGCAAGAGACATTGGCAGCACGAGAACGTCATCATCGCCATCAAGAAACCATTGACAAGATCCTTCGATTCCTTGCATCTGTATTCTCAAGTGACAAGAAACGAGTGGTGATTCCAAGGAAGCGACGCATGCTTATTGGTGATGCCAACACAGAGTATAAGGATGAGGATTTTTTGGAAGAAGAGGAAGAGGATGATCGACCTGCAAAAGTGGCACGCCATTTCAATATCGATGAATACATCAATGGTAACCAAGGGAACTTGTCGACATCCAACACAACCTTGCCATACACCGGGAACGCTGATGACGCACTCGCCAATGCTGCATCATCCGATGCTCCGGCCACCGAGTTAGCTGCTGCCATTGCTCTCAATGATGAAACCAAGCAACAACAACAACAATTGCAACAGCAACAGCAGCAACAGCAACAGCAGATGCAAATGAGCGTGAGTCATTTACCACCATCTACAGAAGGTAAGATTTGGTTTGGTTGGGATAGGGTGCATGATTGGGTATTGATTTGTCTTCCTGTTCAGGATCTGCACAACCACAACATCATCAGCAGCAACCTGATTTATCATCAACAATGAATATTCAACAGCTTCAAGGTCTCATTGCACTTGTACAAGCCAATCCTGCACTACTAAGTCAATTGGGTGGCGACGCATTATTCAATCCTCATATTCCTCCTCAAGTGGATTACAATGGAGCATCATTCAATCATGATAGTAACAGCAGCAACAGCAGCAAACCAAGCACACAGCCATTATCAACCCCATCCGCAACAACTGCACAATCGCCATATCCAGTGTCTACTGTGACCCCTTTGACATCATCCTCCCCTTCTCTTCCGCAAGTCACCAACAACATTACCACCGTCGCCAAATCAGCAGATGCTATCAATCAAGATATTGATGCACTTGGAGCAAGCCTTGGTCTTTTAGCAAGTCAACTCGGCTTTGATCCATCCAAGGCCGATTTTGGTTCCATCAACATGGATGATTTCCTCAACACAGGCAAGTACAATCCTTCATCCCCTTTATTTCAATCCCTCAATTGCTAATACATCTTCAATAGCTGGTACTACTGAGGCAGCATACACAGTCGATTCGCCATCAGCAGCCAATACACCAGTGGATCAGAGCACCCCAAGTTCTACTCCTGCCAAGAATGATACAACAACGACTGAAAAAGAGTAAAGTTATCTCATTATGATTGATGCACACACAAACACACAAGCACACACACACGCACTCGCACAACCACACACACACACACACACACATAACCCATTTCTTTCCCCTCTTGTACACAAATTTCCTTTCACGTCATTACATACCATAGCATAGCTGTACACTTTGTTTTTTAACCTTCCTCCTTTCATTAATGCATTGTTTTCCTTTCCACCATGGGATGAAGATTGATGTGGGTCCATTGTTTTGTTTTATTGTTGACTTTTTTTGCTAACATTCATTGATCAAAGAATACTATTTTGGGGGTTGAACAAAGAGAAAGAATATCTTTTGGATAATGGGGAAGACCGTATTTTGGATGGTTAGAAAATACCAAAGAAGCGACGCTTGTTATCGTGGACCTTGGCCTTAGCCTCCGAAGCACTAGCAGCAGATGCCTTTGCATGCTTGCCTTCAGCCTTAGCTTGAGCAGCGGAAGCACTTGATGCCTCAGCTTCAGCTTCATGATCATCATCATCGTCACCACGCTTGTTGTGAGCCTTGGCCTTAGCCTCCGAAGCACTAGCAGCAGATGCCTTAGCATGTTTGCCCTTAGCCTTAGCTTGAGCAGCAGAAGCACTTGATGCTTCAGCTTCAGCTTCATGGTCATCATCGTCGTC